ATCTATCGTTCCAAGAAGCCCCTTAATATGACATGCTGATGTCCCACCTAAGCTCCTAACTTTTTTGATTCCTGGGTACCAGGCCTCCAGGCCATGTGTAAGAATAGGGATAACACAAGCTTTCACAACCTTCCTAATTAATTTTACTGGAAGTCTTTTTACTGTGTTGTATAGTCCTTAAAGGTGATTTACTACCTTACTAACTTTCTTGGCCCAATAGGAAACTTGATCTTTGAAGTTTAGTTTTCTATCTAGAAGGACACCTAACCATCACATGGAATCCTTTGCTGTTTTGTTCATTGTCCCGTGACGGACCCGAGGGTTGTTTGAGTTCTTTTTCCATGAGAAGTGCATGATCTCGGTTTTGTCAGGGTCAAATTCAATAGCATTATTGTGTCCCCATTGATTGAGTAAATAAAGATTTTCAGAAGCCTCTATAGCTGTTTCTTTAAGGTTCTTTCTAATACAAAGAGTTGCTAGGTTGTCTGTGTATCTAAAGCGTCTCTTTTTTATATTAAGTCGGGCACAGATTGGCTCTGTATACAGCATGTGAAGGATTGGAGAGGCTGGTGAGCCTTGTGGTAGCCCACAAGTGAGAGCTTTTATATCGGTTACGATACCTTCAAACCGAACTCTTGCGGACCGCTCGGACATGAATGACTGTACCCATCTTATAAGAAAGCCCGGCCAGCCCTATTCTTTTATGCGAACCACCAGTCGTCCTATAAAGGCAGCGTCAAAGGCCCCTTTCACATCTGACGTGACTACCGTTACAACAAGGCCTTGGTCAATAGCCTGTTCAATATTGTGTATGAGTATAGTTACCAAGTCGGTGGCAGAGCGCTTTAGTAGAGCTCCAAAATGTTATGGAGCTAGAATTCCAAGTTTAATAACAAATCAAGTAATTCTTTTTGTGATGAGTTGTTTTAGGCCTTTACCAAGACATGATAATAGTGATATTGGTCTGTAGGCCCGGGGGTTGGAATAGTCTGCCTTGCCTGGTTTTGGGATCATCATTACCTTAGCTACTGTGAATGGTGTAGGGTGGTGTCCGATCTGTAGACAGGTCTGGAAAAGGGCTCTGATACGTTTCCCAATGACTGGCCAGCAAGCTTTCAGAATCCGCACTATGAGGGTATCTACTCCTGGGGAGTTGCTCTTAGTCCCTATAGTGCACCCTTCAGCCTCTTCCAGTCCGACATGGTATTCAAGGGGGATATGTGGCTTGGGTTGTGTGATCTGAGCGGACCAGGGGTCGATAATATTGTTGTCTGGGGTGCTTTGTTCAAACGTGGCTGAGCGTAGTGTATTCGCCTTGTTCTCTTATGACTCAAATATTTGGTCTCCTATGATGATTAGAGGGGAATGCAATCCTGCTAACAGCTTGTGCCAGGAAACGATTCTGTACAGATCCTTTAGTTCAGTCACTGAATCGATTAGAGTCTGCTAGTACTCTCTCCTAGCCTTTTGAACCACATGGCGAAAGCCCTGTTGGGCTGAATTCCGCTCTTCTTGGCTTACGGTCTGTTTGGACAAGGCCCTGTATGTCTAAATAGCTGCTTTGCATTCATTATTCCACCAAGCAGTGGGCCTAGATTGTCGGGGCTTTTTGTCCACTGTTCTGACGCAGCCTTGGATTATGTTGATCAAGCTCTGTGTAAAGGCATCCACCTGGCCAGGGGATGTATCCAGCCGGGGGAGCTCGTGAATCCTGTTTTGGACATTATCTATCAGCTCTTATAGTTTATTGTCCGGGACTATCCACCGATCAGCCTTAGGGACCCGGTCCAGGTTTCCCTAAATTGGGACAACTATTCGTAATGTCTCGTGATCCGAGGTGCACTGGAGTGCATCATTTATTGAGGCTTTGGTCATAGGGACATCTGAGAAAACCAGATCTAGTACATTTCTGTCATCATATGTTAGGACATCTGGTTCAAAAATCAGATCCAGTCTGTGGTCTGTCATAGTCTGTGCAATTATAGCACCACCATGATATCCTGGATTGCTTGAGTCCCAGGATGTGTCGCTAGCATTAAAATCTCTGGCTATTACACAGCCAAAGGGTGGAGTCCATACTTCCAGAATGTCATCCACTTCTTGTGGGTTGTCACATGGTCGGTAGATGCTGGCAAATGTAATGCCTTGTACCTTGATCCAAGTGATGTCTTGTGTAGCATAAGGCCAAATTTGATCCGCTTAAAGATATTTTCTCACATAAATGAGAGATCTGGGTCGTATATTGTCGCTGTCCCAGGAATTAACCGGGGAATATATATCATAATTTGGGTGTGTCTTTATTCCCATTCTTCTGCCTGGTAGTATACCGATCCAGGGCTCTTGCATCAGAGTGATGTCTGCTTGTGCTCTTTTATAGTCAGCCAGGTTAATGGCTAACTCTGTAGGGCCTGCACTCTTTTGTTCTTCTGCCGCATTCATGGAATGGATGACCAGGTGCCTGTGTCAATGTGTTTTGTTTGATGTACCTAGCATTGACAGACAATAATGGTGTCGGCATCTCTGGGATGAGCTGTATTTGTTGTGTCGATTTGTATTGTGGTGTCTTTGTTATTATTGTTAGGCGTTGACCCAGCTTGGTATCTGCCTATTTTATTAAAGGCCCTAGATCTGGCTCTTTCTCTGGCCAGCCTTATTTCCTGGATTTGTTCCCATATGTACTTGTGGATGATACCTTTCATGACCTTGGGGCGTGCAGGACATTTGTCAAAATTGGCAGCATGAGGCCCCTTGCAGTTGACGCATTTTGGGATTGGTTTTTTGCACTCCCCCTGGTGTACTGTGCTGGCGCAACGTGCATATACTTGCTTTTTGCATCAGTAGTTCTTACCATGGTATCTGAAGTAGTTCGCACACTGGTGAACCTTGGGTGTGTATTGAATGTGCCTTGAGGTCATTGAGTGAACAAAAAGCATAAATGGTTTCTTTGCTGTACGGGGCAGAAAGATCACCTATGTGGTCTCTAGATCAGAATTAATCGTGTTCCTTGAGAATATGCACCTTAAAGGTCTGTCGCCTGTTTAGGCTTTAACTTTATCAGCAACAGCAATGTCGGTAATGTTGATTATCAACCCTTCCGCACTGATGACCTTTCTTGGGCATCTATCAACCTTGTAGTGATATTAGACTGTGTGGGTTTTGATCTTTTGTGCCTTAAGAATGTCGACGATTTCTTCTTGGAAGGCCAGGAGCTTAGCCTGAGTTGGCTTGTCCCTTGGGTGTAAGGTAAATCCGGAGGGGCACCATGTCACTTCTCTAAGCTCCTGGGGGTGAAGCTTAAGTCTTCTATTCAGTGTAGACTTTATCCTATAAGGCTCTAAATGGCTATTGTCCATGCGGATAAAGACCTGGAGATCATCCTGCTTCTTCTTCAGTTGATTAGCAGCGGTAAGGGCACCAGGCTGTGTTTTCTTCATGGTGGTGTTGGCTGTCAGTGGGTGCTGTCGGTGGCTAGAAGAGACGGCTTGGGCGAAAGTCATGGTGGGCTTCCCCATCCCCCCGGAAATGGTCTTCCTTATGGTCGAATCTTGGGTTTCCAGCCACTCGCTCAGGCATTTAGAAAAGAAAGCACTGAAGTCCTTGGCATGAGAGTATAATTCGGTTCCAGCTTTCTCAAGTGTCTTGTCAACTGCTGCAGCACACTCCTGAAACATTGTCATCAGCCTAGTTGATACACCATATATCACCAAATATGAATTACTCCAGCTTGGTATCTACAGAGAACAGCTACCAGTACAGTGAGGTTGCCCCTGAAGCTATGGGATAGGCACCTCTCACCCGTGAACCCTCTCGTTTCGTCACTTCGGAAACCAACGTAAGATAGAACGGCAGAATGCGGATGTAGCACTGCGCTTTGCATAGTTGAACGTCGCCACCACAGGTCGTCGTCTTCCTAGAGAACGATATCTCGTAGTGTAACAAAAGGTGGTCTTCAAACCGATCTTTGCCAGATCTCAACCCTTTCCCGGTCTTTAAATTGAAGGCCGGGGATGGATTAACTTGCCTCAAAGAGGCTTAGGAGTCTAGGAGTCACGGGAGATGATCTTTGATACTCGCAAGGAAAACATTGTATGTAGCTACAAGAAAGCGAAGGGATACTGGTTAAGTACAGTTGCCGATATCCCCACTAGCCTCTCTGTAAGCAGAAACACCTTCATCAAGCAAAGGGCTCCCAACGCATAGGCCCGTACCTATTCCCTACTTCGAGGCTACTCTAGAACACGAGCGATCAAGAACTGCCAGGAATACTCAAAGAGTCGAGGGACCGAGCCTGAAGCTCGAACATTACACCGCCAGCTTCGAATCGAAGGTGCAGCCAAGTATTAATAGGATGCGCATTCTATGCTTCCCCAGGTAGGGTTCCCATTCCGAAGGCAACGAGCTCGTGTCATTAAAAAGGAGAACTACATGTATGCATGTGGCGTTCAGGACTGGACCATGGCGTGCACGGACCAAGTGGCGCGACCCCCCTTATCTGATCCGATTGTGGCTGTGTCAGGTGGTTGGCGTCGGCACTCGGCGCTTACGTTCGATTTACTGTGGGACACATTCGTCCACCTGCATGCAACGCCTGAGTGCCTGAGTGCCTGAGTGACCTGCCACTGCAAAATTCAAACCCCTTCGAAGTTCGAGGTGACCCTCGCGCCGGCTTTTCTGTTCACTCTACTTGTCCGAGTGCGCATCGCTATCTCATCAAAGACATCGGCATACGAAGCGCCGGTATTGTTCTATGAATACCTCCAACAATCACATTGCTACCAGTCGAAGCGCAAGCTCACTGTTGAGTGCAAAAGAGGGACCTTTGAATCAAGCTTCAGCGCCTGCCGACCGACAGTGAAGAAGTGAAACCAAGGTAAGCAAGCCACTTCCTGCACACCTACTTACCTGGGTCAAGCTGCAATAAGTATTTCACTTGTTGTTATATATCCTGTTTCTACTTTCAAATCCTATACAAGCCTGACTTACTACAATAGGAAATCAGAATGGCTACCGACTCTGGGGATACCAAGGCGGACGCGTCCTTTTCGTGGCTGTAAGACCGCCCTCCTGTGTCCTAGCCGGCCATCACACAAATGCTAACTCGTGCCCATAGGAAGCCCCATGCGATATTCTGTATCATCCTTGTCGGCGAAGAAGAAATCCCCTTTGGCATCCAGAAGGACTTTCTTTGTGCCAAGTCCACCTTCTACCGCTCTCACTTTGCTCAGCAGACTGCTGAGCAGCTAGAATCCCTCGTCAAACTGCCCCAGGCGACCCCCGAGGTCTTTGGTCTGGTCCAACACTTCCTGTACACCGGTGCTCTGTTCTTCGACCCCCAGTCCGTCCCGAGTTATGAGGTTCTCATCGCCACCTGGAAGCTCGGCCACGAGTTGGGCATTGAGGGTCTTTGCGACGAGGCCCTTCACGCCATGACCGAGGCGCGAAGACTGAGCCAGCTAATACCCTCCACGCCGCTACTCGTCCGAGCGTGGAAGGAGACACCCGAGGGCTCATCCATCCGTACCCTGCTCCTGACCTGGGCTGCTGAGTACATCAATACCTCCGAGTCTCGCCACGAGTTCAGCAAATCCCTACCCCAGGAGGTGCTGAGTGAGCTGGTAGTAGCGATGAGCAATCTGAACTCTGCGCCAGTGATCCAGGTCAATTCTGTGGCTTCGCCTGGCGGGCAATCGCACCGCAAAAATGTCCATTACCTCGAACGAGACGACAGCGAACCCGAAGTTCACGTCAAGGCACCCAAGCATCGCCATTCAGATGTTGGATCCGGCCGTTCTGCTCAGAACGACCGCAAGCCACCCAAGAAGGCAGTATCGAGGCCTTCACTCCCTAAGGCACCTAAGGCCAAGCGGACCAGCATTAATGTCGCCGATCCCGGTACTTACACCGCCGAGCAGAGAGTGGCATACGCCGATAGCCAGTTGACGAAGATGCTCTCTGGGCCTGGTAAGTTCATGTTGCTCATGTTTGATTCGTGTCGTGTCGTTGACTGACATACTCGCCAGGTTACTGGACCCGCCTCGTGGGACCATTCCGCGAAGCTGTTAAGCCCGTCGAAGAAGGCGTGCCGGACTACCTGGAGAAGATCACCAAGCCCATGGACCTCCTCACCATCCGCAGCAAGATCGACAATAAGGAGTACGGTGACATCGACGAGTTCATAGCCGACGTCAGCCTGATCTGGGAGAACGCCTTCACCTACTGGCGCAAGGAGGAAGACCCGGTACGAAGAATTGCTGTTAATTTCAAGAAGAGCTTCGAGGACAGCATGACGCCGGCCAAGATCAACAAGTTCTGCTCGAAGTACGCAGGCGAAGAACCTGAGGAATAGGAACCCGAGGAACAGGAATCTGAGGAATAGGAAACTTAGGAATTGTAAGCTTGTCTGGGACCGTTCGATCTGGACTGGGCTGGAACCTGCTCCTTCAATTTCTTCCTTTCCATTGCTTTTTCGGTCCGTCCCTTCTATTCTCTTGTTATATTCTGCTCAGAAGGAACAAGATACTGTTCGTGGTATACTGGCGTTAGGCATGGGGTATATGAGTCGTCTCGAAATCGCTACCTGTTGCGGGCGTTGAGAAGTATCCAATACGGATGGCGTTCAGGACATTTGTAATATAGCAGGCAGTTAGTATATTCCCCGGTGTTGTTGTTCAGATGATGAGCGTTTCAATTTCTCGGATTTTTTTATTCACGTCGCGAGGTTCAGAAACCAATCCTACGTGAAAAACTTCAAACGTGCGCGGTGCTATGGCGTGTGTGGCGCGTCCCGTGGCCCTCCAGGGCTAGCAGAGCCGCTTCCTGGAAGGAAGCAGCGTTCAATGAATGATACCTGTTTTTAGGTGGCGATGCCACCCGGGTATGCGTTGGCGCCCACTTTCAGCCCCGGGAGCTTCGAAGAAGCTTGTACGTAGGTATATACATACAAAATGGTGGTAGAAGGCCTAGCTATGCACACGTACGCCCCCTTTTGGGGTTGCACGACAGCACAGCCAGATCTCGGGCGCTCACGCCCTCTTCCCCCAAGACAAGCATGTCTCCCAACTGGTTCTTCTGTCCATCTAGCCCGTACGGTAGCGGTTACCCATAGATGGCCAATTTGAGCCTTCGTAAGCTCCAAAGCACACAACAAGGGCACTCATCCTTTCAAGGATCGTTGGAGTTAGGTACTGGTTTCTGCTGACCCATCAGTAGAAGAAGGTAAAGTTGCGACAATGATTCAGCGTACGCACCAGCTTCCTCACTTGGGTGGCCAGTTCGCCAGATGGAAGGTTGACCAGGCCATCGCAGTTTCAAACCTTCTCGAGCACTGTGCTCGCATTGTCCTCAAACGGCTGACCGGCTTTCACGAGATCTTCAATGTCGTCGCAGCACTAATAGGAGCGCTGTCGCTGGCTGCCCTCGCTTTCGATGAGTTCCATCCCACCTCATCGGATAGCCTCCTTGCGGCGGAGGGGCTGCTCGCCAGTTGCGGGCTCACCCTTGTGACCGCCGTCATGGTTGCCACCATGCTCTTGTTCAAATACAGAGACTTCGAAGAACCGACCCGGCTCGACCTCGCCGTGGCCTGGACGCCTCTGGTCCTGCTCGACCTGAGCATTGTAGAGCTCATTCTTGGCCTGGTCATTTGGTACGGTAGCAAGAATGGAGGGTGGCGAATGGGTGTCATCGTAGCACAGCTTTTCGTGTTCTTGACGCTCGCTGTGGCGATGGCAGTGTGGATGTGGAATACCATGAGCACTCCTGGCGGACTGGGTGCACATGAAGGTGCGCCGACAACTTCACCCACCGCAGGCCATCAGCAGCCAGACAAGCCCAGTGCGCCTTGATTGGATGTCCATGCGCACATCTGCCGACATGAACATCTCGGCACTGTCCCGCCCGCGTCAGTCGACAGGACGGTATGTGTATAGGATAGATACAAAGGCTCCCAGTGAAAGATGTGCGTTGAAGGGCAAGCTCCTGAAGCGAGGAGAGAATCAATTTGTATGAACTCGCAATTAATGTCTTCAGCCTCAGATATTGGGTCAGTACTGAAATAGATACTTGTACTAGGGTAGGACGTAGATGATACACCCAAACATCCAGGGGCACAAAACCGCGGCCCTGGATGGGGGTCACATCACTGTAAGACGGGTGAGCTCGATCCGTTCTCGTCTCATCAAAGCAAGAATGACTAGCTGTGGCCGCTCTTACTGCAAGTACTCAAAGATGCGGAACGAAATACTTCAGCTCAGATTTGGTCATCGCGAGGTGGTGTGGAAGTCAGGGACAACAGTCTGGGCCAACGAAGCCGAGGATGTAATGGAGAACGAGCGAGCGCTGGAGGCTCCTTTTCTACGGCTCAGCCACGCGCTGGCTGAAGCGTTTCTATGTCCATCAGACTCGCCACGGTTACTTCTACCACTTGGGCTCTGAAAACGTCGCCCCATGCTGTGATGGCCCGTGACTGTGGGCTGTCAACGTTGATGGGGCACCGAAGAACTATAGCGAGCATCAGAGGTCGTCGACAGATAAGCCTTTCTCAAGTCTCAGAGCTGGACGGTTGATTGTCCTTGACCTCCTCGTAAGCACTCTTCACCCGTAGCCTTAAGCGCATTGCAGAGGTCCGGGGAGATGAAGGACGAAAGTGCGAGAGACGTCTCTCCACATGAGGATTGTCCATGTATGACAAATGCCCTGTCGGGATGACGGTCCTGCCAACGCGTCTGTTTTCCGCACATGAATGCTGGAGGAAATCTTGATATGAGAGGTTACTTAGCTCCCGTCACATAGTAAGTATATTTACCGATGGCTAATGGGATGGATGTCCTCGCCAAGGTCCTGGCCTTGATTCGATGTGATTTGAAGAAAATGGGAGGGGGCCGTGGTAACGGTGACCCCCATCCAATGTGGTTCGAGTCATGCGTCATCCAAGGTAGACGAATAGAGTCCCCCGTGTAACTCTACACCGATTGCGTAGTGTGAGCATATATTTTACCACTCAGAGCCATTTGTTTGCTCAAAACCTGGGCGCTTCCCTGACACGCGCGGGAGGGTAACATTAGCTCGTGTGATTCCACATCATCGAAGCGGAGGCCCTCGTCAAAGGAGCTTGTCTTGCTCTGCAGTAGTCCCCGGTTGCATTGCGTACATCACGATCGTATATGACTTGGGCGTCCATTGGCGTGATTGGGGGGCCTTCGCCATTTACGAGCCTGTATCAAGTTCTCTCATTCCCGTTGCTAGCAGCAGCTCTAGTCCCTTTTCTACTATGCAGGCTCCATGACACTTCATTGGCTGCTCGAAGGGTCATAGGTGAAAGCTAAGCGCATGCCAATCCTCTCTATATGCGGCTGGGTTGCGAGGTGGCGACTACCGCGGCTATGCGAACTGACGGTGGGGGGAATTTGAGGATCATGGCTCATGCTGCTCATGACCACAGCAAGGCGGCGGGATAAGTTGCCGAGGAAATGCAACCCAGCTCCTTCAGCCTCCATGCCGGCCAATGAATGAGACGGCATTCTGGGCTGTTCGGAAAAGGTAGTCCGAAATGGCACTGTGACCTCGAGTGTGCCCAAGGAAGGTGTTCCTTCGCAAACATTGCCATGGGCTACGACCAATGACCAATCCGATTAAGTATAGACCCCAGGCGAGCTGAGTGTTTACATGTTGGTTGGTTGGGAATGATACCCAGCATAGCCGCGGCAGTCGCGCGTCTGGCACTTCCCGGTTCTTCTGCATCGGCTCGTCCGGCTTCTCGAGGGGGTATGGGGCTAAGCCACCCGACTTATCCAGGCCAGTCAACCAATGAGCCTCTACTTCATACAGAAAAGGACCGAGATAAGGCTTCTCGATGACTAGTCAAATGGCTAGCCGCTTTCCCCAACGATGACATAACATTATTCAACAAATCCGGAGTATTGTTGCTTGTGGGGTCGGGTTGCCGCGAGCCGGTTCGGGATGCCGGTTCCAGGGTCACAACTAACACACCAATAGCACACCTTGCCGACGTGGTGACTAGGTACTGATGGGGCCGCGCTTGCACACATTAGAACCCGCTGAAGAATGTAACCCTTCACGTGCTAAGAGCCGTTCATCTGGTGGGCGCAGTTGCGAGAGGGCAGCGGATCGTTCCGACTGGACCGTGCGTGGCTGCCCGAACGCGTGAGTTCGTTGAAGCTTTCTTTCCTACCCCGTAGCTCCTTGGAGCCCAGATATCCACTCGGCTGTTGCAACCCTATAAAGTATACGAACAGTGGCCCGTTGTTAACGCGAACACGAAGATCTGGATCGATCGTGTACCAAACCTTCCAGAATGGCAGACGCAGCGACATCCGCGGTTCTTCATAGAAGTCTCCACCGTGAGTTCCCCCGTCTGATAGGGGGAGATGGGAGTTACCTCCTGTTGGAGGACGGTCGCAGAATTCTCGATGCAGCCGGAGGAGCTGCCGTCGCCTGTATCGGACACGGCGACGCTCGAGTCCATGAAGCTATCAACAAACAGCTGAAGAAGATATCGTACTGCTCCAGCCTGTTCTACACGACTGATGTCTGCGAACAACTCTGTCAGGAATTGGTTGATTCTACACATGGTGCGATGAAGCGTGCATACATCGTCAACTCTGGTACGTGAACAAGGCCAGCCGAAAGGAACTGTGTCTAAGTCAGCCAGGTTCTGAGGCGATGGAGGCCGCAATGAAGTTATCGAGGCAGTTCTTCCTGGAGAAGAGTCCACCAGAGCCAAACCGGACCAGATTCATAGCGCGCCAGCACTCATACCACGGAACAACGCTCGGTTCACTCTCGATGGGCGGCCACGTCGTGCGGAGAGCCAAGTTCGAACCGATGCTACTCGATTGTATCTCCCGAGTCTCCCGCTGCTTTCCGTCCCGCGACAAGCCTGCCGACGAAACCAACGAAGCATATGTCTCACGGCTGGCAGAAGAACTTGATGGCGAATTTCAAAGGGTCGGGCCAGACACTGTCTGCGCATTCGTTGCTGAACCCGTCGTGGGAGCGGTTCGTCAAACGCATCGAAACGCGGAAAGCGAGCCAGGCTCACGCGTATATAGGCACTCGGCTGCGTTCCAGCTGTGCCTGGATACCTAAAGGCTATGCGATCCGTTTGCGACAAACACGGCGCGCTGCTCATACTCGACGAAGTCATGTGTGGCATGGGACGTACGGGTTTCATGCATGCTTGGGAGCAAGAAGTAAATACTTACCAGTTGTGATGTTTTCGGGGGCACATCGCTCCTGACCCATGGATTGGTGTTCAACATCGTCCTCTTCTTGATCAGCATCTCCAGTGCACCCTCGATAGTCGCTTGCTAACGCGTGAACGGTGATAGGGCGTCCCTCCTGATATCCAGACTCTGGGGAAATGTCTCGGAGGTGGCTATCAGCCAATTGCGGGGCTTCTTGCGAGCAGCAAAGTCGTCGATGTTTTCATGAAAGGCAGTGGGTGAGTTCCGCAAGTTGATGCCCTCTTAATTGCAACACGGCTGAGAAGGCGGCGCGCATAGGAGTTTCGCCCACGGTCATACCTACCAGGGCCACCCAATCACCTGTGCGGCAGCTCTCGAGGTCCAGAAGATTATCCGCGAGGAGAAGCTGATACAGAACGCGGCGCAAATGGGCGACTTGCTCTCTGCGAGCTTGTATAGCTTACTTGCCGACCATCCAAATGTTGGCGATATTCGCGGCCGCGGCCTTTTCTGGGGAATTGAATTTGTCGCCGACAAATCAACCAACAGCCCCTTTCCAAGCTCTGCCGACGTGGCAATGAAGATCGGTGAGCTCGGTCTCACTGAGCCTTATAGAATTGCGGTCTATCCCTCTTCAGGAACTGCAGATGGCGTTAATGGTGATCACATCATCATCGCGCCTCCGTATAATACCACAAGTGCAGAGGTCGAGAAGATTGCCACGACGGTTGCAAGATTGGTCAAGGACTATTTCTCGTCAAAGAAGTTCTGATCAGCAGTTCTGCTATGCCCGGGGGGCACGCACCTGAGCAGATTGAATTGTGGCGAAGCAGACCTTTCTTTCAATCCCTGGAACGAGACATCACATTATGGGCGCAATGTAGCCAGATGACGGTCCCGGGCGAATGCCTTGGTTGATTCGTTTGCTCCAGTGCGTTCGGGGGGTCGTGTACGAGAAAACTGAGCTGGAAAGTGAAGAGATCAGAATCAGATGGTGGGCAGACTGTCGTTGCTGAAGTCAAGGGAATGGCACGGCTTGAGGACTGGCCTGCAATGGAACCAGTTCCCGGGCTATAGTGCAGGTTAAACCGCTTTCTGATAACATTGCGTCATGAAGAAAGGGAAGATGAGCAAAATGTGTTGTTGTATAAAAGAGTGAAATAGTGCAGTCTACTCCAGAGGATAGTTACAGTGCAGTTTTAGCCAACGCTGGAGCATATAATTTTTTTAAAAGACTATTAATTAATATTATATATGTTTAAAAAAACAGCTGGATTTTAAATAATATCGCTTGCAAGTAGCTAAAAGATGGTTTTTTTTTAACAAGCAGACACAAAACGAAAAAAAAGACCAATCCGAAGCGATCTTTTTAATATCAAATAGCTATAAAAGCTATACTTTTGTACGTATAATTTTTTTCCCTTGATCTTATTTAATTAATTAATTATTTATATATTAATTTTATTTAATAGAATTTAACGCGGGTTAATAAAACAAACTTATAACCATGTATTATTTTAATAACATCTTCCTTTATTTTTTTCTTTACGTATATTAATTACGGCATGCAACCTTTAAATAATGGGCCTTATAACGCTTTAAAAGCCTCCAGTAGAATTTTTTAAAGTTTAATTTTTTAATAAACGTCTTGCTTATTAACAAAATTAACTTTATCCGCTATTATAACAAAACAAAAACTTTTATTTTTATCAGAGAAAATATTCTCTCGGGCTTTAAGGTTATTAAATGTTATCTTATTAGCCGTAAGAAGTGCTTATAGCACCTAGAAATATAGAAAAAAAAGACCTTTAAACTTAATACCTTTGAAAGCTTTAACTTAAAGAACTAATAAACCCTCATCACAAGCTGCTAAATTATAAATTTCTGTAAAAATAAGGCCCTAAAAACTAAGTTAAAATACAAGAAGATAACAAACGCGTTTAAAGTTTTAAAAAATTAAGGTTTTTTTTAAAAGGCCTCAAAAGCTAAATTAAAGCACCTACCGCTAAAAAAGCGCTAGAAAATCTTTAATCTTAATAAAAAGTTTAAAATAGTAATAAATATACTATTTTATAAAAATTTCTTAGCTTTATGTCACGCGTAAAGGTTTAAAAAACATAGTTGTTAAGTCGGAAAATAAAAAAGAAGATAAAGATAACCCTTTTAATAAAAACGTTTTAAAAGCCATATAAGAGCCTCGCCTATCACAATCCGGGCGACCTGTTCGGCCGCCGGCTAGATATTACGCATGAGCAGCTTTAACGCTTTTGAATAATAATTTCGCTGTATCTCTTTAACCTAAACGGCTTCATTTGTTGAATGGGAGCCAGAGATAGACACCGGAAGATCTCCAGTGGGGCAGAGACGCACAGGGCATCTGACTCACCAAGAAGACAGATGATCAATCTCTGCACGCAGAAAAAGAACATAATCAATAGAATCAATCAACATCCGTGTATTCAACATCATTCGTATATAAGTGAATAAGGGGGTGTTTTGGTGGTGATGGTGGGGTTTAGCTGTCCGACTAGTGGGGGTGTCCGACTTCTATGGAGGGATGGTATCTTCTCCGTTATCTTGTAGCTGTAGATCGCGACGCCGTTAAAGGAGGTATAGCCTTTAGTGCTATGGACCTTGATCTCTGCGTGCTCGTCACGGTCCTTGCATAGCGCATTGGTGTAGACCTTGACCTTTCCGGCGTCGGCGACTGCGAGGGTAAGGAAAGGGATGACGGCGAGGAGGGCGGTAGAGAAATGCATGGTTGTTGTTCGGGTGGGAAGGGGATAAGTTATCGCTTCTTCGCCTCGGAGAATATGTGGCTGTGTATTAGATAGGTAGGTATGATGTGCGATGTGTGAGTGATGGTTGTGGTCGAGATATTCTACTGTAAAGTTTGATTTGGGGTGCGTGCCATAGGCATTTATATAGCATAGCCGTTGGCCGAGACCCCGATGTTGTCAGCGTGGTTTAAAACTAGAAGCATAGGATAATAAGAAGGGTCAGATCCTCAAGGGTCTAGGAACTTTATGGGTATCCCCTTGAGCACTGAATTCGTGGGAATTAGTGCTTGTTTGTCTGGTACGAAACGGGCATGGCCTTGACAGAACCAGAACCAGTCTGTACGGCGGTATTGGCTAACAATTATTCGAGCTGCGATTGGTCTAACCCCTGTCTACACTAATTCCCACGAATTCAGTGCTTAAGGGGATAGGAACTTTATGGGTATAGGAACTTTATAGGTATAGGAACTTTGAAAGGATCACTCCCTGTCCAATAGCAGCTCAATTGGCTTCTTTTCTTTTCATCGCCACGCAGCTGGCATTGCACGAAGGCACTGCAGTGTGGGAGCAGAGCCCCTACAGTCTTCAAATGCTGTGTACATACTACCTAGGTACATATTGAGTTGGTCAGCCACAGTCAAGCCGCAGAGCCCACATGCATTGTGTGGCTGCTGGTAGGTACCAGACCAGAACTGGACCAGCCCTCCACTTTATGCTTATCAAAATTACTCCACCTCCAGGCCTCAGCCACAGCTGAGCGAGCGAGCACCGCGTTTCTCCAGAGTCCAGACTGTTTTTAACCTCCAGCTTCAATGCGCCGCGCGTGAATCTCCACCATCTAGCCAACTCCGTCGTCACGCGCCGCCGTCAGCAACGAAGCCAGCGGGCGCACGATCGAAGCAACCGCCGCCCGATTTTGTCATCACTGCTCGCGACTGACAATCCCGCCAAGATGGACGCCTTGCTGGACCCTCCGCGGTCGAACATGGCCTGCAACTCAGTGGAGGATCTTCAAAACCACCTGCACAACATTCTCGCGTCAAAATCCTCCGACACACGCGCCGAGCACTCCTCCCTCACATTTGAGCTACGCCAACATACCACCTTCCATCTCACTGAAGAGTCTGATAATGGAGGCGCCGATGGGGTCGATTTCGCTCAATCCCAGCAGCTGCCGGTCTTGCGAACCGTAATGGCATCGGAAACCGTGCAGAACCAGCCCTCCGACGACCCAGTCCTCCAGAGAGCCGTCGCAAAACATATAGTCAGTGCGATGGGAGCTGTGGATGGCAGTTTGTGGACAGTCCGACAGGTGACTAGAGGCGCCCAAGGATGGACACTCACGTACATTTGCGAAGACTCTCTTCAGGCCTGGAACCGCGCAAATGCGAAGAACGCCGAAAGACCAGTGATCGGGGGCTACAGTGGAAATGGGGGGTTGGATCCGATCAATCTCTGTAAGGCTGCGCCTCCCAGTCATCTACCATTCGTTATATACACATGCTAATCTATCTGCAGCGCGTCCCGCCTTCGACTGTCGCGGTACTCTAACAATCGCCTTCTCCAAGTCGAGCCGAGGGGTGGTCGTCAAATACGAACATACACCACTTCACAAGTCCGTCACCCAGCTGGTTGAACGTCTGTTACCTAGCCTCCCGCCTCCGCCTGTCAGCAATGGGAACACCTTCAGCCAACGTACGCCCAAGGCAAAACGACCACCGCCAGCCGAAGGCGAGGAGGGAAGTCGCAAAAAGCGAAGAAAGAAGGCAAAAGCGCCGATGGATGACGGAGCGCCCGATACTCAGAGCGCTACTCAGGACAACACTGCCACTCAAGGGACATCCCAAGAAGGCGTCCACCTGACTTCAATAGTCAATGTACCTCCTGCCGAGGCTGAGCGACGGCGATTAGTCGCGATCGAACTCCTTACTGGGAAGGACATTGAACCAAGTACTCTGTCGGCGGAACAGTTTAACATCTTCGCGAATCAGGCGCCCAACTTGCAAACTGCATCGCTCGAGATGCTGGCCAAGTACGGGGCAGAGAGACTTAGGATCGTCCATCCGGACGACAACAACGCATCGGGCTCCTCTACTCCTGCGCAAGCCCAGTCGGCGAATGCTACACCTGCTAACGGGACAGCATCAGCTGCGGCATCATCGGAGACGCCAACTAAGAAGAGGCGTAGCAAGAAAAAGAAGTCCGAGGGAGCTCCGGCTGAAGACGTCTCTATTGGCGACGGTGCTGTGATACCTCTTGAGCAGACTGGTGAGCTTGGTACGACCGAGTCAACCTTGAAGCCAAGAGTCAGAAAGACACGCGGCAGCTGTGATACTTGCAAACAACGCAAGGTAAAGGTGAGTTGACTTCCCATCAGCGCATCAGAATAGTCTCATACCAATACTATAATACCAGTGTACGAAGGAGCACCCAGCTTGCTCGACCTGCATCGATTGGGAGGTAGACTGCGTATACTTACCTCCCAAACCGCGACGAAAGTCGGAAAATGCAGCCGAAGCGGGTGGAGAATCCGATGGTGCAGGCGAAGCTGAACAGACTGAAGGGTCAGGTCAGCATCAAGCACCGGTGCCGGTTGAGACACAGCCAGAGCCAGCTGTCGTTGCACCACCATCACCATCGCCACCACCACCCCGGCAGTCGCAGCCGCAGCCGCAGCCCCAAACCCAGCCCGATCCCGACAACGAAGAGTTCATTCCAGATCCGAATATCTTGTCTGGCCCTACCGAGCATCATCAGGCTATTGCTGCCCAAGCTGCCCAAGCTGCCTCCAACAATTACTACCAACCGCAGAGCACCGGTCTCACCTTTCCAGCAGTGAACCATCCGCAGCCATCTGCTGGAAACACGTCGGTGCTTGGCTTGACTTCCCCACAGTCAGAGTCCCATGGTGATGTTTCGCAGTCGTCCGCTGGATTTCCATTTCCTGCCACGGCACACTCTTCTCAGCAGGCACAACAATCACAACAATCACAAGGCTTGACGTTTCCCACCACCACTGCGCCTTCTTCAAATCATAACCGGCAGGCCTCTGCCCCGTCAGGCAGGCGAAGTCTGCCCAGTGGCCAGAGTAAACAAACGCCAGTGCCTCCGCTTACAATACCGGCCCAGGCGTCTAATTGGAATGCGTCGCCGTCAACGGGACACGCCACTGCCAGTGCCATCTCGCCGACTATGAAACAGGCGCAAGCCGCTAAGCGACCGAGATCACGCAAATCCGGCCCAGAAGCCACCCAACAGCCATACGAAGGGATGAAGCAGGCTACCGCCGTGTCGCAGCTATCGCAGGCCCCAGCCCCGGCACCAAGCCAACAATCAGTAGTCACCAGATCTCCGTATCAGAGTTCCGCGCGCGTAAAGTCACGGCAAGGGCGTAGGTCTCAGACTGGTACTCCCGTGTCTAATGCTCCTCGTCAGCCTCCGCCAGCTCCGCAGATAACTGCCCATCAACCAGCTACTACTACTGCTTCATATAACACCCCGCCCACAGCCAGTGCTATTCCGAACTACGATCCGTACTCTCGTTACAACAGCGGTAGGACTAACAATCAATATGCTGAGACCACGACCGATCATGGGTCATCACGGATTGCGTACGAACCCGGCTCGTACCAAACAAACCCGAACCCTACTACGACGGCAACCACGACTTACTCTGCCGCCCCATCCTACGACTATACCCAAAGGTCATCGACCAATTCTCTGTCTCAGGCTCTGAACCCATCTGCGGAGTATGGTAGTAGCACGAGCAGTCCCACCTCGAATCAATGGCCGACATCTCAGACCCGGGGTGCTCAGTCTCAAAGCACCAGCTCGTACTCCATGCCGTCGGCTCCCGCCCCGAATTCTCATGCTTACGAAACGAGATCTTCTGATACGCGAGCGTCGAATCAGACGTCTTCCTACAACCAACCCCAATCTCAACCATACGGCTCATACTCATCCCAACAGCCCAATCCAGCCCAGCCATCTCAGCAGAATTGGTATGGCTTCACAGCTGCAAACAACAGCAGCAGCAATAGCAGCAGCAATAGCAACAACCAAGCCACTTATGGCAGCAACAGGAGCAGCGGCTATGGTGCCCCTAGACCTAATGTGTCTGGGTACCCTACGTACGGTGGCTCGGACGAGCAATCCATCTACGATCTGCTCAGAGCCAGTGGCTCCAATAACTAGATGTGCCTGAGCTTTACTCATCGGTCGAATTGCTTGCAGGATTATTTCTTCTCTGCGTATCCCTTTCCGCAAGTCACGCACTTTTCATGATTGGCTTGTATAGCGGCTGCGTCTATTGTATGGAGGACACGGCGCAACTATATGCGCGATTCTAGCACATTATAAGTGCCTTCGGATACCCGCTTTGGCAAACCATGTATTGCAGTAATGTTCTATGAGCCTGACCGTCGCATCACGAGCCATTGCGCGAAGTTGCCTTGTCGGATCAATAAAACTGCGTTTGATTGTTCATTCTCGGGTCCAACCCCTCAATGCCTGTCTGCATTGCGGTTATGCGTGTGACTTGTTTTAAAAAGGGCCCTACTGACGCTGTATATGATAAACAACAAGAACGATCTAGCTTAACCGTTTAAAGTGTAATGCCTTCTCCGAGGATAGGTGTACTAAGGTGCAGTCAATGATCCACCACGACTGCGTGTGTGCAGTATGAGCCGCAGCATCGCATGTAGGGTGGCACTCCATTGTGTACGAACCGGCACCTGGGAGGATCTCTAGGAGCATGGCGTACGGTTGGCGAAAAGGCGTAAATATGACCCTCTCGTGCAGTAATGCGGTCTTCCCCTTTTCCCCTGGGCCCTACCAGGCACGCCTCCTCAGCACCCTTTCCCATTACTTACATACTCAATCACAATTTCAGCGTCTCTCAGTCGTTGCGGTACCCTCGCCAAGTTCGCTCTTGAGTCGAATCTACCGGGGCTTCATGTGGCCGGAACATCGTCTGGCTACAAGGACGCATTCCCTTGTACGCTCTGTCCAAAGCCACTAAACGCGGACAACTTGCTCTTTCATGTAAGAGCAGGAGGCCAACGCACACGAGAGCAGTGTCGGGTCGAAGATAGACCAGGCAATTGCAGCTAAGAAGCACCATTTGACCTCCCCCCGTCTGCTTGGTATACAGCTGTGCGAGTCACGTCTATGCCTTTCTGACCATCCAGTACTTCCGCAGGCTCTCTTTCGTCCACCTGATACTTCTGCCACTCCCTTGTTCTTCCAACGGCAACTTGTCAACCCCAGCTTCCCTCGGCTCTGCCTATTTCCACGAACACCAGTTGTAAAGTGTGTTGTCATGTGTTTTCTCCTCAAGCCACGAGTTCACCAAGGTCCTCTCGACTGACTCTCGTGTTTCGTTGTAGATACTCCATTGATCCTCGAGGCTTTGAGCAGCACCGACTGTAGCGGACGGGAGCTGTAAGTTGCCTTGTGTTCATGCCTATCGAACAGGAGAGGTCCTTTGGTGAAATATGTCAAGCTAAGCCTCGCCATTTGAGTGCTGGTAGTCAGACGTCAGACCTCCTGTCCCTTGAGCCTGTGTATTCTGACACGCCACACCCGGAGATCGCCATGCCGAAGTAGCGCTCGATGCCGGACTTCGATTCATTGCCAGAACTTGGTTTCCGTCACAAGGCAAGCGCAGCCCTCAGATTCACCGTGATAAACAGCAGTTACTTCGGGATCGATTTTCAGAGTCCTTTCGCTGGTCGATGACTTCGAGAGAAGCAGCTCGGCACGAATTCAAAGACAAGCGATTGACCCATCTTTGCGCAAGTGATCGCCAGCGTTGGCTGATTGGCATGAAGATGCGTTTAAACATCACCGCCAGTTTGAGCTTGTCATCTCCGCGGAAGCTGGGCTGTGCTGCATGCGTTCGTTACTGGTTCTAGAACCGCAGAGTTCGGGACGGGTTGGATCGGGTTGGAAAAGGGCGCATGCCGTCATGTTCAGTATGCGTAGCCTTGCGATGGCTGGTAGACTCATGTTGCTTTATGTCATTGTCTGTGCTCCTCTGCATAGGACGCCTTCTCGTTGAAATTTGACTCATTCACCGTCTCATCAATGGCCGCAGGATGCGTATCAGTCGGTACATGGCGATGGCCCTTGCCATGCTGCAGATGAATCAGCACAGAAAAAACAGCTTGACAGAGCGAAATGACACATACCCGCCGACTATTCCACCTCGTATACCTATTCAGACTCTCGCAGAGCCGGTCGAGGACCCATTCCGACTCGGTAGAGTCGGACAGCAGAGGGCTGTCCTCCCCTATCCAGTCCCACTCGACGAGACCTTCTTCCTCCTCTCGCGCCTCGACGGCGTCTTTTCCGGCCCCTGAACTGAACCGGATGAGTTTCGTGAAGTGCGCCCACTCCTCGTAGCTGTACCGCTTTGGCGGGTCGGCTTGCAGGTCGCGGGCGACGGTGCGGATAGCCGTGGCGAGCTGTCGGGCAAGATTGTGTTCATCCACGTTGTCTTCTCCAGCCCTAGATGTCGGAGTAGTACTCGTGTCCCTTTTGGGAACTTCCATGTTGGCGTTCTCGAGGTTGCCCGAGTCTGCAGCACCGGCTTCATCCGGATCTTGGACCTGTGGAAAGCACGAGTGAGTCGATCCGATCTACGCACACCCTGGGCTGGGGACTTTGTCTCGACGAGTGAGTTCCCCTTACCTGGAAGCCGGCATCCACACGGCGTTGTTCCTGACGACGCTCGAGGAGGCGGGTGATCCAGTGATTCTGGTGCGACTCGATAAAGGCTTTGAGAAAGCCCTTTTCGGGCAGAAGAACGTTTGTGGCCCGATTGACACCGGCGACGACGGTATCTGACATTGCCTGGATGAGGACCGTCAGACTCGGCACAGCGATAAGCGACCATACAATGAAGAACGGCTTGCCGACGTTGGACTTTGGGCTCACATCGCCGTAGCTGTAACACATCTGACGTTAGGCATGTGTGTCTCCAAGTACGAGAATGGGGACGGAATTGCTTGTAGGAGTCGGTTGTACTTGCCCGACAGTCAGAAGGGTCACGAAGCAGAAGTAGAAGCTGTCGAAGTAGCTCAGATCCTGCATACGCGCTTCTGACCACATGAACACCAAGGCGCCCACGCACCACAGCAGCGCGAAAGCAAACACCGCCATTACCAGCGTGTAGTATTGCTTAAACCGCTTGGTCTCATCCTGGATATTCCGCATGGCGTTGAAGCGGTCTTGCTCCTCTTTGAGCACAAGTATTCGGTTCTTACGATCTAGTTTCAGGTGGTGGGTGACCTGTCTTAAGGCCCGACTCGACACTTTCTTGTGAAGGGCTAACGGCCTTTTATGTCGACCACGAGTATCCCTATGGCTCTTGCCCTTTCGGAACGTCACAGTGTCGCCAATAAGTTGGAACTGGCCATACTGAGCAAGGCTGTTACGCCGAGCCATCTGATTACCGACAGACGACTTTCGCTGCTGGGGGAGACCGAGACGCTCTCTGAGCTCCTTCTCGCTCGTGACTGTTCGATCTATGGTGTTCTCCCTGGCGCGTGCTTGGTGCTTCCTGATGACTTTGTCCGCCGAGATACTCGACATGTACTTCGAGAGGCGACTAATGACAAGACCCAATTGAGTAATGCCGACCAATTCGTAGACGAAGAAGAAACCTCGTGCCGCATCTGTCGTGGGGGCAAGGTCTCCATAACCAATGGTGAGAACGGACTTGGGGAACATCTCAGTGGTCTCCAACATGATCTGGCAATGGGGTGGCACTTACGACATCACAGTAATACAATGCATTAGCAAAACTCCAGCCTTCGAGGGAACTGAAAATAGCCGCTCCGCCGGCTAGCCATGCAAAGAACGACAAGGTCTGAAGAATCAGGGTCCGCTGATCGTCGTCCAACACGAAGTTCTGCGGATAGTGTCCGAGGAGATATCCCAGTAGATTAGCTATCAACATCACAGCGCCGAACATGTAAGTAATGGAAGCGAGCACCGCGTGCCAGAACCCCTGTGAGTCTGATGGATAAAAACATGTCGTGTCAGTACTTGAACCCTACATCTCTAGTATATACCAGGCAATGCCCGGCAAATCAAGAATGTTCTACTCACTGCCAAACAGTTAGTATCAAAAGCCAAGGGGGAATATTCTAGAAATCAACAGTTGCGGTTCTTAAGCAACATGTTTTTATACACACCATGTCTGCCCAGGGGGTATGGCTGGGACGTATATGCTCACACTAGTGGTGACGGCGATGAGCTGAAAAGGTGAGGTGAGCCGGCGGTCTGACTACCTATATATGTGTTCAGGGACAACTCACGATGCCAGATGCCAGCAGCCAGAAGATGATGGAAAGCGGCAATGCCACGATGTAGCGGACTCTCCCAACGAAATGGAGCAGCAGAAGCAGGTTGCCAGCGAAGCCGCAGGCGAGAGATACGCCGTTGAGGGCAAGCTCCCTATGCGAAGTCAGACTGGTCCGGGACTGGCTGTGCTGGAACTCGGGGCTCTGACCATCCCGGGTCCTTCAAGGGAATTCCGTTATCATCGGCGCCTTCGGGTAACTGCCCGTTGTTTGGCAGCTCGAGTCGCCAGGCGGTGACCAGCGCGGCTATAGACAGTACATTGGACAGAGGGCCCTGTGTGGCAGCCAGTAATGGCACGGCCGTCGATGCGAACCACCAGTTCCTGAGGGCTAATCAACACACCGCGACTACTTGTTTTTGGCACATAATTATGAATCCTTACTGAGGCAGGTCGTCTGTCTTTCCGCGAAGCTTGAGGAACCCGATGGTGCGGACTGTATCGGTCTTCTTTAATCCTTCTCGGGATGGCGAGCCGTCAGGTCCTGGGCTGTTGCCATCGTCATGACCTCGCCTTCGCAATTGAGAGGTGGTATCGTCTGCGACCATCGCAACTCATGATACACGAGCGCGATGTTAATGAGCGGATGCCACGCGACTACCAGCCTGGACGAGCACATAGGGGCGACATAGTATGGGATTTACATGTGTGCCGTCTAGACCTTTGCAATCAACAGCACTAATCGCGCGGCGGAGCTGGAGATGAAGCTATTCGAGTCAAGGCCCAAGGGTCCAACAACCAAGAACCAAGAACCGAGATGGGGCTCAACATCCATTATGACGTCCAACTGCATTGTTCCGACTTGGCTGAGCAAGGATGGCCTTGCTAGACGGTGGTGGCTCGAGGCTAGGGACACACCTTGGAATAGCGCTGACGCGTAACGGCAGAACGGCATTGCGCCCTGGTTCGCGGCACCTAACGAAGAGGACACGAGGGAGTGAAGCAGAACGTACATTCATTGACGTTGTTGTACCACATGTAGTAAAGGAGGGCGACGGTAAGAAATACTGCAGTCCGATATACTAGTATCGGACTTCTATATCGTGACATGATCTCCAAGAGGTCGCTTGGCTGCATCGGGTCCTCGATCCGTGTGGAGTGTGGGGAAGCAAGCTTTCAGGCTTCTACTAATAAGTGCGACATATGGGCTTGAACTTCGAAGGGCTGAGAGATACAGCTTATTCGGCAAAGAGATTGCGCGACCTGGCTTGCGTCGTACAAGACCTGCGCACTTGGATATCATTGCCGAGTTCAAGTTTGCCTCCCATTCCACGGGACGAACCCCGACTATCTCCCCAACGGCCCAGCAAACCTCACGGTGGCACGAGATCACTTTCCGGTACCGTACTTCAGATATAACCGAGGCAATGTTCCACACAGGAGCGTTCGAGACCCTGCCAAGGTAGTGGCAAGCAAGGGCGTGTAAGACAGGCCATAGCAGCGGAAATAGAGAAAAGGATTCAGTGGTGTCACAATGCGGTTTCTCAGTATATCACCGTACAACATTGTTCCGTGCTTGTGCCATCTTCAATAACAGTAAGGTAATAATGAGAGCTTGCCGTCGCAATGTCCCAGTTCCCCATTGCCTGGTAACATAAGCGAACCTGCAACTGTGCTCCTCTCAAAGAAACCACTCGACCCCCTTTGTTCCCACCGATCCCAAAATCCCAAGAACCCGAAAACCTCATTCCTGACCAATACACCATCCACGTCTCTGAACAACAATCGAGCACCTCCGAAGAGAAACCGGGCACCATCGTCATAACATGCCCCCGCCGACCCCCTCCTCCCAAAGGGAGTCCCGCTTCGCACCACCCATCCCTTCGCCCCTAAACCCCAGCATTTTTCATAGCGATCCGACGCTCCCGCGGCGACACAGACATCGCCGCAGCAGCACGACCGCCGCCCGCGCTGCGGCGCCGCGCAAGGCGAGTGGCCCGCTGAGCCCGACGCAGCGGCTCATACGGCAGAAGGCCTTTGCTGCATGGCATGCCGCGGTCACGCATCCGCATATACCTCTCAGTCCTATCAGTCCCACCAGTCCTATTAGTCCCACAACGGCATGCGACGAGGGCGAGGAGGAGGAGGAGGAGAAGGAGGAGGAGGAGAAGGAGGAGGAGGAGAAGGAGGAGAAGGAGGAGGAGGAGAAGGAGGAGGAGGAGAAGGAGGAGGAGGAGAAGGAGGAGGAGGAGAAGGATGAATACAAAGATCCTGATGAAGACGGTGACGATGACGCCTTCGGTGCAACCGGGGATCTTGGCGATTTCGCCACGATGCTGGCCTCGGAGCTAGACGGGCGGATGAGAGGAAGGAGTGTGGACATCGCCACAAGAGACTACCGGAGGAATACGAGAAAATCGAGAGACTCGGCAGATCCGAAAAGAGGCGGGAAGAGACTGGACTACCAACACGACGTCGACCTGGGCGGCGTGCTCCTGGGCACGGAGGACGTGGAGAAGCTGCCGCTGGTTGCGTGCGAGGGCGACGCCCCATATCAGAGGTGCGGTGCGTCGGAGCTGTATGCCGCGTCGCGGATAGTCGCTATTTTGCCCTATGGAAGACCGGCGGCGGCGGCGGCGGCGGCGGCGGCGAGGAGACCGAGGGTGCTGACGACGAGACGGGTGCTTACGGCTGTTGGGTTCTTGTGCGCTGTTGGCATTTGGGCGGCGCTGAGGTCCATGGGTGGTGTGCGACGGGTGGTCTCGCAGGCCGTGGCACCTTGAAGGATAAAGAGGCAGAAGAAAGGGTGGAAATTATGGTTACATTGGAGGAGCGAGGCCAGTCTACCTATCCTCCAGGACCCCTTCGTTTATGATTCGTATGCACCATAATGCGACAATTCCGACGTCGATTCGTACATGCTCTCATTACAGCAGAGACCCAAGGATCACTTCTTGTCCGAATCCGAATTTGACGAATCGGATGTTGTTGAAGCCGAGTCATCGGCCTTGGAATTCTCTTCTTCTTCTTTTTGCTTCTTCTTCTGAGAGATGGCGTCTTCGACCTGCCAGATCGCCCGCTCCAGCTCGACCTCGAGTTCCGGTATCTCCAGCGCTCTCACAAGTTCCCGCCCGTGGTCCTGCGTCAACAGCATCTTCTCATCGCCTTCCAGCGGTCCCTCATTGATCGAAGGGGCCGACTCCGACTTTGCATCTGTGACCATCTGTCCTGGCGAATCTGGCAGCAGAAGAGGCGTGTAGATTGTGTCTAGGACCTTGGACGGCGCCAGCGTGAGGAAGTCGTTTTCAGCAAGCCACTTGATGTGTCTGCCGCCAGCGAGAGCTCGCCAATGCGACCACGCGCGGTAGACGAGATAGAAGAAGGGCAGGTTGGGAATTCTGAAACGGAGTTGTCAGTAACTTGGAACGACGGAGCTGTAGTAGCTTGAATTATGACGGAGGCAGCATACATAGGTATAAGCGCAAACGGTGCGCTGATGGGCATTCCGACGAAGCACCATATCAACCTGGACTTGTGCAATGACTCTCGTTCCGTGCCCAACGTGCGTAGGACGCCTGTAGCCTTGGTCGTGGGGATGACAGACTGAGGGTATATAAGGTGGTGTTTCTCCTTGCCCAGGATCTCCTCCTCTCTCCGGCGGGTCGACAAGGGCGGAACCGACTTCAGTCCCCATTCCTCGTAGGGGATCCTCCTGAGCGCATAGTTGCCATACTCAACGACCTTCTTCTGCCAGCCGGATTCTTTCTTTTCCCAGCCAGCCCAGAGCGTCGCGGCCTTGATGGTCGCCTTGTCTAGGTACGTCTGCTTTTCGGAGGGTAGGGTCTGCAGCTTCTGGCTGTACAGCAGCGTTCGTCGCGTCGAGATGGGCAGGAGGAAGAGTCTCATTATCGCGGTGAATGGGGTCGATCGAATGCGACACAGCGGTGTATGGATGGCGACGAAGCAGCTGACACGAGGAGAATCAATCAATCAGGCAAGAAAACAAAGTGGTCACTGACGTGTCTGTAGAGACAATCTCATATGCACTCAACTGACATTGAGTATGTCATCTTGAGTGTGTGTTGAGTTCGTGGTGGATTGATATTGAAGATGCGTCTCTGCTTGAAGGTTGGTCAAGTTGAGGGCTCCACCTGCGCGTTTCCAATCCATGTCTGGCAGATTCAAAGCAGAGAGATCAGTGACGCACATGGGACCAGGGGGCCAGGATCAACTGCAGGTGAGCTTTTGGAAGGCTGGAAGCAGGCTTGACTTCGGGGCAGTGTGGCTGGTGCATCGCGTCTAAACATGAACACTGGAGCGCGATACATGTATGACTGGGTGCACATGCAGTTGAAAAGGTGGTTTGAGAGAACATGAAACAAATCCTCTGGATTAGCCGCGTATATGGATACATGTATAGTGATTGATTACAAATATAACTCTTCATAGGTACCCCCAAGAGACAATCTGACACCATGCATCGTGTACCTAGTTGAAGCTTGTCTGTGGCTGATGAGGGAAGATTGATTGATTCCCCCTGCAGGTTGTAGCCGCGCTCCGAGACATTAGTGGAATACAGGGCTCCACAGCCAACCTTGGACAATGGAAGCTCCCTGCAGACCACCTGCCTGCTGCCCACCTGCCTGCTGCAGCCTTGTTATTTTTATTTATCGCCCAGCCGCACATCATTTCCCATCTCACCTCATCTCGAATCTCGACTCCTCAACCTCATCCCATATCGCTGCATCTCACTTCGCATCCGACGTGCGCCTTGCGCGTGTGGATGCTGCAAACGTTTGACGTCTGCTTCTCTTCTTGTCTTGTTGTTTCTACATATCCCCCTGGACTGTCTTGGGATTCTGTCACCTACGTATCGCCTTGTCCATCTGAATCTTATTAATTAATCAAAGCAGACGCTGCTCAAAACTCCAACCTTTCTCCACATTCATTCCCGCAGCGCGCTCGCCCAGTTGAGTCTGTGGTTCGTTCCTCAGACCGTGCACCAAACGGAAGGGAGCTGAGGAGAACAACAAGGAAAGTTTCTTGGAAATTGGCGCGACTAGAGGCCATTGGGTCTTTCCGCAAACGCTATTATCTCCCCCCACTGTGACGACACCACGAGAGGATGACCGGCACCGCCATCTGCTTCATCGACCTCGTCAGCTCAAATAGCACACTTTCACTGAGAAATCTCCTCGTCCCTATGAGCCTGTTGCTGCACTCGCCATGACACGCAACCCCACGAGGTCCACTGTCCCTGCCTGGGTTGAAATCTACAATGAAGATGTCCACGGCCAGCAAACAGATAAGCACATCGACCCTCCGCTGCCAACTGCGCGTCCGGATCAGAATAAAGGCAACCATTCACTGAAGCGCCGCATTTCCCAGGATGGCTTTGTGCATTGGGTCGATGAAAAGCATGATCGCGTCTCCAAGCTTCCGGTGTTCATGAGGAAACGTGCCGACCGGCCCGGACGACGATGGGATCATTTGAGGACTGCTGAGCCGGTGATCATGGGACTTGGCTACCGGGCGCCCGATGAAGACCCATACGCGCGGTGGCGAGACTTCATACAATCTTCCAACTATGGACGAAATCCCGATGAGGAGTACGAAGTGGTCCCTCAGAACATACTCGACCAGCAAATGCCAGGACTCAACAAGCCCGTCAGGACGCCGTTGCACCCTTTGGATTCTACGAAGAGATCCCGGAAGAAGACGTGGATCATGCGATTTTGGAACTTTGTCTTGCGGCATCCTATTGCACCACTGATTTTCCGTCTCGTGGTCTTGATTACCACTATTGCGGCTCTTGCTCTCGCTATCAAGATATTCGAGCGCGAGCAGGACAACAGCATCTCCAGCAAGGCGGAGCACTCGCAAGCTCTTGTTGCTATTGTGGTCGATGTGGTTGCGATCCCTTACATCTTGTATATGACGTGGGACGAATACACCGGCAAGCCTTTGGGCCTTCGACACCCGGTGCAGAAGGTGTCACTCACGCTACTCGACCTCGTTTTCATCGTGTTCAAGTCGGCAAGCACAGCACTGGCGTTTGAGGCTTTGGTTTATCACAGTGGTGGTACAAATAATGGGACGCCAACGGAGGATCGGGTGTCATTCCACTTGGCACAGGGTCTCGCAGGCTTGATGCTGGTGGGACTGATTGCTTGGATTCTCAATTTCACCATCAGTGTCTTCAGGTTGGCGGAGAAGCTTGGAGGGATAGACGACTGACAGGAAAAATAAAGACTTTAATTAGCTGCAGAGGAAACAAATATACCCCGGCGACGATATGCTACCGATCTAGAATGCCCACCTGCTTCAGGTACAATTATGTGTCCCTTGAAGCTCTTTGATGAGGTTCCCCCTATCGGTGCTTCTGGATATACCACGCGGACCCAATCTCACCCCGACCATACGCATACTGTCAGTCGTAGAGGTAATGACTGGGGCAGTCTCATCTTTGGCCAGCGCCTTGCCTAAAGTACATATGTAGCTGAAGACGGTTCACTGCCTCCTCCTACCAAGACATGCCAGATGCAGCTGGAGCTGGGTCACTGTGCCGTTGTGGCTTACGAGAGGTGAGTGAAACAGCCTGCCCAGCAGTGCATTGCACAAACAGGTAACTGCCTCAATATCTCAGGTGGCCTGGAAGCAACCATCGTACTGCATACTGCACAAGCAATCGATGATTCAACATGCTGCAAAATAGACAGAAACCAAATGTACAAGCATTAGACTGGTACGCCAGGCATCAGCGCAAGGTGGAAGCGTGGAAGCGAATACAAAAGGCTCCCTGACTCAGCCGAGCAACAGCTACAGAGACAGCTAGCTACAGGGTGGCGGGGCGGTGACGGGTGGCAACCAGAAACACCGAACCTTCAATTCTGGTTCCTGGTCCGTGCAGATGGATCCTTGTTTCTGCCTTGTGAAGTTCGAAGGCTGCCACTGCAAGTCGGAGCAAGTTGAGCCTGCCTGCCTGCCTGCCTGTGCCATTCATCAGTGTTGGTTCATCCATCTATCCATCCATTCATTCATCTCTGCCACTCCCGTCGCACTCTGGCTGTTCCATTCCATTCCGCCGACCATTCGGCCACCGCAGCCCTGCGCTTCCAGACGATCGGACAAGCGCAAACCCATCGCATCGACAAGCCTGGCTGAGAGTCTTGACTGTCGCCTCTGTGGGGTGTGGCTGCACGCAAACCTACCTCTCACTATCAAGCTGCGCATTGGGTGTGGGTTTCCACTCATCGACGACTCACCACCACCGGTACGTAACCGAACCTACCAGCAAATACTGCAAGTAGGTATTAAAACCACTTCCCTCCACTCCACCGGCGCCTTTCTACTTTCTCTCCTAAGGCACAGGAAACAACACGTCGCCCATCTCGGCCACGAAACCTCCAGGACCTCCCTTCCTTTCCCCGCCATACCGCAGTCCTCTGTCTGTCCATCTCGCACCACCCGCACCACTCCCGGATTGATCACCTGGGCCACAGCTAACTTGAACAGTACACCACCTCCCACATTCGACCTCCGACCTCCGACCTCCGACCTCCAACCATCTTCATTGCAGCTATCGGCGACCTCGCATCCTCCGCGGAGGACCCCTCCACTACAAACCCGCCATCATGTCTGTCGCCACGAGGACCGCCGCCGCCCCGATGCCTCCGCAGCCCAACCGGGAGGACATCGAGGCAACGTATGCTACCACTCCCGATCTTCCCGTGGCTGTACACATGTGCTGACTTGCTCCTAGTTGGAACTACCTCCAGGCTGGTATCACCAAGATAATGGTCAACTTGCAAGATGGGATGGACATGACCACAGTGAGTTGCCACCCACACGTCTCCTACTGCCCTCCGGGTACACAGCTAACAAATGCGCTCTTAGTACATGGGCATCTACACGTACGTCTTCCAATACCTCCCGGTTCCCTGCCGTGCTAACCTCCTGCAGTGCTGTCCACAACTTTTGCACTTCGCAGAAGGCCGTCGGCCTCGGGACTACGGCTGGCGTGGGTCAAGCCCATAGAGGAGGTACGAATATCAACTAGTCCAGCTCCTCCGCTTCTATGGCCATGACTGACAACATCAATACTGCAGCACACCTGCTCGGCGAGGATCTCTACAAGAAACTCAAGGAGTACCTCAACGATCACCTCGCAGGACTATACCAGGAGTCAAAGGCACACGCAGATGAGGCACTACTGGCATTCTATATCAGAGAATGGGACAGGTACACCATCGCGGCCAAATACATCCACCATCTCTTTCGATATCTCAACCGCCACTGGGTCAAGCGCGAAATGGACGAGGGCAAGAAGCATACCCACGACGTCTACACATTGCACCTGTTCCAATGGCGCACACAGTTCTTCGCCGAAGTACACGAGAAGGTCATGGGCTCGGTCCTCACGCTGGTAGAGAAGCAACGCAATGGCGAGACGATTGAGCACGGCCAGATCAAGCAGGTTGTTGACTCCTTCGTGTCGTTGGGCCTCGACGACAATGACGCCTCCAAGTCCACGCTCGAGATCTACCGATTCCATTTCGAGAAGCCCTTCCTTGAGGCCACCAAGTTGTTCTACCAGAAGGAATCGAAGCAGTTCGTGTCGGAGAACAGTGTCGTCGAGTACATGAAGAAGGCCGAAGCTCGGTTGAACGAGGAGGAGGAGAGAGTGCGCATGTACCTTCACCCTGACATAGCGTCACCGCTCAAGAAGACCTGCCATGGGGCTCTCATTGCCGACCACTCAGCTCTGCTTCGCGACGAGTTCCAGGTCCTATTGGACAACGATCGAGAGGATGACATGGCGCGCATGTATAACCTCCTATCACGCATTCCCGACGGTTTGGATCCGCTGCGAATCAAGTTTGAAGCGCACGTGAGAAACGCTGGTCTGGCTGCAGTAGCCAAGGTTGCATCCGATGCCGAGAAGCTTGAGCCCAAGGTCTACGTTGAGGCGCTGCTTGAAACGCATACCCAGTACCAGGGCTTGGTGAAGCGCGCGTTCAATGACGAGCCCGAGTTTACCAGGTCCTTGGACAATGCGTGCAGAGAATTCGTCAATCGCAACGACATCTGCAAAGCGAATTCGAGCAAGTCTCCTGAGCTACTTGCCAAATACACCGACGTCCTGCTACGGAAGAGTGCAGCTGGTGTTGAGGAAGCCGAGCTTGATGCCACGTTGACGCAGATCATGACTGTGTTCAAGTACATTGAGGACAAAGACGTGTTCCAGAAGTTCTACTCGAGAATGCTGGCGAGACGTCTCGTGCACAGTAGCTCATCATCCGACGACGCTGAGACGAGTATGATCAGTAAACTCAAGGAGGCGTGTGGTTTTGAATACACCAATAAACTGCAACGTATGTTTCAAGACATGCAGATCTCAAAAGATCTCAACACGGGCTTCCGGGAACACACAAAAGGCCTCCAGTCAGTGAAGCAGCCTCTTGACTCCACATATTCGATCCTGGGTACCAGCTTCTGGCCGTTGACGCCTCCTAACACGACCTTCAACCCACCCGCTGAAGTCCAGACCGACCTCGAGAGATTCACTCTCTTCTACAAGAACAAGCATGAGGGTCGTAAGCTGACTTGGTTATGGCAACTCTGCAAGGGCGAAGTCAAGGCCGGGTACTGCAAAGCCTCCAAAACACCCTACACTTTTCAAGTCAGTGTTTACCAAATGGCAATCCTGTTGATGTTCAATGACAAGGATGTCCATTCATACGAGGAAATCCTGCAAGTGACTTCTCTGACGAACGAGGTCCTGGACTCTGCCCTCGGCATACTTTGCAGAGCCAAAGTTCTCATCATGAAGCCAGATGGAGATAAGCCCGGCAAGAACAAAACGTTCCACCTCAATTTTGATTTCAAGAGCAAGAAGATCCGGGTGAACCTGAACATCAACACCAAGACGGATACGAAGCAGGAGGAGGCTGACACCAACAAGAACATCGAGGAGGATCGCCAGCTCGTCTTACAAGTACGTTTTCGCCCATGGATGCATCTGACTGGACTAACCACGCAATAGTCTGCAATTGTCCGAATCATGAAGGCCCGGAAGAAGATGAAGCACTCGCAGCTCGTCGGCGAGTGCATCAACCAGATTAAGTCCCGTTTCGTTCCGAAGGTTGGCGACATCAAAAAGTGCATCGAAATTCTACTGGACAAGGAATATCTGGAGCGTCTGGAGGATGACGAGATTGGCTACCTTGCGTAAGCAAGCATCCCAGCATTGCTATGGAAGCCGCCTTGTACAACATGAAGACTCCACCACAATTCCCCATCATATTTCCCATTCAGCATCAGCCGCAGTGACTGTTTGCGGCACGACAAGGTGGCGTATACTTAGGGAGTTTCCCCAATGGGCTCAGAAAGGGCTCGCTAGTTTGGTAAGCCGGTCGAGTGGTTATTGACGTAGGCGACTCGGACCACAAGACTTGATATCTTTTCACTCTGGCATAACTCATCCTCGACGCATGATCAAGGTTGTTGGGAAGCACGGCCGAACCAAAACGAGGCTGTTCGACGCCCTTGCGCCTTGCGCGTCGCCAGCACGCCACACTCTGTGGGTGGTGGTAGTGGAAACGTCTCATGCAGATTGCAGGGTACCTTGGTGCTATCCTGCATTTACACGTTTGCCCTCGGGTTACCATAGGAGATATCATCTGGGAAGATGGTTGTCTCCGCGGAGAGGAGCCCGTCGTTGGAGGTTAGCCTACCGCACAAGGCTTATATCGCTTGATGCTTGCTGCCCCCTGGGATAGAGTGGAGCTGTCTGACTAGGAAGTACTCCGTAGACGAGAATACTACCGAGAAAGAATATGTGTGGATGCCTTGCCGTGACTGGTGCTGCAATGAAATTATATGTGTCTTTTTGACGCAGCACCGACACATCTGGGACATGACGAGCCTTGATAGGAATACGACGGTGGTCATTCACATGAGTGAAGCAGACCCAGAGATACACCTGCTCCACCCAGCGTGAGGTCGTCCCAACAAGGGAATCGCTCTTATCTGTGACAGTTGAAGAATCGGCTTTCTTATGTACTAAGTACTAACATTACTCGAGTGTGCATTCCCCGGCCAGTATCCACGTACGAAGCCAAGTGTTTAAGTCAAGTATTCATTCCGTTTCTACTTCCGATTTCCAGTCGTGGAGGTAGTACTGACAGGTAGGCATGCAAATACATATATAGGTACATAAGAGATGCAGTAGAAGGCAAGGAGGGGTGAGGTGAGTCGCGGTAAGCGCCCGCATCGCTTGCGGTTGACGATACGGTGCGGGTTCAAGGGGGTGGATGCATTCAACTTGGCCAAGGGTTGTTGGGAGCTGCATGCTGGCTGCGAGGACTTCTCCTTGTGACCGAGTATAAGGCTACGAGAGTAGTTGGCTTGCCTTGTTGCCTTGTTCCACGTAGGCTTGTGCTCCTTACTGGACTACCTGAATATTCGGTAGCCTATTTCCCTTGTCCGGCTGCTTACCTTACCCAAGGTGCGCAATGCAGTGCAAGTCGTCCATTCACATAAATCCCTCCTATTCTATTTGGGTTCCCCGGTAGTCCCTTTCCTCAGCATTTAAGTCGAGGATTTCATTATTAACAGATTTAGTTCGAGATAGGTAGATTATCATACAGTCGTTCCCACCTCCATGACATCTGGCGGTTTTGTGCCTGCTGCCACGTTTCCGTTCCCACCCTCTCTCAGGGCCGGAGCAGTAGGGCTATCTATCTTTGCGCTTAAACTCATGCTGTCCCGTTTCAAAGCTGTGCTTTTCCTCGGGCTACCCACGTGAGACGACCCGCTGTCGTCCCCCGAAGCCGCGTTATCGAGCATGCTCTCGCCGAAGCTATCCTGCGTCTGTGTACTCGGCCGGCGGTTCTCGTTGCCCTGGCTCGCCCTAGGCCGCGCGTCCGTCATTTGGAGCTTATCGGTGCTTGGAAAGCCCAGGGAGGACACGGTCGGGCTGCCGAGCGGAGTGCCGTTCTTCTCGCTGCCGGAGTCGCTCAGCGTGTGCGAGTTAGTGCTCCGCGCTTTCCGACCAGCACCAAACCCCCATCCACTACTGACGCGGTTGTCCGAGTTGCTGTTCCCACTACTCGATCGGCCCCAGCCCTGCTTGCGCTTCTGGTCGGCCCACGACGTCCAGCTGCCGATATATGCGCCTGCCTTGGCACCAACAGAGCTCACCGCCTGTTGTGCCTTGCCCGCGTCACCGTTGTTGTTTACGGATCCGTTCTTCTCCGACGAGGCCTGGGCTGCTCTGTTCTCTTCGGCCCGCTTTCTCTGCGCTTCTCTCATGGTTTCCATGTCAGCGTAGAGCTTGTTGAACATGGCACTGGCCTTATCACGTCCAGCTGCCAAATTCCGGCCCAAGACTTCCTTTCCAACCGCAACTCTCTCATCAAGGTGCAAGTCCTGCACCTGTTGCTGGATTCGTCGCTGGACGTCGTCGACGGTGAGACCCCCAGCACAGGGGTGCTTCGGTTCCACAATGTCAAACAGGTGTGAATCGGTGTGTGAGTTCCAAAGACGGTAGTTCTCGGTCTTCATCCAATATTCGACCCATTCATCACCAAAGTCATGTGACGGATCTCCATCGATATGTGGAAGTGTCGCTTTCAGGTTGTGAGCATTTTGGAGAAGGTAGTTGTGATACTTGACGGATGAGATGAGCGAGAGGAGATATTCTTCGAATTGCAGTCGAATGAACTCCTCACTCCCGCGGTAGCCCATGGTTTTTGGTCGTCCTGGGTTCGTCTCATCCCACGTGTCGTTGACTTCTTGTGTGACAAAGTCGATCCATCGCCGGTCTGAGTGAGAGAGGGCCAGCGCAGAGCGAAGTGAAGTGGAGGTTATGTTGATTGTATCTTCGTCCAGGTTGATTAAGATATCACTATACCTGTCCTTCTGCTGCAACAGCAACGAGTTCGTACTTCCAACTATATACGACTTTGTTCCAAAGTCGGCAAGGATGTCAAGCTGTTGCAGGGGCGTATATGGGCCGAACAGACTTCCCTGTAGATGTCAGGTCAGTTACTGCCAGCATATCCATGATCGAAAAGCAATACCTTGCCAAATATCTGAAGCGGCAAGCCCATGTATGAGAGCAACGAGTTCCGGTCACTAGTCCTTAGACTCGTCGGCGGGCTCAACTTCTTCTCGCAGTCGTTCAACTCAGGCCCCGCACAATCCTGGAGATTTCTCAATAAACCTGGTACCAAAGAGATGAGAGAAAACTGCATCATGCAAAGGCGTTCGCACCGCGAGCCAAAGAAAAGCATCTATCACTTGTGTCAGTATACGAGCATGTAGTTTGACCCCCTATTCATATGCGCGCCTACCTTGGGCTGTAAAAGACAGCATTTCAGTAGCACCAGGGTCTGCCACCGGAATTCCCTGACGAGTTCGCGGAGGCTCATGCCGAGGTACTGGTCTCGATCCACCTCCTCGCTGAGCTGATCCCTCTCCTTCTCCTCAGCGAGGCTCTCCTGAAATCTCCGCAATATCTCGGTATCGGTGAATTCACGCTGGGCAAACCATGCACTGGTGACGACAGACAAGCGTTCCCTCAACATGCCAAAGTACTGGGGAGTGTCCGCTATCACAACCACAGCCTTTTGAACCGTCGACCGCGTGACATCGGCAGGCCGGACGAGTAGTTGCGCTGCATCCATCTGCCTTGTACAGGATATACCGAAGAGCGAGGTCGCAGGAGAGTCGTCGGTGGCCGGTCGCAGAAGGGTGAAATACGAGAAGTCTTCAGTAGAGCTATCGAGCCAGTGGCCCAGGATTAGCCCATAGACCGAGAATCGTGTATGGCAGCTGAGAACTTACGCATGGGCACCGTCGCTCAATGCCATGAACGGCAAGAGTGTCCAGTCCCATTCCACCGCGGGGTCCTGCCCTTCGGCAACACCGAACCATTTTTCGACTTCGGGTCCTCTGTGATGATGGAAGTCTACCACAGTGACCAGAGGCAGAAACCCGACCTTGCTTGGAGCAGCCCCTTCACCCACAGCACCGGGGTTTGGAGTGGTCATGGCGGCGGTAGCAAAGAGGCGAGGGCGGCGGCTGAAGGCCCACCCCTGTCGAGTCTAGAGGGACAGCCGAGTTCTGTGAGAGGGTGAAGGCGACCTCGTTTGCGAACTTGGACCCCCGGGAAGACTACAATCGATAGCTAGCTGGTGGTACAAGTGGTCGCAAGGGGACCGTATCGCGTGTCGTCGCGGACGGTCAGAGCATCGAAAGTGGAAACAGCATTCCACGACAGCGCAGCAGAAGGCGGCCGGGGACAGACTCGGCGGGAGGGGCGCGATATATACTTCCGGGACCAACTGATTGTCAAGAAATGATAAGGGGGTTCAACAAGCAAAGCAGGAAGAGAATAACATGCACGTAGTTGAAATATGCTTCGGCCTGTAGCTGTAGACAAGAAATACCAGCGGGGTGGTCGAGAGACGGGCGCCCAAAAAGTTGGAGCCAATGCCAATGCCAATTCCAAAGTCGGAGTCGGAGTCAGGCTAGCAACAAGCTCAAAGACATGGACATGGACGCCATGGATCTGTGTCCGGAGACGTCGACGACGGTGGCACTTTTCGAAGGTCGACGGTCGATGGTCGATGGTCGATGGCCGGTCCGTCGGTTGTTGGGCTCAAGTCACAGCTGATCACAGCATCGACATGGCCATGCAGATGTAGAAATGTGCAAATGCTATCGTCAAGGCCTTTGCAGAGGATGTGTTGCAATGCAATAATGCCAGAAATTCCAGAAGAGCCGGGCCAGGGATCGCAGTTACATTCAAGATGATGGTGGGGCAGTGGTTGTGGGTATTGGGTAGGGGCTCCACCGCTGGGGCTGGGGGCTGTCACTTTGCCGCGATCTGTAGGGCATCTGCCAAGGGAGTGCCAGGGGACTCTTCAGCGCACGATCCCCTGCCAATCACGCGTAAAACTACCGCAGCTGTACCAGACCAGACCCTTCTCTCTTCACGTTTTCTTGAGATCCTACCAGATGGAAATCCTCGTTCTCCCAGATCCTGACTGCCACGAGTCTCCGTGACCACCAATGCGTGCGGATACCCGACGTCCGTCCTGTCAGTCTGTGACAACACTGCGCGTCCGCCGAGCCTATCATCATCCGCGCCTGTCGGATCATTGATGGAGATTTGTCCCATGCTACATACAGGACGTGGCCATGTCTGCTTGCCACCTGTCTTGCATTGCATAAACGAGACCCTATCGTCAAGACCTCCAAGTCCATGGATCTCTCTGTCGAGTACTACCAAACCACCGTACCGCCTACCGCGTTCGGATCGTGGAACCAAGGCTTACCTCTAGAGTCTAGACTTTTCTATACCGTTACCCACGTGGACGGTGCAATGACAACAACGTTGGCGCACCTGTTGAACTGTGTCCCGTCGCCGAGTGTCGCAGGTTACTCCACGGCTTCTCGTCGTCTCCATCGACCAGATCGCATGCGTGCTGCCGATCCAGTAGGTCTGCATGCCGCGCAACGTTTGTGGTGGTGCCGGTCAACAAGATCAAACCTGTATTTCGGACCTCATGCTGTGAGGTCAAGGGATGCGGATTGTAGCAATGCACACCCACCAAATCGGAGCTTGCAGCATATCGCAGCTCCGATGGAGCACACTTTTCGCCTGCTGCTACCACCCACCATGCATAATGACGACTCCTCATCGACCATGTGCAACCAACCCCTTATCCTTTCAGTCAAGAGGTTTCGTAATTCGAGAGACTGACTACATACCTTCCTCGGGAAAGAGCTTTTGCTGCGTTGGACTGCGTAGACTACGCAGTATGGATTTAACATATGGAGGAGAAATGGCAGACTTATTCGAACCACGTATTTCAAGAAAGTATGCTGGTACATGTACCTCATGAAGATAGGTTGCATGTTGCTGAGGACCGCCGTGGTCTAGTAGCCAGTGGTCGCATCCTTACAGCTCCATCCATCTTGAATGTCTCCTCTTCACTGCTCTCTCTGATCATCGAACACCAGCGGACAAATTGTGTTATGTGGACGCCTACACTATTCGGACGCGGCTCAGGAGAATCGACGCGGCTCTTTGCGACTTCTAGACACGACTGCTGGACTTCGTGGTCAGGACCTACCAAAGTATGCCATCCTACCACATACATGGACCGATGAAGAGGTTTCATCCGAAGATATTGCCGTGAATTGCAAGGATATAATCTTCGCAAGTCACTTCGTCACGCGCAAGTCAGCAGCTGCCCCGGAATCAGCCTGGTGCAAAATCTGGCGACTCAGCAACCTAGGGGAACTCCATCTAGTTCCCATCAAGAATGCGATGGCTTCGGTGCCTGCCTGATCTCATGAGAGATCTCCGTTCGACAGTCCAGTTGCCGAACAAATTCCCCAAACCTCTCGGCTACACCACCGAGTCCGCTCGCGCCAGCGGCTCAGCGGTGCCTGACGCACATAGCCTCAGGCCCGAGGCGCACGCTACCATAAAACGCATCTCTTGCCTCGACCAGCACGCGTTCGACCTCGAGGTCGATAAACATCACCAAGTCCAAGGGCATACCGGGCGGCACTGCAGCTTTCCTCCTCACTCAACATCCGCCATTGTTCAATCGTTGAAAAGCCGAAGCGAGGGAAGCGGTCATACATCACAATGAGAAACCTGCGTTCGGGGACTACGGTGACTTGACAGTGATCTTCCTAATATGTGTGGCATACTTGCCTTTTTTTACAAAAGGCGCAGATTCATGTATCAATTCCTGACCACAAATTACACTTGTGGAGGGTACTAGGATGCCTATATAGCCACGTTGGAATAGGTGACTTGGCTTGCTACCTCAGTGGAGCGGCATCAGACGACATAGAAGACTCGAGCGGTTCGTCTCTAAAAAAGTCAAGGTCGGTGGACAAATTACTAGACGAAATTTCAAAACGCACCCCAAATGCTTCGAAAGAACCACATTCAAGCAAGCAATAGCCTCATCTCAAGATCGATATTTGGTATCTCTATTGTATTCACGAGCATGAATGGCACTTGAGGAAGCATCAACCAGCGAACAAATTGGTTTTTGAATCTGCGCAGGCCTCACAGTGCAGGTTCCTCCGCAAGCTTGAATAAAGCAACCTCTGAACCGTCCACATCTACTTCCAAGCATTCAGTCCAGCCCACGGGTCCCCCGACTGCTGTGGTTGTGAAGACCTGGGAGCTGCGCTTTGCGGCGGACCGCCCCCGCCGTATGGGTACTCCTGTTGTTGAGAGTAATGCATCGTCTGCTGGGGTCCTAGCGGCGGAGGCCCCGGTGGAGGCGGGGGTGGTACGAAGCCCGGAGGTACGTAGTGCTGTTGCTGTGGTTGCTGCTGTGGTTGCTGTTGCTGCGCCTGTGGGTTTCCGTAGGTGCTATAGGGGTTAGGGGTAAAGGAGGTCTGGTTAGGCGGAGGTGAAGCAGGCCCTCTACCTCCAACCCCAGGTCCGAAACTAGTCTGTGTCGGCGGTGGAGACACGGGGCCTGGGTTGCGTCCCCAACTGCTGGGGTTGTAAGCCGCAGTCTGACCAAACTGCTGGGTGTGTTGTTGCGGGTTGTGTGTATAGGACTGCTGCGGTGCGAGTGCGTAGGGGTTGTTAGGCGGAGGATTAGAAAACCCGGGGTAATTGGCTTGGTTTGGAGGTGGCGAGTTCGGGACTTGGTATTGGCCACCGAAGCTTGCCAGCGGGTAGCGTGGAGTGTTGTTGTTGAAGGACAGAGGAGCTGGGGTATGACGGTTGGACCCTGGATTCGGAGATGGTGTTGATGCATTGGGGTCCATGGACATCCGCTCCATCAAGCCGCGCAGTCGCTCACGCTCAACCTCGGCCTGGGAACTCTTGTTGGCAGCCAGTTCTTGCTCAATCTGGCTGAGCAGCTGAGCGCCTTCCGATCGTCTGTTGTTAACAAAAGTATCGACATTCTTCTCGAGGCTGTCCACCGTCTCCTTCATCTCCGTGTACCAGTTCTTGGCGCTCTGCAAGCCGGACTCGAGATCCAAGAATTCTTGGTATGCTCTCTTGTACCTGTTGACCACAGAACTCCTCTGCCTTTGAATAGCCTCATACTTGCTTTGCTCCGAGCGCACTCGCTTATCTTGAAGGAGACTGTTGAACGATGCCGTAAGCTCCTTCATCAAGGAAGACTGCTTATGATTTGCCTGCAGGAGCCGATTTTGATGTGGCCGGAATTTCTCCAATTCGGACTCGAAGAGTTGGCTCTCATAATTTGCTATTGACTTCTTGTTCAAGATCAAGATTTGTGAGATATCGTCATTGTGAGCCTGGAGTCTGTTAGTATATTACACCAAACACTCATGATTGCGCTAGAAATACCTTCTCCTTGAGATCTTTCAGCACTTGGTTGCGCTCTCTCTTGATCAGATTCAGCTTCTTGAGTATGTCCTCGACGCGGTTGATCTGCTGCGCAACACTTGGCATGCCATCTTCGAAATCGGCGTCAAGCAGATTAGGCTGTTCAACCGCTGGACTGTTCGTATTACTCGACTTCGACCTGACCTTGCTGACAGCCCTTTGGAAGAGAGCATCAACTTCGCCCGTCTGAGCCGCGTTCCGCATATCTTCGAAATCGTGCTCGTTATGCCGAAACTTCGTATATAGTTGCCCATCACTCTTGGCGGCTTCGTCTAGCGCGTCCTTGTAATTCCGGATGTTGCCCCTCAGAGTAGTGGTGAGTCTTGTACTGGGCTGTTGAGTCCATTCACTCTCGTATTTGGACCGCATTTTCTCGCAAACGCTCTCTTCCATATCCAGTTGCTTCGAGCTCCTGTCCAGAACGGTCACGATCGCATCTTTATCTATCCGTAATGTGTCAAATATTGAAATCGGATTCTCGTGTCCCGCAACGTCGTCACACCACGTGCGAAAGTCTTCGTCCGGCAGAATCTCCTGGTCAACACCTCCTTTAAGCACCTGCAGCGCGCCCGGTAACCTGAGATAGTCCAAGCTGGCAGCCATTTCGCTATTAGCCAGGTCAACCCGCTCGGTCTCCGCGCGCACCAGTTTCGCCTTCTCTTCGTCATACAGACTCGCAGACTCGGTGACTGCGAAAGGCACTATCTTCGAAAACAAATCCGGGCCTGTTATCCGTTGGATGTCCTGGCCAGCATACAACTCATTCACGGGTATAGGCTTGGCGGCGGGTAGCTTTGGTACAGGAGCAAGACTGGCCTCTGCGGGAACTGTCTGGTGGTATATGTAGTCGTTGTCCTTGATCAGACCTTTCAACTTGTCCTGAATGGTGGCCAGGTTTCGTTTCGTAATCTCGGTTAACAAAAGTCCAGTGTCGGCGCCCAAGTTTGCGCTTGGTGGCATCGTATTGGGAAAGTTGATGGCTACCCTATTTGCTTCCTTGGCCTGTACCTCGGCGGCCGCAAGTCTTGCGACGGCAACGCCATATGAATTCGCATCTTCATCAGCCAGGGCTTGGTAGTACTGCGCGTTCGAGCTCATCAGGCTGGCTTTGATCTGCGGGACGGTCAGCACCACTATAGTCTACTCTTGTCTGTATCTTCTCCTGAACCATTTTGATACGTACTTGCGTGAAGAGCAACCAAACCTTCTCGAAGATGGCATTGTTGACATTCTCTTGAGTACCTTCGAGGGCTTGCTGGTATAGATATGCAGCTTGGCTGGACAGCTTTGCCAATAGCCCTACCTTCTTCCCGTCGGCAACTTGCTTCTCCAGAAACACCTCTTGAGCCTGCGCGAGCATTATCTGTATGAGGGTCTTGACAGTCTCTCTGCTCAGGTCGGACGAGGGTGCGTGTAGGAAGTTCTCGTTGATGTAGGTGAACATGCCGGCGGAGGCTTGGAAGGAGTGGTAGGCCATCTTGAGACCCGACTCTTCGGATCGGGCTTGGAAGGCGGCATGGCAGGATAGGACGGCGGAGATGTTGAAGATGATGGAGGCCTTCTCAAACGCTAGCGAGTATTGGGCTGTCGACTTATGGGTGAAAGCATCGAACCTGCAAAACAAGGTCAGAACCGGGCGCCGTCTGCATATGGTGTTCTGGAAGCTGAGACATACCAGGTAAAGGCGATCTTGATGTGCTGCTCGTCGACGGGGAAGCGCAGATCCAGTAGCTCGAGCTGGCCGTAGTACCGGTAAAGCAGATCCCTCCCAGCTGTACTATCCTTCCCGGCCCCTCTCATGTCCTGTCGCAACCGGTTCAAGGTGGCGCATTCTTCGGCATACCTCTCCGGATCGTCTCCGTATGTGTCTCTGATGTAGGTCTTCAGCGGCGTGATCCAGTCGATCTCGTTGGTGGCCTTGAGAGGCACAGATATCATGGGTGTCTGCGTCATGATGTGCTGCGTTGTTTACAACATCCAGGAGCCTGCACTCTAGCGGTCTATTCCTCGAAGCGGCCGGTGGGAGTTTCCCATATGGCTGCGTGGTCGGGGTGTCGGGAGGGTATAGGTGTGGTTGGAGAAAGGTGGTGAGGCGTGTGGGGTCGGATGCCCTATGCTGATGGTAGCCGTGACGACGCTTGATCAGGTAGCAGTATTTCGGCTGAGCGAATGACCGGCGCACAAAAGATGGACCGAAATCAGTTCGGTCGAAGCTGGCTCGTCTGGTAACTGGATGCCTGGCGGAACATGCTGTCGTTCAAAGGCAAAGTCGCAACGCGAGGTACCGCTTAGAGATGTGGCCGGACGGAGGTGACGGTGGTTATTGGTGGGACAAGCAGCGACGGACCGCTGGACGGGTGATGGGCACCCAGGGTTCAAGTTCCCGTCGCAATTGTCCGTTGAAGAATGACGATCATCAGCAACGTGGAACTCTAGGTAGACAAGGTGGATGACGCATAAACCAGGTAGCACGCGGCGTATTCACAAATCACAATTCAAGCGCATGAAATGGAACAGGCGAGGCCAAGGCCGGGCAGAAGAGCGACACGAAGTCGGATTAGAATTAGGTTTCACCTACAGGTGATGGTGGGCTAGCCGCCGAGTTGCAGGTGGTGTGTCTGCATGTGTTAGGCGCCCTTTCAGACCGATGGTCGCTGTGGGCATGGCGGGGTTATTATCCATACCTTCCTTAGCAAGGATAAGTTCTATATATCTTTTGCTGTAAGCATACTGAACAAAATCCTAAGCGCTCGATTATAGTCACTCACCGCCTTCCAACGTTTAGTATACGCTAACCTTACAAGAGGATCTGACCTGTGATCAATGATAGAAACAGAGCCCGATGCTTTGGTACCTAAAGAGGGCATTTATAACCTCAATCATCTCAGCAACTGTCGGTCAGGTCTTCACCGCCTTAGTTGTCATTGATATTGGGCATTTCTCAACCCAACTCTACTCAGACTCAGCTACGGCCAACCCACCAACCTAGCTCTCCTCTCCTATATATCCCCTCTCCTATATCTCCCCTCCTATATCAGCCAAAGGCCTCGTGATCCTGAGCTTTACTATAAAGCAGAGCAAAGAACCCCGACCAATTGTGCATATCCAATTCATCCCAATCAACCTCCAAACCAGCACCAGCAACCGCTCCCGAATGCGTCATTGGCTAGGCAGTCGGGCCGCTTCACACCCAGTTCTGCAGGGTTGCTCACCAAGATGCTTGCACGGCGGCTAATAACTTGGAGGCCCAGACGGTCGCCCTTCCCTCCCACACCTTTTCCGCCCGGCCCCCATCCCCAAGGGCCAGGTCTGACACACCCTACGGCGGCAGCGGTAGTGGTAGCGGCTCATCCTACAACCGCAGCCCAACAGGGAAGAGGAGGCCAGTTCTGCGGCCACCTGGAGCATGAGGAACCAGGTGCATATAAACAGGTAGGGCACGGCAGATAGGGTCATGTAGGACAAAACCCAATGATTCGGATCCTGGTCATGGATCATGATTGTAAATCTCCAAGAATTGAGGAGAGTGGCCTCGATCAACTACCTAAGTGCCCTTACACTACCAGAGTTGCCTGCTAAGTTACTAGGTGAAATAGTATACAAACATACACAACATTCTACCGAAGCTGGAATTCTTCGGGAATGTCGAGAGGCGACGGAGGTATGCCGCTCTCGAGTCGGTCTTCCTGTCTGTCGCTTTGGCGCAAGACTCCCGAGGATCACTGATCCATCCTCAACACCGGCACCCCCATGCAATTCCCAATCTCTATCTCTAAACAGGTGTGATATGTTCACGATGTACAGTATTAGTCACTTCAATATGGTACATGTTCAGCTGACCCGGCTTTCGCCATTCGTTCAGGATAATATGGAAGCCTCAGACTCAACTCGAGCCCGAGCCGGACTCTTTCTTGGGCTCTTCAGCTTTCTTTTCGGTCTTTTCGGTGTCATCCCCAGGCTTCGTCGGATCAGTGGCTGACTCCTCTGTAATGTTCTTATGCGCGGGATGGTTCGTCAGGTTATGCCACATCGACTTTAGGAACCCTTCGTTCCTGTGTGTTGCTGGGTCATCGTCTTTCGTTGCTGTCTTGGGCGACGAAGAGGAGGAAGAGGATCCATCATGCGATCTTATAGCAACAAGGGTTAGTTCTTGTAGATATTAGATTGTCGAAGATGGGATAGGCACTTACCCTGGCATCTTAACATTCATAATTCGCTTTGCAGTCTTGTCGCCCATCTCATCGGCCAGCATCTCCAGGATCGTTCTCTGGTTGGAGGAAAGATACTTCGGCATGGCCACGCGGAACTCAACTTTCAGATCCCCTGAATTGCCACGTCGTGCGCCAAGCTTCTTCATGCCCATGCCGCCCAGCGTGACCTTGTCCCCGGTATTCGTGCCAGTCGAGACCTTGAGGTTGACTTGGCCATCTAGGGTAGGGATGGTGACTTCACCGCCCAGCAATGCCGTCGTCAACGGAATACTAGCCGTGTAGAGAATATCAGAGCCTGATCGCTTGAACTTGGGATCCGATGCAACGCGAACAGAGACATAAAGGTCTCCGCGGGTGGTTCGAGCATTCGGATCAGCAGCGCCGCCAGTGATGGGTGCGTCGCCCTCTCCGTCGACTCGCAGTTTCATGCCATCCTCAATGCCGGCGGGGAGTTCGATGGTGATCGTCTTGCGTTCCCTGACGGCGCCGTTGCCTGCGCATGTCTTGCAGTCTGATCCTCGAGGCGCTACTTGGCCTTTGCCCTTGCAAGTGCCACACGTCGAAGCCATCTGGAAACCGCCGGTCATGAAGTGCACCTGCGCACCTGTGCCACCACAGGTCTTACACTCCGTCCGCTTGGTACCCGACTTCAGACCGCTTCCACTGCAAGTATGGCATGGTACCATGGGGTGTATCGTGATCGTTTTGCTTGTGCCCTTTGCCGCCTCCATAAACGAGATACTCGTTTGGACCTCGATGTTGTCTCCAACCAATATTTCCTGTCCGAAGGGGTTCCTGCCGCTTCGCCGGCCACCTGCACCTTCGCCAAAGGGGCTGCCTTGCCCGCCAGTGAACGCCGAGAACAAGTCGTCGAAGTTGATACCGGCACCAAAGCCGCCCTGCCCTCCACCGAATCCCGAAAAGGGGTGACCTCCTCCAAATGGATCACCACCTCCAGGCTGAGGTCCACCGTTGGGATCGAACCCAGCAGCACCGAACTGATCATACTGCTCTTTCTTCTTCGGGTCTGACAGGATCTCATATGCAGACTGGATCTCGGCAAACTTGTCCTTAGCAGTTGGGTCCTTGTTGGTGTCTGGATGAAACTTCTTGGCCAACCCGTAGTAGGATTTCTTGATCTCGGAAGCCGAAGCGGATTTGCCTACGCCTAGTGCCTGGTATGGGTCCTTGATTGCGAGCACGTTCGGTGTGGCGTGGAAGGACTGTAGAACAAGCTAGTTAGCGAAGGTATGTCTTGAGAAGCTTGGAAAGGCACACATACTCGTCGGTTGAAGGCGGCCTGACAAGCCGGTCTCGTAGCTGATGCATTAGATCTTTTCGAATTTGAGAGTGACGAGATGGAGCTGCTTTGCGCGCCGCGCTGCGTCAGGTTGTCTCGTAACCGCTGTCTTCGACACAGCTGTGCAGGAGAAATCATGCGCGAGGGCAGCGCGGCCTTCGTAATGACACTGGAATTCATCTCGACGACGATGATTCACCTTGACGAGCTGATGGTGGCTGGAGCGTTCATGACACCAGACGATAGGCGGTTCGCAGGCGATCTTGCTTGTGCGGGCGCGTCGGGAGCTGCAGTTGGAAATTGGGTGAACGGCAAGGAGTGTCGCGATGATGCCGAACTTTTTTTCGGGTTGCGCTAAGAGCGACACGGGAAGCTTCTCCAAGAATCTGCCCCCCTGTAACGGCTACGTAACGGCGTAACGGTAGCGTGGAAGTCGACCACTTGGCACTATTAATTGGCATTTTCACTACACTTTGATTGGTTCAATTGGCTCGCCCAGTAAGTTCGCTATCCAGGTCATAACGTTAACCTCTAACTACTGCCACAACGAACACCACTCAACGACCAGAGGTAAGGTATGTTGACTTGGCCTTGAGTACATATCACAGTTTGTCAGGTATAAGGGGGGATGTTGACGATTTGATGTGGAGGTTGTTCATCTAGGTAGGGAGGTCTGTACTTGTGACAGGTCTAGCTACATCACTCAGTGTAAAGCTACTCATCTAGCTGGCTTCCCTGATATCATTTTGAAGCAAGAGTCCTATTATATGCTATTACTTGCAGGTTAAAGGCCGTCTGGGGTGTACCTGCCGTACCTGGCACCAGGAATAGCTCGGCTTGAGGATTAAATCAAGAGTAAGTGTGTCCCTAGTATTGAACCATAGGCATCGTTAGAGTGACCTGTAAACCTTGATTTCCAGATATTGAACTAGCAGAGGTAGCAAGTCGTTGGGTGACGAATCGTCGGTATCTGATGCTTCCACAAATTTCACCCATTCCAGCAACTAGACTGCGTAGAGACTCTATACATGTGGTGCCGATGTATGCTTTCCCACTGTGACCTGAACTTAGAGGCTTCACCTCTCATGCCAATGCAGCACTTACACCAAAGAGTTGTTCGATCTGATAAGGCTTCAGCTATTGCTCGTCAAACTGTCAACCCATTCGTAAACAGGATCGGGTTGAACTCGGAGTCTTAAGTCGATGCTAGCAGGATATGAGAATCGTGCTAGTCCAGGTTGGTGATAAAGTGTCTTGAGGCGCGTTCCCGCGCGAAGAGTCTCGGGTCCAAACGCCGCGAAAGTCTATTCAAAATCAGTGCTTAAGACAATCTGCGATGCATCGAAATGCTGCTCTAGGGACTATCGTGATATTCTTTTCCATTCCCTGGTACATACGGTCTATGCTATTTGAATTCATGTCATGTTCATATGTAGTGGGATATCCTTTGAAAACATGTCGGTGAGGTAACCACCCCAACCATCGGTGCCAATTGCTCCGCGATGTGGTCGAGGGTCCCACCGCTCCCAGCCGCTAAACTCCAGACCGAAAATGCAGAATGCAAGGCAACAGAAAGCGCCTGTATGCAAATACTCGGGGCAACTCCGAGGACGCATTGTGGTATATACGTGAAATCCAGCGTAACATAATCCATACGCCCAAATCATGATGCACTGCTGTCAAGGCAGAGGGGTCGAGTGCGGTGCGTTCTTGTTCCGCCTCTTGACAACGCCGGGGTTTCTAACCTTGTGCAGAAACCCGACAATGGCGTCGTTCTCCTGGATGCCCACGCCGTTGAAATGTTTCCGCACCACTTTCGCGAGGTCGTCCTTGCTCTGCCGCCGGTATTCTTGTTTCCGCGCCATGGTGGGCGACCGTAGGCCAATGCCCGGTCGTGAGAGCACCCACTGGTGATACGAGTTGGCAAAGGCGGTCGGGGTGTCGAGGCGGTGTTCGCGGCGGTAGTCGTGCAGGACGTCTCGATCAAACGTGGACCATTGGAGCTGGAGAGACGCCAAAGGTTAGCTGACCTGAGACATTCGTGTTGCTGTTGCAGAAAAACTGTGGTTGCTTACCCCTGGAGCGGTTGTGGGTTGTGACACGGGTGCTGCTGGCGCAGTCGTCGAGCCGTTGCCGTTGACGGAGGTTACATCTCGGAGCTGCGATCCTGTAGAGCTCGCAACACGCCGCAGCTTGCCGTTCGTCTGGTGGTGATTGTTCGAACCGTGGCCATTCTGGTTTTTGACGCTCGCCGTCTCCGACTTTGCGTCGTCGTGGCTCGTCTTGGACTTGGCTGGCGGCATTGGGGGTGGTAGGGATCAAAGAACTGCAACTATTGACGAGGACGACAAGTTGGTACTCCGAGGTATCATTCCTGAATCTGCAAAGGGTAGCTGCAAGATGCAATGCGGAGATCTTGGAGCTGTTGGGAGACGGGAGGACCTGGGCGCAACGGGAGGTGTGGCAGTTGAAAGAAGAGGAGCGGGTGGTGGGCGGCAGGGCAAGGCAGGTCAAAGTCAGGTCATGTCTTAGATGCATGGGTGGTATTTTGCGCTGGTGCTCTCAATGCCATGCGCATGGGACCCTTTTTTTCGCCGGTGCGGTGCATGGAAGTCCATGTCCTGGTCACACCGTCACAACCGTCACTCCATCCAATCCGGCATCGGTCAGTCACCAATGACGACAGTGGGATCATTAGGGCCTCTAGAGAACCTGGGCGCTCGGACCCTGCATTCGGGAGAGCCGTGAAGTGGGGGAGGGCCCCGCTTTCTATTAGAGATTCGTTCCTCCTACGAAATACATCCACCAACTCATCAGAAACGACGATACCACGGTATGACTGACAACGTTTGCCAAGGCCTCGAACCAGTACCGAGCAAGTTGTTAAAAAAAACAGCAGTCAATACTCTACCTTCATACCCTCTGGCCCATGCCGACCGCCTCAATTCGACGACGGTGAATCGGAGGTACAACAAGACCAATGGTCGTGGACTCGGTCAGGGGCAGCCAAAATTAGCTGCCACCAAGCTCCGATGCAAAGGCTCCTCATGAGCCATGACTTTATTCCATTCCCAAAACCATTGGCATCCAAGCTTTCGCTATTACACCTTTTTATTGAAGACACAAGCCAGATTCAAGGAATTTGAAGCTATCATTCATCTTCCAGTTTGGGGATATGGTGGCCCCGGGCGAGTAGGCATTCTGGTGCACTTTCATGTAGCCACCGACTGGCTCGTCACGTTGCTACAATGACGCGTATGGCGTTTAGCGGCCGTTGACTTTGAGAGGCGAGGCTCTATAAACGACCGACGATCTATTAAAGCCGACAAATCGACCTCATAATCCGTGGAAACAAAGAGGGAATACCGCCCCCTTTCAAAGTCGCAGCCACAAGGTAGTTACTTCCACACAACTCCACGTTTGGGTCACGATATGGCGACGGCTGGAGATCATGAAATCATCGCATTATCATGTACAGCCGAGCGTAGGTGATGACGTGCCTTTCTCACGAACACTTTGCACAATGCATTCCAGTGAAGGAAGGGTCTCTCGCTCACATGACAGCAGTATCGCTCGTTCCAGCACGATGACTTCCTCAACAATCACGCCTATAGCAGCTCCTACAAGTCAGCAAGCTCTGGCGCAGCTGTAAGTTGTCTTTCGACGGCCTTTGACGAAGCTGGGAAGGCTAACATACCTAAGCGGCCAGCGGCATCATCTAAGCTTCCTGACTCCAAACGTCAAGGACTACTCGTGGCGCTTCGACGGCCGTTCCTGGCCTTCTTAGTTGCCGCTAGTTCGCCAGTCTTCGATCACATGCGTGGCCTTGACTACACAGTCGCGGCCAAGATGCTCCATGCCCAGTCAAGCCGCCTGGCGCGTATGCCTTCGCGCGACCATGAACGTGTCATTGTGTTCGGCGTTGCAGTACATGTCCGGCTAGGGACGGTGGCCAACAACGCCTCGATATGCTACGACCTAGGACTCTGAAGAGCGTCTCGTGGTTGGTCCAGCCATTATTCTTCCCAGTCTCTCGTCCGCCATTGCAGTTAATGGTAGGTGCTGTTATCGTGTAAGTCCGCAATAGCCTTACCGGCGTTGATGGCAATGAAGCTCTACCGAACAAGCACAAGCGGACGGGATTTGTGTTTCAGTTGAGGCGCACTCTTGGCAGAACTCCGAAAACCATGACGGAGGCGCAAGGAAACACCAGCTTCAAGTAAGGGGAAGTCAGTGGTGAGCAGCAGGACTGCTGGTTCAGGTCTCGGTGGCAATGGCATGGCGGATCGCGCTGACCACTGCATTATGGCTTGTGTCCCTCTTTGTTTCGTCTCAAGACGCGTTCGGAGTCGTGACGCGGTACTTTGGCGCGAGCACAATCTGCCGTTGGATTATGGACTATGGGCTCATGGGACCCAGGCAAGCCGTGTTGACCCCCAAAAGATTCCCATCAAATGCAGTCCCTTTGCCAAATCACTTAACCTGAGCGGGTTGGGATGACCTCATCAAGAAGGAAGATTGCTACTTCGACGGGATCTTTCTAACAGTGACCACTTATAGACCAGTGAGCCACAATATACGGCAGGATTTCGGGTATATCATAATGACTGTCTTGCTCAGGCATAGGGCTGCTGTGAGGACGTAAATCACATGTCAGCCAAGCAACAGCATCGAAAGGCACAGCCAGGCAATAACAAAGCCTCCAGGAAACCGGCCAAAGCCTTGGATTGGCGGCTCTGAACCGAGGATACGACAGTCCCAATGAGACAGGGCTCGTCTCCAGCTCCATAACACCTTGAGGGCAACCATTCTTCCCACCTTCATAGCATAAGAACCCAAGAATACCGTATCAATCCAATCACTTGACGACGACAATCTGAAGAAAGCAGCCGCTCCGCCAAAACGAAACCACCCATAAATCATCTCCCGGGTATCTCACACGAACGATATCGCAAGATGGCAGACAATTACGCACCACCAACCGATCACGAACCAATCATCGAGGTCTTCCACATCGAGGTCTCCCACCCCAACGTCCGCAACAGGTCCCATGCCAGACGCTGTACCACATCTGTTTGTCTTTGGGCCATATCCATCGCCATCTTCGTGAGCGCCGGCCTCGCTATGTGCATCTTGTTAGCCGTCACAAAGGGCAACCCGTCAGGCAAACAGACTCAGGCCCCAGGTGCTACTATCCAAAAGGCCATGATCAATACTTTTGTCCCAGAAGCAACGCCCCTACCTACCGAGGTTCAGTATCTAGGTTCTATTGCTTCTTCAAAGTGGACAGCGTCGGGGGAATTCGACATGGCACTGCCGCCCGCCAGTCACTAACCGAACTCGACCTCATCTTCGAGCCAGTCTGCTAGAATGACCCAGCCGATACTGCTTCTCCCAGCGGTAATGCTGGTTGGCTTCCTATCAGCTTAGACCGGCGCCCCCTATCCCTACCAACTACAGTCCCATGGTCGCCAGCACACATCTACCTCCCGCGACATGTGCATCAAATATACCTATAGACATGGCCGCTTCCTCCTTCGCGGGTCCATTTGGCAAACCACAGTATCCATTCATTACTTACCCAGGACCAGCGAGCGTAAACCGAACCAGCGTCACCGGCTTGCCCACCCTGTGCGCTTGCGTATCGGGCTCATCCCATGATCCACAGCGCTCAAAGCCCAGCTTCTCAAGCACCCGCATGCTCGCCGTATTCGACACCTCGACATTCGCACACACCCTTTCCCGCGTCTCCGTCTGCGTCCCCGTGCCCGTCTCAGCATTGCCATTCCCACCCTTCCCACGGCTCCCCTCCTCCTCCCCCCTAACCCTCACAGTCGCCCCATGCACCCTCGCCTCAACCCTACACCTCGGCAACGCCCACCAAGCCCCCAACACCGCCCCCAGCATCTCCGTCGCATACCCCATCCGCCAAGCCTCGCGGCGGAACTTATACCCGACCTCAGGCCAGCCCAGCTGCCCCGACGCCAAACTATGAACACCGCCATCCCCAACCAGGTGCCCCGTCGCAGCAACAAAAACGCCGAACACGAAACATTCGTCTGATGTGTGTAGTAAGGCGTCGAGCGCGGCCTGCGTCTCGGCGATGGAGCGGTCGATTTGCCCGCTGCGGGTCTCGGCCATGAATTCGGGCTGGGAGCGAAGGGAAAAAAGGGCTCGCAGGTCGGACTGCGCGAGGGGCCGGATGAGGAGGCGGGCGGTGCGGATGGGGTGCCGCTGGGAGGATGGGGGGAGAGGCGTGCTGGGGAGGGTGGTGCGTACGAGGACGGTGGTGGTGGCGCTGGGGGTGTGTGGTGACATTGTTCAGATAGGGTTTTTAGTCTGGCCAGGCCGATGGATTAGAGGTTGGAGTTTAGTAGTGTTTCGGTATCGCAGTGAGTCTATTCAACTTTGGCGATCTGGTATGGGTGAGTTTTGAATTGTAGGTGAGCTCTTATAGACAAATGTGTTTCACAGCCGCATGCAATGTTTTCCGTGTGACTCATACGGCAGGCAAGCTGAACGCCAGCGCCATTGCCAGCCTCAATTACAGACTTCACTTCCATTGGCTATACGGACCTAGGTCCATGCACACTTGATGACATTTGAGTAGAGAAGAAGAAATAATGTTTCGTTGGGAGACGCATACGTATCGTTGATTTCGTACTGTCCATGTTCAGTGGTAATGACCATATTCGACAACGCGATAAACCTCAGCTGCCAATTATATCGGCAGCGCTCATTCCATCCCATGAAGAAGCCATATAGTCAGTCTCCTATTCCACCTCAGCTAAGAGTATGTACATGGTATTCGCCACATATCTTCTTACAACGGTTTCCACCCAAGCCAGCCTATTCTCCCGGCAATCGCCTAGGTGAGGTACACTTACCTACAGAGAACTTCAAAAAGCGCCTGACCTATGGCTCATTGAACGTCGTGAAGGACGGGTTGGATGGTATCCAGGTTGTTAGCGTCCTTACCAGCGAATGCTCATCGCCTACAAAGACTCCATGTAAACTGACTTTGCTCTAATAGATCAAAGCCAACAGAAAGAGAACTGATACTATTGGGAACAATAGCCGTGAAATATGCAACAGCTAGTTCCCAGAGAAGCCTTGATGTCCTTTGGGTAGAAACGGTAGCAACCAAGTAGTTTTTGTGATGGCGTGGAGAGGAATAAGGGAGCTGTGCAGGAAGTGCGTGGAAGTAACCAAAACCTGAAAGCACCTTGAAGATGATGAACCAAGAGGCTAGAGAGCTCATTTGTAGTAAGTTAGCCGGGTGCAGGTAGGCTCTATGTTCATAGGAACTGGTCAGATGGATCTTATAAGAGGCAGGTCTGGCACATTCCCACCCCAACTTCTCTCAAACCCGTCTTCTGTCATCAGCAATCTCCAAAATTCGAGCAGGCCTACCAGCCATGCAATCCGAAGACAAGAAATCCTCAGTCTTGAGGAAGAGAGCAAGGGCAGCATTCCCACCAAGTCCGCCTCCTGCAAGAACCGGCTCTCACCCAACCGCCATGGATGGGATTAGACAACCAGCCATCATCCTCACCATCGGCGTTTCGGAAATTTACGAGAATGACCTGGAGAACGATCTGTTCAATGAGTTGCGGGGGGACCTCGATTCTGCTCGCTTCAGCTTCTACGAAGTCTCCAACGTCATCGCTGAAGTCGTACCCGGTGGCTTGAAAGTCTTCCCGCTGCTGAGTGAACGAATGAAGGCGCACTGGCGCAAGATGGCTATCCGCAAAATTCATGCCGAGTGCCTTGCTGCCGAGCGAACTGCAATCGTGGCTGGATACTCTAGTAAGCAAGGCTCCGCAGTCACCACATGAGGCGCTCCCGTCTTCTCCCTTTCCAGTCCGAGTTGCTGAGCTGGTGTCCCCATCTAAAGCGGTGTCTGTTTAATGGTTCCTTTCTGTGCATCACCTCCAGCCGAATCGTACAGAGCTGACCATATCGTAGAGTTGTGGCCGGGACAGTCCAAGTTGATATCATTGACTCAGGACGAAACAGCCATGTACACCCATGTCCTCTACTTGAACGTATCCGCGCCAGACTTCTCTTGTTATCACCGTAAAGACACGGAGATAAAGGAGCGGCAGTATCGGCAGAGAGGTGCGCTGCGAAAAGCTTGCTACGAGAACGGTATCTTGTTTTGGTCCGTATCACCGGAGTCTGTCTTCAGCGGGAAGATTGGGAAGGTTCCCAAGGTGATCCTTGACTTCCATCAGCACATCCATGGGCCCAAGTCATCACGCGCTTGGGAGCGGAAGCTCGAGGACATTGTCAATGCCGGCTCCGTGCAGAAAGATACATACCTGGTAGTAGACACCGACAAGACTTTGACTGGGACCAGTACGTGCTTGATGCTCGACCCGTGGATGAGCAAGGAGCCATGGGGAACATCTCCACTGGAGACACTGTTCAGCGGTCCCTTAGGCTACATCGATGCTGCCTTCCGACAGGCTGCGCTATTCTACGAGGAGGTCGTAGGTTTCAATGATCTCTGCGACGACTTCAAAATCATCGTCCAACCCGACTTCATTTCATTCTTGCGGCGGATGGCAAAGGAGGGAGACGTGGGCATAGTCTTTTGTGACGTGCGGGCCAGCTCGGCTTTGGGAGAGTATCTTGCACAGAGAAGGCCTCTAAGCCCGTGTGAAAGTCCTCGGCAACGGCCCTTCCCTCGAAGATTGTGTCCTCACCCTCCGAGAAACCCCAAATAGTCGAGCGTTTGCGGAAATTCCATCGCATGTATGTCTGGGCTTTGGGAGATACCGCATTTGATCTGCCTATGCTGAAGCAGGCAGACCGTGCGATCGTCATGGTGGGCGAGGAGAAGGAGCGGTGCAAATTGACGGACCAACGATTGCCGTGGGCCATTGAGGGCGAAGGCCTCGAGGCGTGTCAGATCTTACTGCCCAAGACCGTGACCCCTTGGCTTGATACCACGAAGCTCCCAATAGTCGACATCGACGATCCCAAACTCATCGGTCCATCCTGCGCAGCCCCCGCCAGCTGCCTGCTGACCGTGTCTATGTGGCACAAGCCAGAAATAAGCATGCGGTGAAATTGCTCGCCGGGTTCGGGCTCACGGGGTCGGCACAGTACGAGGCCTATCGTCGCATAGGATGGTACCTCGCGACCGAGTACTTGGCAGCGATCATAGGAACCGACTACGTTGAAGGGACAAAGGAGTACCGTTTCCCCCACGAGGAGGAGACGTGGGTCGTCGCTGTGGTGAGCTGGGCGGAGGTCTTAGCGAAAAACATGGCGAAAGGTGTTCTCCAGGCGATGCCGCGAGCCACCTTGGTGCGTGCCTCCACTACCCATTCTATCGCGGAGAACAACTCGAGCACAAATAGACGAACTATAGTGTTTGTCGACGCCCACATGAACTCCGGGGTGACTATTGAGATGCACGTACTCTCTGCTCGGGCCAGATATCCGCACGCTCGCATCGTGATAGTTGCCGGTGTCGTCCGAGCTCCGGCACTCTCGAGATTCCGTGGACTTGGAGACAAGTATGAAGTGAGCTTGGTGACACTCCGTACCTCGGGCGACTAGACCAAACACCCAGGAAACGTCGACACTGGTATTCGGCTCTCCGACACCTGGTGGTATGATTGGGCCATGGGGTCACCTCTTGATCACGGCTCGAGGCGGCGGCGGCGGCGACGAGATCTGAGTGGCTGACGGTTGCAGTGGTTCTTCAAAAAGATAAGTGAATCATGTGAATGGTGCTCACCTAGAGGGCAGGTAGTCCGTGGCATTGGCTTGTCATTGTTATCTCGTCCTTTAATATCAAGGTACATGAATGTGATATTCGTGTCCTGGATGTCTACGGTCAAACTAGTTGAGACGGGGCAAAGCGCCTTGACGTACTCTCCCATGAGGGGGTTTGTCATCAACAGAACTATCTCGGCATGCTTGCCACGCCGTGGAACAGAAAGAAGGGTCTGACTGGGATAAGAAATTAGGAAAACTATATAGAAAGATTCAGGTACCATCAGGAACAAAACCGAGTAAAAAAAAGGGTCTGACCGGGATTTGAACCCGGGGCCTCTCGCAACTTTGTTGCCTTTCGCAACTTATGCGTCAGGGTTAACCCTAAGCGAGAATCATACCACTAGACCATCAGACCGATCATTACTGGTGGTTCCACATTCCACATTCCACAGAGGAGATGGGTACGCACTGTGGTCAACGCATTATGTTATTGTCGATTTAGTTATCAGAATAATGCCTTGTTATCTACTGGCGAGGGGTATCCCAGAGACCATGACAGGTCGTGGGCGAACAGTGGAAGTGGTTTGAGATGAGATAACTTCCAGGCCAATACCGTGAACCAACGGTATTGACTCCATGCCGGATGCTTCCTCCAAGTTGTCATGTGCTGCCAGGTTCTCAGAAAATCGAAAATGTGGCGGTGAGACAACGTCCGCTAGGAAACTCAGACTCGAGCAGCCTGTTCCGTCGCGTGGTCAGCAATGAACAACGAGGGCGAAACTGTATGGGAAACGGCGGCACTGACCTTGCGTCGTGGTTTCTGGTGGCTTCCATGGTTACCGCTTCGAGTTGGTTGGTGTTGGAAACGAGCTCTTTGGGAAGACAAGAACATGGTCAAGGGTCAAATCTGTGGGAAGTGTGCTTGACTTGCAAGCCTGTGAAGTATTACGGCTTGATCAAGTCGAGCCAAGCCAAACCTCAAGTTAAGCAAAGCCAGACAGGTTGATGGCCGCATTGCCCTTCATCCAGCTTGATTTGGGGGTGGCGGTGACGGTAACTTCAACAACCAGGCACTGGATGCTGTCCAAGTCGATGCCAAACGTCCCCAGGACGTAGTGGCTGGCACATGCCAGGCGCATGCCCTTCTGCTAGTCGACTGCGTTCGGATGGACCTGCACGAGCAGATAGTCCAACATCTCGCTAGTAGACCCGTACGTCGCCGCCTCGCCGCCGCCAATGCGATCGACGCGAAACATGATGATGCTCTCACATTGACACGCTTCCTGCGCGATGCGCAACAGTGCCTCTGTCAGCGGCGTGGCGCGGAGGCCCCATTTGGAGCCGCCCAGTAGGTCCACGACGGGGTGGTCACCATCGGCTGCCTCCCTCCACCGTCTAGAATCAGCGACTGCTCGTTCGGAGTGTTGTGCGAAGGTCGGTGCTACCACTTACTAGGAAGGTGTGAGGCCCAATTAGGTAGATGCCAGTAGGGACTGCGGTTGAGGATTGAGACGTCGCTGTGGCCGATGATCTTGCCAAAGGTCGTCACCCGGAAGACGGCGTCGTCCGGAATGCGGTGCTTGTTTTCGTCACCGTCGTCACTGGCGACGGGGTCGGCCTTGAGGACGAGCGCAGACATTTGCGCCTCGATCGATTGTTCTGCCATGGTGGAGAGAAGGAGGGCGAGGTTGCTGGTGGAATTGACGAGGAACTGGTGGTGTTGGTGCTGTCGTTGCTCTGGTGTGCCTACAATGTGTTGGACAAGTAGGCAGACGCAGATGTGGTCCGAACGCCATGGTGTAAAGCAGCAGCACCTGCTGTTTTTTGAACAATCTCACAATGAACATGTGGCTGTCCCTTACCAAGGTTCACGATGGCGTCAACCGTCGAACCTTGATGGCAGGAAAGCAGCTGCCCAGTCAAGCGACAGTCAGCCTCCGAAGTCCATCAACCATCCACTCGCGCCTGTCTATAAATGCATGTGAAGATACCCCGCCAGCCCCCCTTTTTCTGATGTTGACTGCTTATCAATCATCCCTTCACCTTATTATACCCCGGATCGTGATGTATGGGGACCAGCATACGATACCCATATGTTGCGGGGTGCTCAGCTGGGGGTGCTCCTAGATCGGACCAGCACATCAGAAAGTTCCTTTAGCAGTGGTAGTAGGCGTGGGGTTGCATGTGTATAAGAAAGTAAGGTAAAGTAGGAGGCGGCTTGTCCACTTCGTCAACAACTTCAACATCTTCATCGTCGGTCGTCTTCACATCATCCAGTCTCCTGTTTCGAAAGCACGCGCACCTTGAATCCCAATCATGGTTGTCAAGTCACCGCCGAAGTACATGCTCGCATGCGCTGCTGTCTCTCTAGGCGGAGTGCTCAATGGCTACGACACGGGCTCCATCGGTGCCATTACGCACATGGCCCAGTTCACCGCTTCGCTAGGAACCCTCTCGCCGACAATGCTCGGCATCACCGTGTCCATGATCATGCTCACGGGCACGCTGCCCTCCGTCTTTGCCGGCCATCTGGCCGACAAGTTAGGCCGACTGACCATCATCATCCCGGGTGCCATTTTATTTGGCGTGGGCGCCCTCCTCCAATGCACCTCCCATACCCTGGCCCAATTCATCGTCGGCAGAGCGGTCGGCGGCTTCGGCCAGGGCATGTTCCTCAGCAACATCTCGGTGTACATATGCGAGATCGCGCCCGTCAGATATCGCGGTGCGCTGGCCGGACTTCCGCAGTTCATGGCCACCGCCGGTATCTGCGCTGGCTACTTCACCTGCTACGGCTCCGTCTCGATCAAGTCTGACATGGCCTGGCGACTGCCGTACATCGTGCAGTGCTTCATCGCGGCCGCCCTCGCGTGGATCTGCATGCTGCTCCCGGACTCGCCGCGGTGGCTGATGCTGCACGGGAGGCGGGCCGATGCGCGTGATGCTCTCGAGCGCCTCGAGTTTAGCATGGTCGAGGCTGAGCGGGACATCCTCAATGTCGCTGAGCACACGACCGGGCTCTCGCCGTGGCAGGGCTTTGTGCTGCTGTTTCGACGGGGCTACAGGTCGAGAACCATCCTGGCCTTGTTCATCCTCGGCATGGTCCAGTTGTCGGGCATCGACGCTGTCATCTACGTAAGGCCATCCGGATGAATTACTCACATGCAAACTCAGGTGCTGATCATCTCACAGTATGCGCCCGTGCTATTTGAGCAAGCTGGTCTGTCCTCCCAGAACGCTTCGTTCTTGGCCTCAGGAGTATCGGCCATACTGATGCTTGCCGTCTCCATCCCGGCATTCTTGCTGGCAGACAAATGGGGAAGACGCACGTCGGCCATCTCCGGTGGTGTTGTATTGTCAGCCTGTATGTTCCTGATGGGCTCTCTCTATGCAGCAGGCGCAGTTCATGCCGACGGTATTGCGAGATGGTTTGTCATCACCGCCGTCTTCGTGTTCGGCCTCACCTATTGCGTGACCTGGGGTATCGTGGGCAAGATCTACGCCGGTGAGATCCAGCCCAGCCATACGCGAGCGGCAGCAAACAACATTGCTCAGGGATTGGGTTTCGTGAGTGTCTTTCCCCCTTGGCACGTTATGCCCGTCATGCTAAGACATCATTCCCAGTTCACGAACTGGCTTGTGGCAATCCTGGCTCCGATCCTGCTCGAAGCATCCTCGTTCGGCGCCTATTTCCTCTTTGGAGGACTCGCTCTGGGAACCGTTGCCGTCCTAGCGGCGTATATGCCCGAGACTCGCGGTCGCTCGCTTGAGAACATCCAGGAGGCGTTCCACCGGCCTGCACTGAGTAATATCACACATCATCTGCGATCTCTTGCTCCTGGTCACAGACGAAGGGCGCCGAACAGTCAACCGCCGACGAATGAAGCCATCGAGCTAGGAGTGGGCGATGCGAACGGCACCGGAACAGCTTCTTCTGTTTCGGTCCAGAACGTCGCCCGGTCAATGAGGCTCGACGTTTCGGCATGAGATTCGGCTTGGTAAGCCATGTCCCGGGCCAATCGTCAAAACTGAGTTACCATTGATAGGAATGGCAGCTGTGTCACCTTCATAGATGGTTCAGAGTTGCTTGATGGCCCCCGCTGCTTACAAATTACTCGCCTCACGTTGTGTGCCGGGGGGCGGGGTGTGTTTGCTACACAGCGATGCAATATATGAGCTTTGAAGTAGAAGTAGATGATGATGATGATCATCATCACCGATCGAAACAGTGTAAAGATGATATCTTAGTATATGCCTAGGTAGTCGTATGTGCGTACAATCCAGGCTAATTGCATGCTCAAGGGGCTTCATTGGGATCTAGCCGGATTTAAATGCTCGCTGGATATCTGGATAGATTCGCACCTGTCGACATTATTGTAAAAAGGATAAGAATCGCCCTCGATTCTAGAGGTAAGAGCGGCTCATCTATCAGAAGTCTGACTGCATGTCTTCATCATGTCATCTTATCTGATCGCAGGTACCTCCCGAGGTTTGGGCCTCGGGCTTGTCAAAGTCCTCGTTGCCCAACCAGTCGAGGATGTGAAGTATATCTTCGCGACCACACGGTCTGCACATCCTAGCCCCGACCTCGCCGATGTAATGTCTAACGCCAACGGCCGAGTCCGACACGTGTAGTTTATGGTCGACTCCCCAGACAGCAACAAGGCCGCGGCGTCCCATGTATCTGCCGAGCTCGAGGGTGCCGGACTGGATTATCTCATCAACAATGCCGCGGTGCGAGACCCGGGATCAGTCCCAATATCAAAGACATGGAGACTGAGTTTCTCCGAGAGGCCCTGGACACCAACGTGCTCGGAACGCACGAGACCATGTGTGCCTTCCTCCCGCTCCTGCGAGAAGGCGGGGCCAAGAAGATCGTCAACTTCTCCTCCACGCTCGGCGCGGCCACGACAGCCCAGACGGATCCGTCCATAGTCAGCGTGCCGTACCCCACCTACAAGATCAGCAAGGCGGGCACGCACATGCTGATGGCACTCTGGTCCAATCGCCTGAAGGACGAAGGGTTCTGCGTGTGGATCCAGAGTCCCGGGAACCTGAGGACAGATCTGGCTGGGAACGAGAGGGCTGATCTTCCGGCTGAGGTCGGCGCGAAGGAGGTGGTTCGCATTGCGCAATCAGCCGGGCCAGGAGATACGGGCCGGCATCGGAACATTTACGTCGAGGGGTGGGAGCATGGCGGCGGTGTTGGTGGTCGGTACGACGGAGAGGACCTTCCTTGGTAAAACTGGTAACAGATCAGGTTATATGAAGCCCCTATCTCAGCTGTATGACACTTGTCTCGTCGGCGGGTGTTCCAGTTTCCAAAGCATACACGTACGTATAACCCAACCTGGAAAATAGATAACGAAGTTGACTAGTACTGGTCGTATAAATGGTGGTTAATGGTTCGTGAGAAGCAGCTTGCTCAAAACGCACATTTGAACTCAAGAATCATGACTGTTGCATACATGCCGTTCCATTGCGGGGTTGGTAATCAACCACTGGTGTGCCTTGTAGTAGCGGTATCCAGAATAAGGACCAGGGTCACGATAGGTGGCTATTGGTCTGTATTCTGGAAGTTGCTTGATGGAAAGGAAGGATGGGTGGTGCTCATCATCCCAGTTGGGTACAAATCAGGTACAAATGGGTACCAGTTGGGCTCCAAGGTACCTTGTATCCTGGTCCGTGACCCATCCGTCATTGTGGCTGGAAAATGGGTTGAGGAGCCACACTGGTGCCTCCCTACGTTACAGCTCCTGATCGTACAGTACACCTCTCTTTTGTACACAATGTCGTCAAACCGCTAGCAGCGATGGAACACATGCCGAGATAAGATCAAGACCGCACCGCAGTCTATTGCAGCAAGTTCCACAATCCCAGAGCCGCGCCCGCCAAAGGAGGGAAAATCCGATAGAAATTCAAGTTCCCCCATCGTGCGATGAGCTGCCTCGCCGCATCATGCGTCAGCCCCTTTCCAGCAGCCGCAGCGCTCGCCGACATGCTTGCCATCAGGGTAGAGTTGATGCCATGGATGAAGACCTATGTCACGAGGCTGAATCAGTAAATGTCGAGATTGGGGGCTGCTGGGAGCGGTTCGGGGTCGGTCGGACCAGGACCGACCAGAGAAACGTAGGGTCCAGGCACTTGCTCCTGTGGCCAGCTCGAAGGAGAGAGAAAAGACATCAGATCAGTTACTTACCACCGTAAACGGCGGCAGCAGCAAATTCGCCACGCCACCAGCCGCGTAACCCCGCCACTCGCGACCCGCGGCGTTATGCCGGTACGCCAGGTAGAAGTAGTTGAGCGAGGCGACGACAGCGATCGCGGGCATGTGCAGCGCGCGGCTGAACTGGGCGTACCAGGCGCGCACCAGGCCGTCGGTCGGCGCGCCGCTCGCGAGGACGGCGGGGATGGCGCAGATGGATAGGGCACTGATGCCGCCTATGTGGTTAGAGCTGAGTGTAAGCAGGGAGTTTTGGTGAGAAGTTTAAAGGGACGCGGGGTGGTGTACCTGATATCCAGGCGGAGCCGACGATGCTGCCCGTGGCGGACAGAGTTAGGGGGGTGGATAGGTGGGGCATCTTGAGTCGTAGGGCGGGGGCGGATGAAGATAAGAAGAGGTCTCTGCAAGCTGGCTGATGTCTGTCGGTTAATTTACGCTCTGGGAAGAATCTCTTGGGATGGAGTCGGCGACAGGTCCAGGTGAGGCATTGCACAGACGGCTTCATATACAATTCGCTTCGGCGTTGGTGGAGTTGGTACTGTGGGTCCACGTGTTCCGGACAAGTTGAAATGTCCGAATGGCCCCCTATCTGCACCCCGAGTTCGCCAGGGTCTCCACTCATCAGGTCATGAACCCCCCTTTTGGACCCAACTGTCTGGCGATATCGTATGTCGAACGTAGCAGAATCCAACTAAGCAACTCCTCCGCTATCCTTTGTCGACGACCATCTCCTATGTAGGATACCTCTACTCCGGTCTTTCTTCCTCTGGCCCTTTGCCCTCGGCGGCCTGCAGCTTTGGATGCTATGTAGCCAGCTTACCCATCCAGTTCGGCATCCCAGGCGTCCTAATCGTAGGCTACACTTTAAGATACCTCGTCCAGAGAAACTCTCCGCTAGGCTCCAAGCGATATGAAGAATATGCACAAAACACCCTTCCTCGCCGGGATATTCGCGGGTACATATGCTTTTCTGGGTCGGCGTACACTATGTCCTCGACATGCTATCTTGGACTTACACCACCAACCCTGTTCTCAACCTCTCTTTTCGCGGTGATCTCGTGTGACCTTGGCGTCACCGATCCATTATGTGTGGCTGAACGGTTCGTGTCTTGCTCGAAATGGATGTTCAACGACAAAGACAATGGCCTGGATCCTCTAAGCCGAACGTTGGCACAGCAGCTCATTGACAGTATAGAGACAGATCTCACAGCGATCAAAGGGAAAAGCGATGCCGGTACAGTAGCTAGTGAGCTCACCCAGCAAGAAGTGGAGGAAGGTGCTGGACCAGACTTACGGAGAGACGGTGACAGCGCAAGATTGAGGTTAAGGCGAGCTAAGAGCCTGTGGGTGAGTGACGGAGAATATTGCATGTGCATGGTTGCGAGTCAGGGTGTCTAGGATGTCATCGCTAGCGGTCAACACAAAAGGCTGACTCGGGTGCATACTAAGTACCTACATTTCACGAGCATGGGAAACCAGAAGGCAAACTGTCTCAATACGGCGATAAGCCAATTTTGCCCCGTTGTTCTATTTCACCCACCCACCTATAGGTAGCCGTCACTACGCGACTATTTTTTACAATGCGCAATTCATGTAAAATAATCCTAGTAAACGACATTTAATTGATTAGTAAGTTTGATGGTGATGACGTTGATCCCATGTGACGACGCTTGGTTGCGTTAACATAGCGCCAACGTCCGATCGTGCCGACTTCCGGTGGCGCCGCTCGCGCCGGTTACGCCAACCAACCAACCTACAACTTCCAGTCATTCAATCGTAATCATAACTTTCAAGTTCATTCCTTCATTATCCCATCAACATCACACACATCTCTCAAAATCGACCGCCTACCTCAAAAACCTATCTTCTCCCACAGACCACACAGCAATGTCAGGCTACGGAAACGGCGGCTACGGCCAGCAAGGCTACGGTCAGCAGCAAGGCGGATATCCTCAGGGCGGGCAGCAAGGCTACGGCGGCTACCCACAGCAGCAGCAGGGTAAGCGCATCTGCGATCTTAAGTAGGTATGTATTTGGCATGCTGACAGACATAGGCTACGGCGCACCACCAGCTCCAGCATACGGCCAAGACTACCAACAACAAGGCCAAGGCGCCTACGGCGCACCTCAGCAGCACGGCCACCAAGGATACGGTGGTGAGCAGCAGTATGGTCAGCAGCAAGGCTACGGCCAACAGCAACACCAGGGATACGGTGACCATCAGCAAGGCGGCCCATGGGGTCAGGGTGCGCCACCAAGTGGCGACGCAGGCAACCCATACGGCTATGAGCGCGAGCCGGCAGACCCGAACAACCCGCAAGAGGGCGAGCGTGGATTCATGGGCGCCGTGACTGGAGGTGCGGCCGGCGCATTCGGTGGCCACAAGAGTGAGTAAATGCATTAAAGTCCATACATTTGCGCATGTCATGACTCATGCTAACGATGCTTTTAGTGGGACACGGCATCATTGGCGCCCTAGCAGGAGCCTTCCTTGGAAGCAAAGCTGAAGACGCGCTGAAGGACAGGAAGCACGAGTCTCAGCAGCAGCAGTACGGTGGTGGCTACGGCGGATCTCAGTACGGCGGCAGCCAAGGCGGGCATCACCACCACCACAAGCGTGAGGGCGAATACTAGTTGAGGGCAGTCACTATCACGCCAAGATGATGTTGCGCTGTAGGCTTGGATACTAGCAATTATGACGACGGAGGCAGGAATGATTATACTCGGCGTTCTGGGTTACTATGGGAGGGCTCCAGACGAGCATATCACGACACAGATGACCTATTGAAACTCGGTCTAGCTCTTACAAAGTACTACGGCCATCCTCATGTTCTCAGGTTCCTGCGTTACGTGTTCTCATGCCTACGTTAATGATCAAACATCAGATTGGCTGTCAGCGAATCAGAATGAGAAGTGTTTACGACATTGCAGCGAAAGGAGACAGACAGGCTTTTCATGGTCGCAGTTTTTCCAAACGAAAAGAACTTGAATTACGCTGCAGACTTGATGTCGCTTGAAGTCACTAGGCACGTTCTTCAAAGGCTTGTCTTGAAGAATCAAGATCTCAGTCTGACCTGACACCACCAAGGGCAATCTTGTGAGTAAGAGCCTCTCATTCTTCTGGCGTAAGAAGTCTCTAGCCCAGCCATGCTACAGACTGGCAGGCAAACTCGGACAATTGTGCTCCGCTGAACTGCACCGACGGGGAGAGTCGAGACAAAGGGTTGGCGAGTGGGGAATTCTCTTTCAACAACACCAAATCAATGCCGCAATCAGATGGGCAAAGGACCCGTGTCAAAGAAACTAGTCTGAGCAGACTCGAAGAATAATGCGCTCCATTTCGACGCTGCGGTTTTGAGCAGCGAGTCGGTCTAAAACGGACACTCGAGATGAAAACGGATGACCTTCAAGCTGCACCATTGTTATAACAAGTCTAACTAGTCCAACCTGCCTCACATCCACATACTTATTACTAACTCGAGATAAAACATACTTCCACAGTAGTGCCACCAAGCAGAGCGGCACTCGTAGCGTCTGGACCACGACTGAAACACCCAACAGACCAGACCTACTCCGATCTTCAGCTACAATGGCCGACTCCGGGAGCGAAGCAGCCACCAAGAGGCGTAAACTAAAGAAGAGGCCTTTCAAGCCCGATGTCGGAGTAATAGACGAGCCAGTATTCAGCCGGGCCTCCGTCCTCGACAACGGCCTGATAGGGGAGAAACCCCCCAGCCAAAACGGCCTGACGCGGGGGAACGGGTTTCGGCCGCCAAAAGAGGCAGAGAACAACCTCTACGCCCTCAACACGCTCCAGCTGGCAAGAGAGAGACCATTGGAGGCCCTGAACGTGTTGCAGCCCCTCCTCTACCTCCAAGACCGGCTGCCTGAAACTGTCGGGGACCAGATATCGATACTCACGCCTGGCCCGGTCAATGTCTTCGGTGGCAGCGAGGCCAATTTCGAGCGGAGACAGCTGAGACTGTACGGTACGGATCTCGAGTTCTGGAACAGCATCAAAGGCGCACAGTATGTGTTCTGGCCCATCCAAGCCGAGAAGGGGCATTTCGTGACCGCTATCTTCCACTCGTTGAGGGGCGACGAGGCCGATCCCAACTTTGATGAGACGACAAAACACCTCGGAAGACGGGAGCGGAGAGTGCGCGCGAGGGAGTACTCGAGGGTGGAAGCGTGGTCGGTCGTCGACCCGGTCCGCAGCGACCAGGCCAGGGCCCGGGTCACGCGCGTAAGAGACCGCATCCAGCGTATCTTCGCGTCGGAAGGCAGTATTACCTTCGCCCCCGGCTCATACAAGGAGTACAAGAAACCAGGTGCCAATGCGACCTGGGCTCTCCCCCTGGGTCCCGCCCCAGCGGGACCAATTCAGCTCGGGGATCCGCTGCTTCGCTCTGGTCAAGCAGATGATGCAGCGCATCACGGACTTCTTCTGCCGCGAGGAGGGCTACCAGGAGGGGTCATACTGGGACCCCGACACGTCCGGGTGGCTGAACGTCGACCAGGTCCGCTACGAAATGATGGGCGTCTGCGCCATCAACTGCATCATCGACATGGACTGGAAGGCTCGCCTGTCCGTCGAGCTGATCGGGGACATCACTACGACGCCGCCCGTCAAGAAGTTCGATGCGAAAAAGTTGGGGCCTGACGATTCGAGACTGAAGCCCTACGTGCCTAAATCTGACAATGACGACAAGGTCGAGTCTGCTAGTGGTCCGCAGGGTGGTCCGCATGACGACAGCTCTTCGTCTTCTGGGTCTTCGTCTCCGTCGACTCAGTATACTGACTCGGATATCGACGAGGCGGATGACCATATTTACTGATAGGGGTTCGAGTTTGGGGAGAGACCCGCCTACCTGGTGGTTCTCTCTCAGTCTTTGACTTGGGATTTGTTTTGGGACGCGTCCTCCTCCGGAGAGAATGTTGATTTCTTCGTGCGAGGGTCGGCAGCCATGAATAGTCTATTCAATAAATATAGGTTTCATTGTGCTCTCAGTCCGCGGGTTTGTCGATGTGGATTCAGAGTGTAAGTGTTGATTATGAACAACGAATACCGTAGCTTATGACTTGTACAAGAGGGACCGTTCCGTAGGGGTTGGTGCCCGTCCAAGAGACGTCGTCTCTCAATAGGAAACTCTCAGACCAAAAGACCCAAGGTCATTACGCAATAGGGATCGTTCCACATATACCACATATGATTCGCACGAGTTTCTCTAACAGGGCAATGCCATGATACATCATGAAAAGCTCAAGGACCACAATCCGACCAGTCAATAGCCGCCACATCCTCGTAGCACCTCGAGGTAGCCGCAAACTCATGGCTCGATACGCCGCCCCCAAAAAGCTCCGGCAGAGTATCGCACTCAGGGAGGAGGTTGATCGCAGTGCACCCCTCAGGGACGTTGTGCTCGTTAGCGTTAAGTGTAGGATCCGAGTCAACGGTGTCGTAGGCAAAGCGGACGACCACAAACTCGGCGCCATAATAAGCGATGGTGCGAGGGCAGGCGACGAAGAGGCCTTGCGCGCCACCCGTGAGATACGAGTATGGGCTGGGAAGAGTCGCCAGCGAGACTCTCGTCGTGCCGGAACCGAGCTGGATAGTCATGGCGTGCTCGGCCGGATACGCTGTGTCGAACCTGTCCTCCGCCTGGATGTAGATCCCAAACGGGAAAGCGGGTGTGCCGCCGTCGGTTATGATGCTCCCGCGACCGTCCCGAATCTCTTCTGCGGTTCCTGCACTTGTGTCAGTCTCCATCTTCAGTGTGGCCTTGGGGGCGCTCATCGTTACCGTTCTGGTAGAATATCATGCCGTGGCTCTCGGCTCTCTTTGGCTAAAGGATGACATCGCTCAGTCCGGCGCCCGTATGGATGGCTTCCAATGCCCAGCCGTTCACCGAGGGAGTGAGGTCGGTCGAAGGTTCGGTCACGTTGGCCACCAGGTGGAAGCCGGTTGACGAAGACGAGGCAGGGTAACAAGATGCAACTTGACCGGAGTTTAAAGGCGCCGTAGGCGCCGTGCCGGCCAGACCGAGGAAGAGCGAAGTCCTCATTATCGCCACATTCGATCAGACCGGGTGAAAGTCCTGGTCGGAAGAGTGCAGGTCTGCGATGGGGCCACTGAAGCGAACAAGAACGACGATGATGCTGGCCAGCGGAAGGGGCAGCAAGAGGAGGCGCTGGTCAATGTATACACTCCTCCTTATGTCCACGATCTGATCCATCACCCCCTGGTATGTTTTGGACACGTTCCTGTCGAGGGCGAAGTCGGTGCCTTCCTTCGCCTTCGAAGATCCATCGATGGGAGGCTGGGTCTTCGTGCTCCGCCACGCTGCTGCCAGGGGCACTGTTTGATGCAAAATTCAAGCTCAAACTGTCTCTGGAGCCCGTTGTCGGCCACCGATGGAGTAGCATCGATTCAAGCTGGATCGGGCCGGCTCTCGAGGTCGGGCGTAGCATGAGAAGGTCTCAAGTGACCTGTAGCTACCGGTGTCCAGGATGGTAATGGAATGGTTAGCGGTTCCACATGGAAGGAACATTTAGGTTCGGACCGGTATTTTGCCTGTTAGAAACACGCAAAGTTCTGGTCTATAATTATCTGCGATAATATGTAGGATCCTCTAGTATAGAACCTTACGGGGTCTATGGTTCCTTCGGCAGTTACCATTATAGACGGATCTATCTGATCGACTGCCAGCGAGCACCACCTAGGGATGTGGCTGGTACTATCAGGGGTCTTTGCCACATCTCTATGGAGATTCACCAATCAAGCTGCAGTACTTTCTGTTCAGGCAATCTTTGCCCGTGTCGCAGGTACTAGCGCTTATCAGGAAGACCTACAAAATAGGTAGTAAATGCCCTTGCAATTGTTAGTCAAGGGCTGTTGTGGGGCATACGAGATTGCAAGGAATTGGAGTACCTAATGAGCCACAGGTGGTGCTCGTTGGCAGTCGATCAGATACCCCCTAGCATGTAGAGCCGCTACGCATTACCATCCTGGACACCTGCATTGCAGCTATCTGCCTCGGAACTGGGGCGTCACGTTTTCCTATTATTAGAATTATACCGTCATTCATACCATTGCGCGCTGTGAATCATGATGGTCAAAGAATACCCCAGAACTTACGTCGTCACTGCTCGGCACAGTCCATATGATAAAAGGTCTTGTAATGCATGATTCCACGTCAATACAAGAGTAATATGAGAGACCAGCCTCGATTGGACATTCAAGGGGTTGGGTTTCTCCAGAGGCAAGGCATATTCGTGGGAAAATGTCGACACTCAAACTTCCCATCCGTTATCAGCTAACGTCAAGCTGTCGTATCATGGCATTCGTGCCTAGGTACGTACCTAGCAGCAACCAACTTGAAAGGCGGTGTGAACGCAATGTCTCAGTCCGGCTGAGCAGCCTTCCCTTCCGGGTCCATCGCGATCAACAACCTTGGGAGAAGCAAATAGGTGGTGGCGGCGATATCATTATAACAACACGTAAACTCGGCGGCCTCAAGGTGCGTATAAGACATCTCAGTGAGGGTAGATCCACACGGAACGGGTCGTGGTGACGGGTGGCGCCCCAGACGAGGCTGGGAAAGCCATTGTCGCGTTGGTGATCGGCAACTCCGCAGTATAGGTATATCACGACCGCTGTCGGACGCTGTTGATCGCCGTCTTTGAGCCTGCGAAGGCGAAGGTCTACCTAGGGATGGTCGTGGCCTCTGATGATCCCTGTAGCCCCTGGGGGCCATAATCGAGCGCGGGTGAACGAAGACATACTTGGATGATGGAGTACTGGCAGGCTCAGGGGGTCTCTTTGTAAGCTCACGTCTTCCAAGGAAATAGCCCACGAGCTCCTGTTCTCCGGCTACCTGAGACTTCGATAACCGAGCGCAACAAACGCCGGTGGGAAAACGGGCAACAAGAGGCTTTGGTGGATCTGGGCAGTCCTGAACAATTAGTTATATTTTACCCCCGTGCAGGAGTCAAACTTTACTGGTAATGTTCGCCAGCTAAAGCACCCAATTGAGCCAGACGTGGCACTCCTCGAATGAGGGATGGAATGGCATGGAGGGTGTTGGACAGGTTTCATATACGGAAGCATGGATCCGGATCCAGCGCACTCTAGTATTGGAGGCGGTCTGATTCACCAGCATTCCAGTTCCTGCTATCGAGCGCACTTTTTCCACGCGATGTTCTCTAGACCCCTTTGTTTCTTTTGGCTCAAGGATCCCTTTTGCTCGTCATAATTCACAATGGGAACCAAGAGTCGTCTACGGATCAAAGCGTGTTTTGTGTCTCGACGTACCCGGCCGGCCACCGGCCATACCCATGTTCTAGACCAAGGAGATGATGTCGCTCGTAATTCTGCACCGGCGCTCGGATGCATGGGCCCGTACACGGTGTTTCCATCCCTTGATCACCACTTGGCCTCCTTGCGGTCCTGGAAACCCTTCAATATGGCAACGATCTTCTCGAGAGCGTGTAGGTAGCCGCGCATCTCGAGACCAACGGCGGCCTGATCGGCTCCCAGCTTGGGATAGAAGTCCTTGCGGTAGGGGCAGGCGCTCATGGCGGCGGAGAAGACGGGCTTGACGAGAAAGCCGTGGTGGGGTTTGAGAGTGTTGCCGTATGCGTTTCGGAACGAGGCAGAGAGTTCTTCGGACTCATTGGCCAAGTTCTGGCTCAGTGCAATACACGTGAAGTCCAGGGCTCTGTGATGGCGACCAGTTAGTTGGTGCTTTGGACAATTGCGCGGCTAGTAAATAATAAATGTAGGCGGTTGACATACCGGACGAGCCACACGAGTCCCTCAGTAGCGACGTGCTTCTTGGTCTTGAGCTCGTTGATGACAAGCTCCTGGAGAGTCGTGGATTCGGCAGGGGCAACGAGCTGGCGCTCACGGATTTTCTGAGACCAAGCGGTTAGAACGAGTGGTCCGTGGCGACAGACGGGTATGCTGTCCTAGTACCTTGATGTTGCCCAGCATGTCCGACTTGACAGGGGAAAAGGCCACGGATCCAAGGGCATCTGCAAGCGAATTGGTGAGCTGCCGCTTTACGACGTGGAAAGATCAGTGTCCGTCTGGCTAGGCATACCGAACATGGTGGTGAGGGACTCGGCAGCGTCAAGGAACTCGGTGGTGGCGATGGCATTCTCCTTTTCTGCGTCGATGGGAACATCAGCGAAGGAGCGCTTGAACGTCTGCAGCAGCGTTCCACCAGCTGGGAAGGCGGGTGCAGACATGATTGCAGTTGTTCAATGACAGGTGCAGAAAGAGGGTATCACGCGAAATAGTAGACAGAAAACAGTCGCTCTCTGTCTCTCTTGTAGAAAAGGAGTGATGTTGAGTTCTGGGGAAGGGCGGTCAATAGAGCCAAAGTAGATATCGAAGTGGCTTCAGGAGATGAATGGGAACGGGTGTCAACATGTGGTTGGACCTGCAAGTGGCTTGGTGAGGGGCATGTGGAGGGGCAGGAGGGGCAGGAGGGGCAGGAGGGGCAACAATGCGGCAGGGCTGGTGCACCAGCCACATCTCTGGAGGGGTCCAGGGTCCACGATTGTTTTATCTGTAACCTGGACTAATCTGTAAATCTCCCGTCGTCTTCTTTCACTAGGAGATCCCGTCTCCAGGGCTGTCTTGCAGTCGTTGTTTTAGTTGTATGAAATATCAATGAGAGCCTTCTGGAGCACAGCTGATACGGTGGGAGCGCCCTCAAGCCACCTTGTCATTGCAAAGCAGCACACCTACACAGAACCCGCTTGGTACTTACACCAACTTGAACAGCTCTCAATAACCAAATATCACGAGACCAATCTCCTAAAGAGGAGGCATCGTGGGAAACTTGGTATGTAGTTTAATCAAATGCGCATCCCTGTGGCTGATCTAATCCATCTGATCAACCCAAGGATGGACGACAACGACTGTGATTGACGTCATCTGGGCTGTAGAGAGGTATTTCAAGCTGACAGCGGGGTTCCGGTGTCGATACCTACAGTACATACCTAGGTAGCCTACAGCCCAGGCAGCTGCCAGGTACAAATAGTCGCATCGCAGAAGCTTGCTTTCCTGGCTAATTCCTGGCTAATGGCGGCTACCCGGTCTTGGCACCTGCATCTCGAGGATCGGCCTGCCTGCCGCTGCATGCAACCTTGGGACTTTTGGAGGCACATGCACATGGCTGTAGGGCGGGCTGAAAGGGGGATCTGATCCCTTGACTGGACAGTGACAACGAGAGTCCTCAGACTCCAGTCCTCGACCGTGGGAGAGTGACGGCCTGTTGCGAGCGGGCTGAAGATGAAACATAAGATCTGGTAACGATACATGTAACAAGCACTTGAGCCTCAGGACCCTGCACGTGCTCGATGCAGGTGCAGGTGTCCCGCCCCAGCCTCCAGACATTGAGTCCGTTCCTCAGCTAGATAGGTACCTACTTATTAGGTACCTTTAGAACCGGAAGCCGGCAACCTTCGCAGCTTCGATCGCTGCCTCCCCCATCCCCGGCTGTGGGCGTCTGCAATACCCGACCAAACCTGCTTTTCTACCCCTTGACCTTTATTAAATACCAAGGTAGTGTTAGGTAGCGGCCGGCCAGCCCCATGACGACGTTTTCTTCAGTCGACACTACCTACATTGTTTATATCACCCTCTTCCGTCCGGCTGTTCGCAATCCCACACTCTAGCCGTCTTCGCTTTCGCTTTCGCCTTGCTTACTGGCACCCCGACCCCGTGCTTCGTTACTGTGTCTGGCTGATGTGTTGGTCGCCATCTTTGTTTGTGATACACCCATACCCATACCTTAGATATCCAAATACAAGCTACACAGGCCAACCGTCGTATCCCGGTAACACTACCCATCAATCATGTCCGCCTCAAAGGATCAAGACGGGGACCACTCAGGCTTCTTGCATGGGTTGAAAGAGAAGTTCAAGGACACCAAACTCCACGACGCCAAGATCAGCCTCATTCACCAGAAGTACGTCTGGTCCGAAGCCTCAAACTGTCATATCTGACCATCCACTCTCCAGACACAAGATTGGGAAATTCGCAAATCTCGTAGGCTGCCCGTGAAGCCCACTTGGCCCGCCCCGTCCAACCATGCTAATCATGATGCATCCCTCCAGTTGAACCCGGGGCATCGTCATGACGAGGCGCATGAGAAGGCCACCGATCAGAAGCGTAGTAACATCGCCGGAGAGCACCGCTTCGAGTCTTATTTCCCTGAGCGCGACAACAACCTGATCAAATGGTATGTCGACGGGAGGGACTATTTCTGGGTGAGTCCGGCCAGTCAATTGCACCCGGCCCTGTAAAACTTACTCGCTCTTTCAGGCCGTATCGGTAGCCCTCGAGCAAGCCAAGGAGACCATTTACATTGAAGACTGGTGGCTCTCGCCGGAGCTGTTCATGCGCAGGCCGCCCTACTTCAACCAGGACTTCCGCCTAGACCGCATCCTGAAGCGCCGCGCCGAGGCTGGTGTCAAGATCTACGTCATCGTATATCGTGAGGTCGAAGCTGCCATCACCTGCAACTCGGCGCACACCAAACATGCTCTACAGAGCCTCTGTCCCGAAGGCTCTCCGGGCTATGGCAACATCAAAATCATGCGCCACCCCGACCACAACGTCCTTGAAAATGCCGCCGACATGACCTTCTACTGGGCGCATCACGAGAAATTCATCGTCATCGACCATGCCATGGCCTTCATTGGAGGCCTCGACCTGTGCTTCGGCCGCTGGGATAACCACCAGCACCCTCTTTCCGATGTCCACCCGGAGGGAGTGGCTAATGAGATCTGGCCGGGCCAGGACTTCAATAACAATCGGGTAATGGACTTCCAGAGGGTCGAGGACTGGAAGGAGAACGAGCTGAGCAAGGCCGAATACGGCCGTATGCCGTGGCACGATGTGGCCATGGGCGTTATCGGGCCCTGTGTCTACGACATTGCAGAGCACTTTGTCCTGCGCTGGAATTTTGTAAAGCGTGACAAGTATAAACGAGACGACAGATTTGACTGGCTCATGTTAAGGGGTCGCACAGATCAGGATGAGGATTTGGTGGGCGTACAGCGGCCGAAACATCCCGTGGGCGATTACGTCCTTCACCCCTTGACGCCTCTGGAGTCCAAGAACCTCGATAACCGGGGAACTGTACATGCACAGATCGTCCGCTCCAGCGCCGACTGGTCCAGCGGCATTCTCAGGGATCATTCCATTCAGAACGCGTACTCGGAGGTCATTCGTAAGGCGCAGCACTTCGTCTACATCGAGAACCAGTTCTTCATCACAGCCACTGGCGACCAACAAGCCCCGATTCACAACACCATTGGGAGATCCATTGTAGATGCTTGTGTCAGGGCTGGCAAGGAGGGCCGCAAATTCCGCGTCATAATCATCATCCCAGCCATACCCGGCTTCGCGGGCGATCTCCGCGACGATGCTGCCACAGGCACACGTGCTATCATGGACTATCAGTACAAGTCGATTTGCCGGGGCGAGCATTCCATCTTCGAGCAGATACGAAAAGAGGGCGTTGACCCGACGAACCACATCTTCCTTTTCAACCTGCGGTCCTACGACCGCCTGGACAAGACGCCTTCCATCAAGAAGCAGGAAGAGGTATCTGGCGTCAAGTATCAAGAGGTCCAACGCGCAGAGGCTGAGGAGGTCATGAGAGAGGGGATACACGGCAGCAAGGATGTCGAGGGTGAACGCGATGAGCATATGGGCAAGGCTGAAGAGCAGAGGGAGCAGAAGGAGGACACCAAGAGCACCGACGCCAAACGGCGTTTCGAAGCAGCCAGGCAGGATGCCCAAGAAACCAAGTCCTCGTCCACCGTGGCGCATCACGCCATGGCCGCTCCTGGCAAGCTCTCGGACGAAATCTGGGAAGGTGAACCCATGGAGGAAGTCGAGAATTGGATCCAGGAGGAGCTCTATATCCATGGAAAACTCCTCATTGTCGACGATCGCATCGTAATCTGCGGATCCAGCAATCTCAATGACCGCAGTCAGCAGGGTGACCACGACAGCGAACTCTCGATTGTGATGGAGGATACCGACAGGATTCAGAGCACCATGGACGGCCAGCCTTTCGAAGCGGGGAGACACGCAGTCACACTTCGCCGATACCTCTGGCGCGAACACTTGGGCTTGCTTCCTCCTCAGGAGCACGATGCGAGCGATGATCCCAACGCGCAGCCACCGGGAAAGTACTCGCCCAATGACATATGGGATAGGGATGACACCTACAAGTTTGTCGAGGATCCGCTGAGCGAAAACCTCTGGAATATGTGGACCTCGAGTGCTACGAAGAATACCGAAGTCTTCAGGCACTTGTTCCATGCCGATCCCGACGACAACGGTGAGTATCTCGTGCCTATAGTGGCCTGACTTCAATTCTAACTGTGCACAGTCAAAACATTCGACGACTACAACGTTTTCCTGCCACCCAAGGGAGTCAAAGCCGGACACATCTTTGACCGGTTCCAACCTGCAGAAGACATTCGAAAGAAGTTGGATCAGATCAAGGGCCATCTTGTGTGGATGCCGCTGGATTACCTGAAGGATGCCAACATGGCCGAGGCTGGGTTGCAGGTCAACTCGTGGACCGAAAGTATCTACACCTAAATACAGCGAGTCTTCGGGGTTACTGTACCTGGAGTATCCAGGTTGGGCGTTTGGGTCGTGGGAGAGCAGCGGAGTTCGATCGAGTTAGTCCAGGACATAATGCTACGAACCTAACGAGATGCCGTGAGCGCGGTTGAAGGCACATGTTGATGCCCAGGTCAACCCATCACGTCATGCGGTGACTGCTGATTGTAAAGGGGATTAGAAGTCAAACATGACTGATAGAAGCCGGGCCATGTAGGTGAGGTCCGGCCCTGATTGTCTGGAAGCTCCTCTAGCGAGAGACCGGAGGGACCCTGGGGAGCGCATACATGGGGGGCAGTCTGGAGGTTAATCCGTCAGTCGCCCAGGGATGGGAATGGTAACATGAATCTGTTCTTGCATGTTCTTCGGCACAGCTGAAGCTTGCAGGTAGACGCTGCCAAGACATGACTACGCGCCCACCCTGCCTACCATGGAATCTTTCAACACGTTCGCCTGTCAAAAGTGTATAACTGTGGTGCGAACTAGAAGTGCAATGTGGTATGTACTTGTGGTCCGCGGACAGTCAAACGCCTACCCTGCGTCCCACGACCTGAGCTGAAGCGGTTGGTGGAAGTTTGTGAAGATGTTGGGCTATCGAGCTACGCGCGGCGCTCCACTGACACCGATGGGCTTTGGAGTAAGTAATACAACCTCGGGTTATACCCTCGCGAAATCCTAGGAATTTCATGCAGGCGACCAAGCGAGACATTCTTTACCGGTAGAACGGAGGGAGACGCTCGTGGATATATCCGAAAAGTGCTTGCTACGCGGCGCGGTGGGCGAGGGGAAGTTCGTATATAACCTGTACCCGAGTCGCTGAAGGCAGGTCGCTCGCTCTTGGCCCTAGCTATGTAAATCCGTGTAAAACTACAAAAGGGAAGCGTAGGAACGAAGACTCTTCATCTGTTGCGAGGCTAGCTATGATTTCCGTACTGCTATAATCTCTACACCATGCACAAACCGTGGTCCATAATCGCAGCCAGCGCCCTCGCAGCCCGGGCGGCGGCACCACCAGGAGACGAATATTGCGGGAGCAAAACACCAGCCTTCTTCCTAGCAGGCGACTCGACGACAGCCTACGACGGCGGCTGGGGCGACGGGTTCCTAGCCCCGCTGATCAGCCCAGCCTGGGGCGTCAATATCGGACAGAGCGGCGCTACGACCGTGTCGTACATACGCGGTGGGAACTGGTCGGATATCACGACGCATCTGCGGGATAATGCGGATGAGTATGAGTGTTATGTTACGATCAGTGTTAGTATCACTCACCGGTGCCTTGGTTTATGCGTGCGTGCGAGAAGCAAGCAGTAAGAGTAAGAGGGGGAGGGAGAGGGAGAGGGAGAGGGAGAGGGAGAGGGAGCGGAAACTGATATTGATACTGATACTGATATGATGGATGGGTTGGATTAGTTCGGACATAATGATCAGAAGGCTGAGAATAACGTCACGTTTGAGACGTATCAGACGAACCTCATCAACTTCGCCAACGAGGTCAAGGCGCTTGGCGGTACACCCGTAAGTGCCCAACCACCGCCGTCAGCCGTCGAACATACCTCCAAGCATACCTTCAAGCCCACGTGCCTACAAGCACACATACGCACACATACCACCGTCCAAAAACTCACCCAAGGGCAACACAGCTCCTAACCTCCTCCCTAACCCGGCGCGCGATCCCCGCCGGCGCTGACCAAGACAACAACGCGACGGACTCACTACACGACCAGCGCCTAGCCGCCATAGCAGCGGCCGCGGCCACAAATTCCACGGTTATCGACCTCAACGCGGCCAGCCTGGCCTATGTGGACGCCATCGGCAAGACCGCCGCGTGGGCGTACAACTGGAACGGCACCGACACGACGCATTTGAATCCCCGGGGCACCGTCGTGTTCGGGCGCATGGTGGCCGATCTGGTGGTAAGGGCGGAGCCTTGTTTGGGGAGATGGTTTACGCCGAATGAGACGTTGAGTTATGCGATTTGGAATGGTTTGGCTGCCTGAAGCCTTGTTATGTTAGGGTACTTAGGTAGGTAGATATGGGCTCGCGGTACGGTGTTGGTTGGTTGGAGCAGGGCTGAGTGGCACGCAAGATCACGACACCAAGTCGAACGGGGGGGTCTGGTAGCAGAATTGCAGATTATGGTCTCGCTATAATATGCCCTCTCTGTGTGTCTGTGTGTATGTGTGTGATCTAATGCTCATGGGCACAATACATGAAGATAATGTCACCGCCGACGTCGGTCCAGTAATCACCATCCGCGGCCGGCCATCTTCTGCTCGGGCTTCATGCTGTTGACGCTGATGCCCACCATGGCCTCTCCCAGACCCTCGCTGCACTCGGCCAGCACCTTGGCGTCGCGGAAGTGCGTGGTAGCCCGCACGATGGCCTTGGCCCGCTTGGCCGCGTCGCCCGACTTGAAGATGCCGCTGCCGACGAAGACGCCGTCGCAGCCCAGCTGCATCATCAGGGCCGCGTCCGCCGGCGTCGCCACACCGCCCGCGGCGAAGTTGACGACGGGCAGCCGACCCAGCTCGGCCGTCTGTCTTAGTAGCGCGGCGTCGCAGCCGAACTCCCGCGCCAGCGCCCTGATGGCGAGGTCGCCGCCCTCCTGCAGCGCGGCCTTGGCCCTGGCGATGTCGGCCTTGACGGTGCGCATGTGCTTGACGGCCTCGACGACGTCGCCCGTGCCGGCCTCGCCCTTTGTGCGGATCATGGCGGCGCCCTCGGCGATGCGGCGCAGGGCCTCGGGCAGGTTGCGGCAGCCGCACACGAAGGGCACACTGAAGGGCGCCTTCTCGACGTGGAAGGCGTCGTCGGCCGGCGTGAGCACCTCGCTCTCGTCGATGTAGTCGACGCCGAGCGCCTCGAGGATCTGGCACTCGACGAAGTGGCCGATACGCGCCTTGGCCATGACGGGAATCGTGACGGCCTCCTGTATCTCCTTGATCTTGCCCGGGTCCGACATGCGCACCACGCCGCCCTCGGCCCTGATGTCGGCTGGCACGCGCTCCAGGGCCATGACTGCGCAGGCACCGGCGTCCTCGGCGATGCGCGCCTGGGCTGCGTCTGTCACGTCCATGATGACACCGCCCTTGAGCATCTGTGCTAGTCCGGCCTTGACGGTGAAGGGAGTCTTGTTGTCCTTGTTCGCGGAGGTGGAGGCGGTGCCATTGCTGGATGCCGCTGCGGGAGCAGCTATGGAGCTGCCAGCGTCGTTGTTCGTCATGATTCCTGGCTCTTGACTGTGTCTCTTTTGCTAATTTTGCGGAACGTCAACGGGGTCGACGGGGTCAATGGGAACGGCGAGGATGGTATGGACGTTTCTCTAGATAGCTCGAGGCAATGAGTAGAAGTTTGTTAAGTAGGGTTGTAAGTTGTCGTGTATGTTTGCCTGCAAGAATGGCGGCGAATATGTTTCCAGTCCGGTTGCCTCCTCTGCTTCAAGGGTCCTCTGGGCCAACCTTGATATGTGGATGACTCGACACCGTCAATCGGCCCCAGTGGGATGGGGAAAGTTCCCCCAGTGGGATGGAAGTTCCCCGTACATTACCTAAGTCATTCGTGCCCTCCGGATCAGCGGTGATCAGCGAGCGCGGCAAGATTGGAGCACGTCGAAAAAGTTTGCACACATATCGCAGGTGCAGGTGCAGGTGGTAGGCGGTTAGTTCGTGTCATGACGCATACTGTGCCGCCGAACTCGGTCGCCAATGCCACCTGCAGTATCGACCAGTTCCGCTTTTGCCGATGACAGCTTAAGCTTACTTCCTTTTAGAGACCGAGGCAACCCGCGCGCGTGGCCCAGATGCCTCTTGACTCTGGCCGGTTCCTTGCAGCTTGACATCCAACCAACACGCCTTAACTTGGCGGCCTGTGAGTGACCGTTGTCATCGAGCCACCAGCGAGGAGGATAGTGAAGATTGGCACTGGCACTGGAGGAACGGTTAAAACCCGTCTTTCCCACAGCACAGCACAGCACCGCACCGCACCGCGAACATGGTAACAGTGGGCGTGCTTTCACTTCAAGGGGGGTTCTCGGAGCACCTCAGCTCTCTGCGGAAGGCAGCAGATTCCTCGGCTGCAGATGTGCACTTCGACTTCACCGAGGTGCGGACGCCGGCACAGCTAGCGGTATGCGACGCCCTCGTCATACCCGGAGGCGAGAGCACTACTCTGTCGCTCGTGGCAGCGCAGTCGGGGTTAATAGAGCCCTTGCGCGAGTTCGTCAAGTGAGTGCACCCGGGATGCCGTCCCACTCGAAGACCTCCCGCTGATTCGTTGATGCAGGATCAGTAGGAAGCCGACATGGGGCACATGTGCTGGGCTCATCTTCCTGTCGGAACAAGCCAGCGCCACCAAGAGAGGCGGCCAGGAGCTGATCGGGGGACTGAATGTCAAGGTGCACCGCAACCACTTCGGCCGGCAGATGGAGAGCTTCGTGACCGACCTGGACCTGCCGTTCCTTTCGCAAAGTTCTTCGCAAGCGGCACCGTTCCCAGCCGTCTTTATTCGCGCACCCGTGGTCGACGAGATGCTCACGGACAACGTTAAGTCGATCGGCGAAAGGCTTGAGGGCAGCATTGCTGGCAGTCAGAAGCCACCTGCGACTGCGGCCAAGGTCGAGGTACTGGCCATCCTTCCGGGACGGCACGCGTCGAACAGGAAAGCTGCGGTCGGGGATGCGCTCCCAGTGTCCCCTGGAGGAGCGGGCGACATCGTCGCGTTGAGGCAAGGGAACGTGTTCGGTACCAGCTTCCACCCGGAGCTGACAGATGACACGCGCATCCACGCGTGGTGGCTGGCGCAGGTTGCGGCAGCATACAGATAGCAGGATACACCTTCGGGTAGACCAGGTAAAACCAAGAGAGATCGCAGCTGAGGCACACGAGCAGGGTTGCAAAAAATACGAATCGTATTCGTACTTAGTATCGTATCGTATCATATCCTATCGTATCGTATGAGATTTCAATACTATATAGTATTATATATTTCAATAAATTTTATTTATTTTACTCATAACACGTTTTAAATCTAGTTTTGAGCAGTTATATTCATTATAATTTAAGGTTTAATATAAGGTTAAAATTAAAGTAAATTAATTACGTAATCATTTATCGAACTGCGGAATGAAATTTAATACTATATATGTATTAAAATATAAGAATTTGCTTATACATTAATTATTAATTAATAATGTTTTATTTATTACTTTAAAGTTAATATTTTAACTATTTATTATAATCCAATATAAATATTTAATAGCCGTTATTATACTTATATAAAAATTCATTTCTATACGTTTTTTTAACGTTAAGTATAATTATTTAACTTCGGAACATCGCTCGATATAATATTAATTAAAGGCTTTATTTTTAATGATTTAAAGAACTTTTCAAATTTTAATCGTTCAAATAGTTTCTTAAGTTTATTTATTAAATATTTATTAGTTAAAATTTATATAAGTTTAATATTATTAGCTTTAGTTTTTAACGCGTGTAATCATACGTTATTTTTATTTATTATTTCGTTTTATTAAACGTTAACGATTTAATTTGAAAAATCACGCCAGGGTTATTTTTTAAAATCGAACCAGGTTTTTTAACATTATTTTAATCTATATTAAAAAGATTTTAATTTAAACGGAGTTATTAGTTACCGTTATAAGTTAATAAATTTAAGTTTACAACTTTTTATAATAATTAACTATAGTTTAATATATTAAAGAAGCTGACTATTTATTATTCAATGTATATATATTATAATAGATTTTATATCGTTTCAATTGAAAGTTAAGCTTATATTTATGACTTTAAAAAGCTTTCAATCGTTATATTTTTTATAATTATAGATTTTTTAAGCGCTCGGTATTATATTAAAAAGTTATTAAAACTTTTTAAATAACGTGCGATTTTTTAATACTTGTTTATTAATTTTTCTACGGTTCATTACAAATCGTATTTATATAAAAGTAATATAATTAATATGAAAGCATGTAATAAACGTGAAAAGTTATATTTATTTATTTCAAGATATATATTCGAATATTTTATTACTTATTACTTTAATTTTTTTGGTTAATCGTGATTTTTAAAGATTTTAATTTTATCGGAGTCGATATAATCTTTGATTCATTTATGTTGATATTTCAAGTATTTGTCGTACATATTATCATTAATTAAAACATAATTTCTTCAATAAAAATATTATAAACTACTTATATATATAAAAAATATTTACTAATTTCTTAATTATAATCAATATTAAAAAATTTAAAAATTTGAGCGTTATTTTAGATAAAGGTTAACTAATTATATAATTTGTAATAATTATATTAAATGATTAATCAATATATATATTATGTTATTAAAGTTGAAAAGATAAAAGCTTATTTTCAAAAGATCATACGGGCTTTTTTAATTATGTATTATTTATTTATTCAAAGTTATATAAAAAGTTAAATAGGTCAATTGTGGGAACAGGCTTGAACGATCAATCATAATACTCGAGTATTGGGTCAAGATCATGATGTTGCTGATGGTTGGATTGTGAAGTCTAGCTAGACCTGCAGGTCTGGCTAAGTGACCTCACAATCCGGTATCTAATCTCTTATCTAATCATATATATGGGTTCTGTATAGATGGTTTGACTGTGGAATTACATGGATCCAACACTAACCCAATATGCTATAAATCGATTTTATTTATTATATTAAATATCAAGTTTTGATTAAGTTAATAATAAAAGTAGATGTATGAAAATATATGATTTTAATAAGTTTTAACGATATTATTTATATAATGATATTTACCGGGATTAAAAAGAAAAGTCTTTTAATCGGTATAATATTTGTATTAGTACCTGTTATTTAAAGAAAAAAACGTAAAAAGTAAGTAATTTATTTGCTTTAAAGCTAGTAAACTGCGTGCATATTTCGAATAATGATATTACTTTTTAGCTATTAAGCTTTAATATATTAACCGTATTAAGCAGTTTTTTAAGCTTTATAACGGTATTTCAAGATTTAACTGAAATAAGCCAAATATTTTTTATAATTTAAAGATATATGTCTTAAAACCTTTATATTATATATATAAAAGGCTTAAATCTATAAACAAGTTAATCACATCGTACTCTTTTAATTTTACTTTATAACTTTAAAATTAAAAGAATAAGACCTTAGCAAAAACTCTGGATTAAATTATTCTAACTTGTCTTTTAATCGATATCTTTATAAGGCTAGATTTTATATCCATTTCTTTTATAAGAGTTGTAAAAGTTATAAACGTAAGGGTAGGCCTAGCTTTAAATGCGTTTTTGGTTTTAATATCGTATTTGTTTCAAATATTTTAATTTTTATTGTTATAGTTTTTTATAAAGTCTTTTTAATATTCATATTTAGTTAAATTTTCAAAATTTTAATCGTAAGTATATTGTTATTAAAAATAAAAATTTTACTTTGTATATATCTTTAATTATAAAATTCTTAATATTTATATCTTTTAAAAAGTACTTTATAAGTTAATATTAATAAAGCTTTACATATACATTTACTCAGTGGTTATATATATAATAAGAAATATTAAAAAATTATGATATTAATTCTATAAATTTTAGTTCTTATAATATTAAGGTTGATAAGTATAATAAACATATAATAAAACTAATAAAAAGAAATTTATACTATAGTTCTTATTTTTATTGTCTTTTTTCTACTTTAACCCGCTTTTAACTTTAATAAGTAAAATAAGCCTTATTTACGTAAGCAAGTTATGTCTTTTTAATATATTTTGATAAAAGTTTAAAAAAAAATTGGGTTTCTTAGCTTTTGTAAGCTTTTTTTTTAACGCGTATTTACTTCGTAATTTTAAGCGTTAGTTTTTAAAACATATTAATATAAACTTTATGTTGGAACAGGCTTGAACGATCAATCATAATACTCGAGTATGGGGTCAAGGTTATGATGTTGCTGATGGTTGGATTGGGAGGTCTAGCTAGACCTGAAGGTCTGGCTAAGTAACCTCGCAATCCGGTATCTAATCTCTTATCTAATCATACATGTGGGTCTTGGTATAGATGGTTTGCAGGCTGGAATTGCATAGATCCAACACTTTATGTAATATTTTTAAGCTTAATAATTCTTTCTATAATCGATATATTCATTTATAAAATAAAAAGCGTAGAATTATTTTATTTCACAAATTGCGATATATGTTATATGTTTCAAGATTAAAAGAAACAAACTAAACTCAGGCTTAATTAAAACTTAATATTGTCAGATTTGAGCCAATTGTCAGAATGAAGTGTTTGTGTGTGTATACTGTCTGTCCAAAGTGTCTTTGTGCGATTGTGGCAGTTTTGTGCCAGAGGGGGCTGGATTGGGACGAACAACTAGGTTCCATTGTCTACCTGTCAAGGTGCCTTTTAGACGTACCTTTGATCCAACAAATATTAGAAATTCGTAACGTAGGTTTGAAATATTTTTTTAACTTAATTAATATTATTCACATTAAAATACATTTTATTATATTCAAAGTTGTATTATATTTCTATATTAACTAATATATAGTTTTCAAGATTCTTTATATTATTTGAATGATATTAACAGGTTACTTTATAGTTATGATTATTAAAATCGATTATTATTTGTATTGCTCTATTAATAAAAATGTGCTCTATTTTTAAATAATAATAATAATATAAAAGTTTTTCTTACTATAAGGCTTAAATAAGTGTTTATTATTATTTTCTTTATCGCATATTATTATAATATAATGCATTCTAAATAAATAAAAACAAAGTACTTACGTTTTAAATAGTCTCGTTATAATCATTTATTAAACAAGCTTATTTTGTATAAATTTATTTTAAACGATAAAATAATATAATAGGTTTATTATTATATATTTATTCGCTTATATTAAACGATATGATTATTATATAAAACTATTAAATATTTATAAAAAAATGAATAAAAGAATTAACTTTAATGTTTTCAAATTAAAGGCTGGGGGATTATTATTAGTAAATAAAAATAAAAATAAGAACGGTTTAAATTTTTTTTTTTAAAAAGTCAGAAAGTAAAATAAATATTGATTATAGTATCATAACAAGTTATCTTGATTGTAAATAATATTAAAAATTTATTCGTATATTTATTCGTAATTACCGTATTAAAATATTTTACAAAGGCTTTTTTTAACTTTGAACTTATATAATATTTAGTTTTATTTAATTATACGGTTTTAGTTAACAGCTTTGAAAATTAAGCCGTTTTAACAGCTAAACTATAATCATTTATTAAACGGACAATTTACTGCTTATTGTGATGGTTCTATCCACCATCCATCAGGTCTAGTGATGGTCCCTATGGTCCCTGGGTCACGTGACTTAGCACGTGACTGATCGGATGACAGCTTGATCCATGCCCTGGTGGGTCTGGTGGGGGACGACTGCGCACATCTAGCTGCCCACCAATTTGGGTGCATCTCTAGATCTTTCTTTTTCTTCAATCAGAGTTCGTTATACGTTAATAGCCAATAAGCGTCCTTGTATCCTTCTAATACATTTACGGATTCGTAACACTTATTAAAATTATATTATTTAAATTTTTATACTTTTTAAGAAAAGTACGGTTATTTTAAACTAAACTAGATATATATAGCTTATTTAGTTAAATCTTTTTAAATTTCTCGCTTCTTAATATTTATTTTACTTAAAGTAATTTAGTAGGCGTTTTTTTGCTTAATCTTATATACGTTTTCAAATTTTCTTATATTTCTTACTAATAAAGTGTATTATTACCCCTTTTAATTTAAAAAGCTTAATATGAAAATCGTATCCGATTTTAAGCTAGTAATTTAAATAAGCAATATTTTCACGGCTTATGGGAGCATTGTAACGACGCTAAGGTAAAGCACCCCCATAGTGCAAGGCCCCACCTGGCACGCCCACCCCACTGCCAGCAGCCCTGTAGCAGTACCCTACGTGCCTACCTAGCAGCCTAGTACCTACCCCCTCTACCCCTTTTGGGAGGATACCAACCCAACCTGCCAGCTTGGAGTCCTGCAAACCTGTAACTTCAACGTAGACACGCACCGACTTGCGACTACCTGTATGTGAGAGACGCATGATAATATTCTAACGATGTACTCGATGCGACTAGAACAGGCAAACATGCACGTCGTCGCTGTACAGATACGTTTTGCTTGATAGATAAATCTGGTGAAGCTCTGTGGGCGGGATTATACGACTTCCTTCACCATCAACCTCGTGTGAGGTGTGCATTCGCCCAGTCTGGTTCTTTTTTCGTGTCGTTTCGTGTCACACTTCATGAAGGTTCGTCTGATCTCTACGCTCTTTCCTCATTGCCGTCATGGGGAAGAAGAGGAAGGTTCTGGTCGGGTAAGATCTCCAGCCCGGCTCCGAAGTACGCGGCCGGCGACAGACTTGTGCATTGTTTTGAATCTTGATGGCAAACTAGAAGGTCACTTTCCACCTCAGACAAGCATGGTCTCCGTCTCTTGCGGTGGGCATTCACATGTCTCGACTTTTCACGTCATCTGCGGAGGCCACTCCCCTGGCTCGCTCTGCTCAGAAATGCCGCAAAGAACGCCAACAGGAACAGATTCCTATGTTAAGGTCATCGTTTCCCAAGGACGCGTCGTCAACTCCACTCCAGGCCGTGCGATTGGATGTTTTGATCATCATAATTCACATTGCTTTACGTACGGATTGGGGCTATAGAGTATATGTGCACTTCCCAGCTGCGTCATTCGTCCAGACGGACAGGTCGTTCCCAGCAGTGGTGCCCTGTGTGAGCACGAATATGGCAGCAGGGCTAGGTCGTCCAATCATCAGGGAGGTAGTCTGGTATCACGAAGGGCCAGAAGGTTGCCCATTTAGTCCCATCACGCCCTCCCCGGGCGAGATCCGTTCGGGTTCTCTTCAGCGCGTCTGACAAGGCCGCAACCCATGAACTCGACACCTCGCAGTTCCGCGCCCTCACGTCAGCTAATGTCTGCTCTGCCAGATTCAACCATTCCATTGGGGTGTTGTTCCACACCATTCCTCCCGGCCCTACCGGGACCTCGATGGTGTAAGCGGAGGTAGCGGTATGGTCGGTCCCTATACTCCCCGGAAATACAACTTTGCCCCCAGAATTTATTGCGTTGTTGACATTTGCCGAGCTATAAAATACATCGCTGATCGCCCATACTCTATCCTCGGACATAGTGCGGCTTCTGATGGGCAGTGCCGCCCTCATGAGCAGCCCTAGGGCGTGCAAATCAGCCCCGTATCTTACACGCAGACAAGATAGAGGGGCCTGGAGACACTCACCAATACAATGGAATAGCCACGGCGCTTGACGCCCGGCCTTTCCGGGGAAGGGGGGAGAGTTGAGATATTTGACTCTCTCGTTCCAAGGAACTCGGTTCGTGAGAGGTTGTGCAGCTTCCGCGCACCGCGCCTCGTCTTTCTTTGCAAACCCTGTGCTGAACTTGTCGATGGCTTCGTGAGCGTCTACATCACTCCACGGGCTCTCCACCCAGGCCTGATGAGCTTTCGGGTACCAGTGTCTGCGAAACTGCTCCCACCTCTGCTGCCGCCCCTGCCACTTCTGCACAATGGGGCCGTAGGGGCCCTTCTTTGCCATATCCTATCGCATGATTCCCGGTCAGTACTTCCCTCTGTCCATGTGTCCTCTCATAGACCATGCTCTTGGGGCTAAGATCAGGAATTACGGCTACTGACCTCATCGATGGTGATGCCATTATAGTCGCAGCCGGTGCTATTGTTGGTTGCTCTCATCTTAATCATGCCCTTTGGCATCTGGAAGAGATCACTGCTCTTGTTGGGCGTCTTAGTGTCGTTCCAGAACTCGCGAGACAGCAGCTTTGAGGCATACATCGCAGGCACCAGAGAAATTACGAGCTTGGACCCCTTCTGGAAACAAGGAAGGTCGAACGGGAGACGCAAACGGTCCTGGGTGTTTGACCTGTTTGGCCAATCCGAGAGTCTCATCACCATGGGCGCCCCTTCCGGCTTCGCGCCGAGCAACCCTCCAAATACCGCGTTTTCGAACGAATCCCCGATCTCTCTAACGACTTCAAAGTCGACAAACTGGCTGAGTTTAGAGCGTCACGTTGGGAGTTGTCTAGGGACTATGTACAGTCCACGAGCAGTAGCAACTTACCGGCTCTTTCGTGTCCACGACACTCACTGTGTATTTGGCATAGGTGCTACTATCATGGTATCGACTATCCAATATCTTGTGCATCAGCTCGTGCAGCATCTGCAGCCACCCGCGTCAGTACAGTACAGACCAGGCCCGAGTTGCGATCTCGACTTACCGTTACGGCCAGATTAAAGTAGATACTGCACCATTTGGCAACGGTGATGCTGTCGTCTATCAGCGGTTGCAGGCCTTCGATATTTATTTTCGACAGTCTAGCCCTGTCCCCCCTGGGTCCTTGTACTGGGCGGGCTGGTAGTCCAATTGCGATGCCATCCAAGTCGCACCGAGCCCCTCCGTTTCGGCCGCCTCCATGAATGACCACCGGTGGGCGCTCGTGAGATAGTTGATTCTATCGACCCACTCCTGCTCGCTCATGTTTTTCTAAAGCCCATCTCAAATTTCCTCTTCAGGCGCGCACACATTTTATCTTCGGCATCGTAAGATAGGAGGATCCGCGCCTCATCAAAAGGGGGTGTCGAATCCCAGTCCTTCCACAAAAAGCCAGACGACCGTACAGGAGGGTCTCGATCCAATCGTGTCTGTCCGTGATCAGTGCCCTCAAGATCCTGTTGGCCAGTTCAAGCGAGACACTCAGCACGTCCCAGATCTGAGGATTGTCCACGGTCCACCAACTTCCCGTCACGGTATTCAGCTGTCGCATTTCGTACCGTCGGGTCCTCTGGAAACATGAAAGCCACGTCGTCTCGTCAATATCGAACCTTTCCGAATCAAAAAAGCTCATAAGATCGTCTTCCTTGCCCACATCCACCGGTCGATGGCCGCCTGAGATGATGACCTGCTGGCCAGCGTGTTCTCTGACAGAGAAGGAGAGGGTACTGTTCAGCGGCGCACACTCCCACGACCTGGGGCCCGAGAGTCGTTGCCGCTGCCACGCCTCACTGTAAAAGAATCTGTCGAGCTCGACATTGCTAGCGGGCCATGAATATTCAATTGGCTTAGGCCGGGCGTCATAGTATTTCGGGTCCAAGCGAGGGTGCTCGGCCGCCCTTCCCGAGTGGACTTGGTCGGGCTGGCTCAGAATGGAGTGGCCATCGATAGTTCCAAAACGCTCGGCCCAATGCGATAGGGGCCTGGCTGGCGGTTGCGAAGGTGCTGAAGCCATATGGACTCGTTTCAAGGAATTCTAGCAAATATTGTACTAGCTTTGATAGCGACCCGAATTTCACATCTGGCCTGCAATATAACAAGCTGTAAGCCTGTGGCTATGAACCAACCCCCCTTATTTCGAGCTCAGCAATAAAGATTACTATGTAATACCCGGAAGCGGTAACATGGCCCTGTAGCGCAACTCAAGAGGTCGAGCTTGAGCTGATTGGCGTGACCGACAAAGGAGCCCGCAAGTGTCGAGTCGGCCAGGTTCCGACAAACATCAGATAATGAAACTATATGCTCAGCTGGGACTTTACAAAGCTTCTGGGTCTAAGTCATCAGCCGTCACTAGAAAGCTTAAACTCAAGATAATCATGATTGATTTATAAAAACAACCAACGAGGTATGTATAGACATGCTTGCTCTGGCACCCGAGTATCCGCGTCCAGAGCATTGTTGGGGCTTCGCATTGTCTTCATCGTGTTGGAGATCATGGAAATTTGAGATACCGTCAGCGTGTACTTACTGTTGTTGGGGAGTTGCGACGTGCATGGTGCTATCAGAGGCAACATGGAGTATGGTCTCGTATCAACTAACCTACCCCGAAAGCGTCTCGAGAAAAGGAGACGGATCTGAAGGCATATGGACTGATGTACGTACGTACTTGTGTATGTATACACGAGGTTAAACCTGCCGATCTTCTTCCCTGATCTGTCATAGTCCAGACCTTGTACTTCTGTCTTGTCCGGTCCGCGACCAACACCTTTCCACATCCTCTTCAACGTCATACGTCAACAGCCAATTCCCAACTCCATGGAAACGCCAAGGCAAAGGGTCCTCGCCAGACTCTTCATGGCCCTTGGCCTGTATCATTTCTCCGGGGCTCCTGAGCCACTGGGTATCAATTTCTTCAAACCTCTTCAGTTTTCGGTCCCTCAGCCTCTGCTCCTCGCCGTCGTCGATATGATACAAGTACTGCTGGCAACTCCCTCTGCCACAACATTTTCTGTCCTCTCTCGGCGGCATTCCTCGTAGACGCTGAGGGCCCTGGCCTTCTGCTCGCGCGACTTGTCGGTAAGCTTGGCGAGGCAGAGGCCAAGCGCTGCCCCGTCCTCTAATGCCATTCCGCATCCGCTGGCAAGGTACGGCAGGGTTGCGTCTGGACAGCGAGATTTAGTTTTATGCAGAAAGCATTATAGGCTGTGACATGTCTCGTCTTGGCCATCTCGTAGGGCGGGTTGGAGAACAGTGCATTGGCAGACTCCATACTCGACGAAGAAAAAAGCGCAAGTCAAAGACTACTCACGGACTGCATCTCCTAATAGTGTAAAGCAACCCGAATCATGGGTCCATTTCTCCAGTGTCGGGCGAATACACAGTTTCCACTTCTGTACCGAGCGGCAGAGGTCCAAGGTCTTGGGTATCGTCGGATCCCACTTCTCGAATAAAGCCTTCATTTCCTCGATGTTCCCGTCTACCGTCATTGCCGAGGCCGGCATGTCGTCGGGCACAAGCAGGACCATATTGAACAGCTGCCCGCCCCTCAAGACGTAGTTGACGGCGTGACAGCCCTTGCCCATCCAGTATTTGACCTGGGGGTCCTGGATGAACGGCCGAAGTTCAGGATCTGCCAGCATATCCTTGGCATCGATCAGCAGCCTATACGCAAGATCGCCCGTTGGCACTGGCGGGTCGGGTCGGCCGAGCAGGACTTCCCTTAGTTTGGAAGAAATGCCGTCGGCTCCAACAACCAGGTCTGCCGCCAACCTCCTGCCATCACTCAGCACGGCGGTTGCACCGAGTCCGTCGGGAGCGCATTCATCGGTATCGACTCGAGACATGACCTGGACCTTCACACCCAGCTCGAGAACCCTGTCCAGCAGGCATTGATGCAGGTCGGTGCGATGAAAGTCCCAGAACGGGGTTCCCAGGACCTCACCGTAGGCGTGGAAGTCCATCCTTGAGAGGTGGTTTCTTTTCCACCCAATCATGTTGCAGTATCGCGGCGTTGTTGCGTGCTTTGCCAGCCGGTCGTGGAGGCCCCAGGAGATGAGGATCCGTGAGGAGTTGGGTAGGACTTGGATGCCGGCTCCTATCTCGCCAATAGTGGCGGCGCTCTCCAGGATGGTCACGTCGTGGCCAGCGAGGAGTATGGCAATGGCGGCACCCAAGCCACCAAGCCCCGCCCCGGCAATTATCACCTGCAACTTCACTCAGTACCGGTCTCTTGTCGAGACTCAGCGACATGCCAGCTTACATGTGGCCGGCTGCTAGGATTTCTGGTGATCTTCTGCTGAATCTGAGGAGGTGGCCTGGGAATCATTCTGACGTTAGTCTACTGGCTGTCCGAGACAAGAGGGGTGGAAAAGCAAGCAGTGTTCTAGCGATTCAATGGAATAGACGTAAGGCATCGGAAATAAGCATCCGAATGTATTCATCATCATTGTTGGATCATCTGGAGCCTGAGCAAGACCTGTTCCCGACCATCAGGCCGAACCAATGACCAGTAATGAATTATAACCAGTCGAAGCCGAATTGGAAGGTGTTCTAGGCTCTTGCATGAGGGGAGTGTATCACCGTCGCTTAAACCCCACTCTCGACCCTCGAACTCGTCGTATGTAGGACAAGAGCGGGGTGGCGAGTCTCGGTGAGGTCTTAGGTAGAGTATGCGGAGCAGTTCCTTCACGACAACATCGATGATCGGACTACGAGTAATGCGGCTCGGTTGAGGAAAAAATGCAGTGTCTCGCGACAGAAAGCCCGGTTCAACATGGAGAGGAGCTAACCAGCTCCAGACAGAGAATTGATGTTTGTTTTTGTATGCGTGATCACTTCAAGTAGCTACATAGGCAAGACAAGGCGATGCTTGACGCTCGTATTAAGGTCGGGTGCTCGTCGTATAAGACAGTGACAGAACGGGGCATCGTCTGGGCACCCCTAACCTTGTCGATGACATGCTCTTGACAATGGTAGGTAACAAGAACGACGTGCCTGGCTATTCTGAGGCTGTGTCGGCGCGTTGCATTCGACATGTATGAGTGTGTCGTCGGTGTTCGACAGACAGGAGAAGGCAGGCCACCCCAGCCCCCAGCGAAGTCATGGCTCCATCTATACACATGTATCTTGCTGAGACCATAACACTGCATCCTCTGCTACGGCGTCACGACTTCCACGGCAGCGGTCGGATTAGCCCGTATATGTCTACTTCCGTCAGCGACAGATAGCAAACGCTGATGAACAGGTACGGTACTCGGAGAGGTGATTATTCGGTAAACAAGAACTCTGGGTCAAGTGAGAAAACGCGTAGGCGACCACTTCCCGTCAGATTGGCTCAGTGGGGGCCAGTCCCCTTGACCAGGTGGTAGCTGAATGGCGCGATCTGTAGATCCTGTTGAATAACGTGCCGGCTTTTCCCATGACCGTGGATGCTGTGACTGGATTGCGAGCCCGTGCAATGCTACTGATAGAACGGCACGTCGCAGCACCATATGTTATCGGTTGGCCGACGGCGCTTGATGGGCGGTCGTCCTATCTTCCTAGGAGGATAGGAGCCGCTCTCATCGCAACAGCTGCCTCCCACGGGGCGTAAACTCGTAAGATGACCGACACGCTACACCGTGAATTCCCTGTGTGTACTCGCTGCGTCGCGTTACCGTGCCACACCCGGTATTACCGAGGCCGGCAGCCAGCCATCACAGAACAGAAGTACGCAAGTTCAGGAGGATCCCTCGGGCGCGCACACGCGGACCGAGTTCCGCACGACGCCAGCAAAGCTCTCGAACAGCTTGGCGTCGTTCCCCTGAAGCCACCAAAGCATGACCACGACGCTTTCGCTCACATCGTTGCCGGCGCCATTCTCGGTACGTATCGATATGGCAAAGCCGAAGGCGCACTTCCTCACATCCTGCTGCTGTGTCTCGGCTGAGACGACGGTCCCTCCCCTTGCGACGGGCGTCTGTTCCCGAGCCTTCTTCCGCCGGTGCGCCCGGCTCCAGACATTGCCGTCAGCGAAGCCGGTACCCTCCGAGCGCTGCTCGTCCCAGTTCCAGGCCACCAAATCCAAGGCCTTCAGAGCCCCGCAGACCGTTTTCTCCAGCTGCTTGACATCAACGCTGTGCAGGGGTTCCTTGACGATGACCATCTCGGTCGGATACGGCAAGACCTTCTTCCCAGCCGCGGGCTGCTCGAAGCCTCGGCTCGCGATCAGGCTAGGCCGCCTGTTCCCAAAACTCCACCCCAGAGCCCACCGCCGCGTCTTGTTCCCCTGGACAAAGGTCGTGACGGCGTAATTGAGTATGCCACGTTTGTGCAGCATGCCGACGAGGGTCTCGAGACTGGATCGCTTGCCCAGCATCGACGTGTACCACCGCACCCTCTCTCCCAACACCATAGATTCGTCCATGATCCTCTGCACGAAACCGACCTCCCCTCCTTCACACACCATCTCGACGGGCGCGCCGCTGCATGCGCTGTTCGGCGGGCGAGCCTTCTGCTTGGCCAGGTCTTGGAGTTCTGAATCCGACGTGTAGAAGGGCGGGTTGGTCATGACGAAGTCGATGCGTTCTATGCCCAGTGCATCCAGTGGTACCAGCGGGTCCGTGACGACGCGATCGACGACACGGATGCGCGACTGGTAGTGGTTAAAGGCCACGTTCTTGCGGGCGTACGCCAGCGATTCCGCGTCGATGTCGGTCGCTATGAAGGACCACGAGGGGCGCTGGGCGCAGCCCAGCAGCGGGTAGATGGCGCTGGCTCCCGTGCCGATGTCTAGGCCGGTCACGCGGTGTTCGTGTTCGTGTTCGTCCCGGTCACAGCCCAGACCTGATGAGGCGGAGCTGCTGTTAATCAGGTCTTTCATCCACAGTACGTAGTTGTGGCGGTTCGGCACAGGAGGGCAGAGTCGGTCATTCGGCAGGTCGATCAGTAGTCCAAAGTCCAGCCTGAGCAGAGTTTTGGTCAGCTGCATGACCGACGTCGGCTTCGAGAAGTCGAGATGCGAGTCTCCTTCCAGTACATCCCGGAAGTCATGGTCTTCCGCCCCAATTGCCCGGAAGTCAAGCTCGGTCGTGTAGAGCCTCCTGAAATAGTCGTCCGAAGCTCGCTGTTCATCCTGCACCCCGGCACGAGCGCATCCGTCGATCTGCTCGTCCGGTGCCCGCGAGTGCCGCCGTTTTCCTGCCTGACCGGACGCCGCAGCCGTTTTCGGTGCGCTGGTCGACGTGCGGCGGTCTGTCGCCTCCAGACCGGCCTCATCTCCGGAGTGCTTGCGTTTCGTGCCGGCCGACGAGGCCATCTTGACAGACTCGTGGAACGGCACACGCTCGGCCTCAGCTTCCGCGCTGTATGCACTCAATATTGATTTGCATGCCCTGCCTCCAGACCGGCGCAGGAGCGTTGGCTATGTCCACGGAGAAGAAAGAATTGGAAAACCACCTTGCCCATCCTTGTTCCCAATAAAAGTGGAATTGGCAGAAGTCAAATGGTGCCCCGAATTGGTGCTACACTCACCCCGCATAAGTCTCCGAATGGGCTTCTTTACACTGAAATCAGCACTCTGGAATAAGCAGCTTTGGTCCAATAAGTCACTTTAAATGTGTACTCCAGTAATGACGAACGCGCCTGGTTTACGGAGACTGTCTAGCTGTTGGGTGTTCAGTGTACAGTCCTGCCGACCAACTTTCCGGCACGTGATCGGCATGATATGCGCACCCGGATCACACAGGCACTCACACACATACTGATAGGTAGGTATTTAGCTACAAACCTACCTAGGCCCTTAGTTGGACAAAAAGCAAGACGTTAAGTGCAGCATGGAGGGTGATGCCGTATGGTACTGTCAGAGAATCCAGAGGTATAGCGAGATTTAATTCGGTAAGGGTAGGCCAAACGTTTGTATAGTACATGTTCCTAAACGCCGAAGTTCTGAAGCCACCAGCAAGAGTATGGTATCGGTAGTAGCCACGCCTCCACTCTTGTAGAGCCACATCTTTAAGACAGCTCCCAACATTAGCCATGCCATCATGACTCCCTTTCCATCGCTCTCCGAGAGCAGTGAAGCTCGCCAAGCAAATACTCTCCGGTCCGAGACTCCGAAAACAACACCTGGTCCTGGTGTCAGGATCCGCAAGAGTGGCAAGAGCCAACAATGAACCCCACGTTGTGAAGCGCCACCCACAACAAAACCGACAACTCCGCAGAACACCTGGCCGAAGAACCTCCCACTTATACCCACTAGCGTACAGATACGTTGAATGGCAGCCCTAGCGTCGACCAAAGGTACTGAAGTCGTTGGTGAGCGCAGTACGTAGTAAAACAGGCTTCGCGAAACGAAAGCGCGACGCAGAGGGGGTTTCATACACCACCGCCCATGAAGGCCGCCAGATCGTCGAGCTCTAGGAGCTGCCGCTCGAACGCCAGGCAAAGCTCAGCTGACGTCATATCAGATCCCGATGAGGCTGCCGCCGGCTCGGCTGTGTGCCCGTCGCCTGACGATGAGGGCACAGGCGACAACGCCTTGGTCTCTGCAGGAGGCGGGCTAGCCATGGCCGGCGTCGCAGCACCAGCAGGACCCCCATTGATCGTTGTGAACCCGGACTTTCGTGGTGGCTCACTGCCCCGGTTCTCCACCGGCTCCTGCGGATTGGCCGATGAGTGACGCTCGTAGTCCATACTGTCAGGGTTGTTATCCGGCTGACTGCCCGTCTCATCCTTGGTCGACGACGGAGCAGGCTCGACGGGTAGCCTTGTCGCCTCCCGGTCGCCGTTGCGCAGCACCTTGGCCATGACCGACAAGTGGCGGTACCATGGGATGGCCAACATCCATGTGTTGGCGCCCTCCTGGAGGAAGCGCATCCCATCGCTGACAATGGCCTCGGCAGTCTCGTTCACGTCGCCAGGTGTCAAGCCTTTGAGGCTGAACCAGGCCACGGTAGAGCATGCTGTGAAGCAGGAGAACAGCATCACCAGCGGGATATTGAAGACGGCGTCCTTGTCGGCATTGCTTTCTAGAGCCAGGAGCAGTGTGACGACACTGTGCGAAGAGGCAAAAACCCGATCCACCGTCTGGAGGTGAGCGTGCGGTACCATACGCCAAGTCTTGTGGTCGAAGCCCTCGGTAGTGACCAGATGCAGAAGCCTCCGTCGGTTGACCATGATGGTCGCAGAGTGAAGAAGACAGTGCAACATGGCGTAGGTGTACCCGCTACCCATAGTAATGTGAAGGTTGACATGACCAGGCTTGTCGACGAAATGCATGGGCAAGGAGCTGCGGACGGCCTCGATGCCAGCCTCGAGGGACACGCAGTTCTCCTCGGAGAAGGTGGCGGGGGTGACGGTGGTAAGCATCTCGATGACATTGCGCCAGGCCTGGGTGGCCATGACGATGTGGCCGAACTCGCCAACCTCGGTCATGGGCGTGGAGGCATCCACTCCCGGCGGCGGGTTACCAGCCAGGGTGCGAACGAAGACCGGTGTACCGAAGTTGTAGCTCATGTCGGGACACGGGAGAGGTACGTCCTTGACATCATGGTGCGAGACCGCCGGGTGGCGGCCAGGGCTGCTGGTGAGGAAACAATCGAGTATGTAGATTAGCCACAGCGTCCGGCGGAAGGACTCATCCTGGATGAACTGGTCGGGATCGCCCCGGTTCTGGTGTACGGCTATTATCCGGTACATTTGTGCCATTCGAGAGGCCTGTCCCAGGTAGATGTAGGCGCGCACGGCATTTCTATTGCCCCATTCATGGATGGTCAGGAGGCAAAGAGCCTGAATATCCGCCAAGCTTGGGTTGTCGAGCGTCTGCATAACCAGATTGATGGTCTTGACGGCAAAATGCTCCGCAGCTGCCGACGGACCCCCCTGACCTCCATAGCGGCGTATCAACATGGTCGAACTCCTATACGCAAAGCAAGACAATGTTAGAGAAAACGTCTTGTCAATAAAATAACATGGGCATAGGCATGGGCACGTGAGGTATGGTCCGGTATGATACCGGCGCAATAGAACCGTGAGCAGGCGGATAGCACGCTTGGCTAGTGTAATGAATACAGTCGCCGGAGAACACTGGTTTATCTGCCCGGGTTCGTCTTGACCAACTGGGGGAGGACATGGATTTTGGGTGGAATGAGACGGATTGTGGGAAAACGTGACTACTTACCGTGCACCACAAGTAAGAAGACCATTGACAATGCTGGATTCGAGGGATCCGCTCTTGAGCTTTTGCAGAAAGGAGGGCTTGTGAAAGGCGACACAAGACGGGAGGGTCTTATTGATGACCCTCTCACATTCCGATTGCATCTCCGGGCTGATTCTGTGGAGACGAGGGAGTCCATGGTTAGCGAGGCCGATTCACAAAGAGGTTAATGCGCATGGGGGATTAAGGGGGTGAGTTGGGGGTGAGTTGGGGGGGGGGATGCAGGAGGAAGAAGGGGGAAGTTGGATTCGTATTTGCAGGTTGATGGTTAAGGGTTGACGGGATCCCGAGGTGAGACGAGGCATCCGGCTCAGCCACCAACTGAATGGTGGTCTTTCTGGGGGTGGGGAAGGTGCGGCGCGCGGGGCGGTGCGGTGCCTGCGGTGCGTCGCACCCTACTGAGTCCATCCAGCCCAGTCAGTCACCAGTCAACGCATCTAGCGGAGAAGGCCGGTAGACAGCAGGGCAGGAAGATGCAGCTTAGACGGTAAGAAAGAGCAGCCACGCACGCGACCGAAACTCTTCGGGGTGAGGATAGAGCAAACGATGGTCGACTTTTGGGATGACCAGTACGTAGACGTAAGGGAGACAGACATGCAAAAGTGAAACGGGCGTAAGATAGAAGAAAATGCAACTCACTTCTCGCTGTTGTTCGTTTGCAGGTTGCGCGGCAGCACGGCGGCCGACGAGGCAGGTTGGCGGTCGCTGGCGGCCGACACGCTTCGCTCGCCCGGCAAGGAGTCGCGGGGACGAGGAGCTCTGGCGGGCGACTGGCCGTGATGGTGAGCCAGGCTCTCGGAGGGCAAGTAGCACTCGTGCATGCCCTTTGCGCAGTTCTTGCAGGGCGCGCGGCCGTTGTCGTAGACGCACTTCGTCTTGCCCTTGCGACAGCGCACACAGGCGCCGCCGGCTCGCAGTGACGTGCCACGGGGGATGGAACTCATGACTAGACAGCGGCGACGTGTCGCGGTCGATACAGAAAGGCGCGCAGAGGAGGGCGGCGATGGTCCGAAGGCAGGTCCGGGTGCAGTTGGGAGAAGTGTAGAAGAATAAAGTGGACGGAGAAGAACGGGGGGAGGGGAGGACGGTGGATGTTCGGTGCGGTGGGTGGATGGAAATTTTGTTGTGTGAGTCTCGGTCGGGAGTGGAGGAGAGCGTCGAGAAAAGAGGCGCGAGGGCAGGGAGAGAATTGGCCGGCAGGTGGGCGATGGGGCCTTGGATCTCGGGCAGCCTCTGGCGGACTGAGGCGCTAACAGTGGTCCCAGGCGCCAGCCGGTCCAGGAAGTGCGCGAGGAACAGGAAGTACGGAGGTAGGCGCTGGATTACATAGACATGTGCCTGTTACGGTCAACCCAGAGGGGCCAGGCGGACAAGGCGGACGAGGGAAAGAGGCAAGCGGGCAAGAAGGCACAGCTCCAAAGGACACGGCGGCGTCGAGCCGGGATGGACGGTGAGTGGCTGGACGGGATGGAAAATGTGGGATGTACCGGAGAAGTCTGGGTGTCTAGACGTTCAGTGGTATTATGAAAAAAGGCCAAGCGGTCGGCTGTTGGCTACAGATTGGAAAGACTCGGAGGAACGAGTGGTGTGGTGTGGTGTGGTGTGGCGTGGTGTCAGGTTCATCAAGGTTTCGTGGTAAAGGGCAGGCGAAAGAGGCAGGCTGGAGAGAGGGCTCGGCTCCACGGCTCCCCCGGCGTTCGTTGCTCGCTGCTTTTAATTGTGGGAATGGGCAACCGGGGGCCCTTCCGTGTTCAATGACACACCCGCACAGCGGCACAGCGGCACAGCGACGCGCAGGGACAGATATTGTATCTACACTACCTTACGTAGGCTGAGCTGTCTATATGTAATATATGTGAAGTAGATAAGATGCGACGGAGGCCAAGCAGGTGCGGTAGGCCGCAGGCTGATCGAGAGACGGAACGGTTGAGGTAAAGATTACGGGAGGTGAGGCAGTTGAGGTGGTAATTTCAACAGTCATCGGCCTGTCGGCCTAGCCCAACCCGCACAAGTCCGGTATTGCACCGCGGATTCCTCGCGCCACCCACCGATGATAAGTAACAAGTGCCGAGCTTGATACTCGGAGACCTACTTCAGCAATAGGTGAGACAAACGCAGCATCTAATTGAGCCGTGTAATATGGACGGGGTGAAGGATTCAACTCATCTACTGATGGGTGGAGGGTGGAGGGTGAAGGGTGGCAAGTTACCTCATGGGGTGGACGGACACGGCGGTCATTCAAGGTCTGGGCGGATCGGCCTGTTTCTGCCGGTGCACTGTCCCCCTTTTATCATTGCGCCCGGCCATCGCCTGTTTCCTTCACGAAGGAGGGCCACCAGGCAATCGGCAATCATGCAGACAATCAATCATGCAATCAATCAATCAGATATGCGATTTCCCAAATAATGAGGCAGTCAACAACTTGACATCGCAAACACCAAAACGGAGCGAGAGAATCAAAACACGCGACGCGTTGCTTCAGCTGCCATCCATGACGGGTCCCCGGAGAACTGTCTCTGCAGGTACTACCTAACCTTACGTGTGTGTAGTGCACGTAGGCAGGTGGCAGGTGGCAGGCGGCGCATACAGCACAGTTCAGGCCCGGGGGCCGACGCCTGGCTCCAGCCTCCGTGAGCTGAAAGCCAAGAAAGACGTCAGCCTGACTCCATGCAACCTCGATTCCGCCCGCGCTGCCAGACCACCCTTTGACCAAGAGAGATCGGAGAAGGCAGGAATGTATACGATTGATACGCCTCATCCGTGTCGAGATACTCTGCATGTTTCTCCGTTATGAGATGGCCATGCATAGCATGACATGGCATGATTGACCGTCCTCGTGACCTACCTGCTTACCTTCCGAATGTACCTTGCCTTCACGTTTCGGTCATCCGGAAAATAAGTGGCAGGATTCCAGCCCAGGTCGGGTGTCGGGTCCTCAGCTCTCTCCTGACATCACTCCAGCCGTACCTCCGGAAGCACGCGAGGATGCACATGTGCTAGATAAACAGTACAATGGATGTTGTTATCAACGCGCAGCCGGAGGTCGCGTGGAGCCCTTGCCTTTCGCGTCTGACATCTGTTCGGGTTCCAACTGCAGGCGGCGGTGCGGGACTTGACAATTTGGTGTCGTCCGCCCGAACAGTAACTCGTGCTTTTCGCCCGTCTCTTGTCGTCCAATACCACCCGCGCCCAGTGCCCACACCCACAGCCCACAACCCACAACCCACAACCCACCAGCTTGCTGCCGCCTACCCACCTACAGCGAAACCGAGCATCTCGGTGTTTCCGGTCACATCGGCATCATCATATCTCCCACTGGAGCAGCAAAGCTCGTGGTCAAAGGTCAAGCCCCTGCCTGGGTTTGGATGTTACCCGATGGTTTGAGCAGCTGCCAAGCCTGTGTGCCTCTTACCCGAACGCACCTCCCCTGCAAGTGTTTCGGGTTCTCCTTGCCAGCCGAGGAGCCAACCTCCACGGACTACGGAACCTGAGGCCGAACTTGTAACTTGGGCTGCTTGGCCCACAGATATTATTAGACCAGCGAATCCTAACAAAACCTGGTCTCCCTCCTCGGCCCTCCACGATCTCTCGCCCTCCCGTCCATCCCCGGCCAACGAGTATTGAGCCTCGCTCGAGGAGGACCTGGACGCGGAGGAGCAGCGATGTGGCTTGTTGGAGTATGCCGCACGATGGCCATTCTTTTATATTTTATCTTTTATCTGCACCATTTCACCCCAAGGTTCAGCGAGCCAAGGCCCAAGGCGATAAAGTCCAGATCGGACAACGACCAACTTCCAACGGCGCCGAGCTGCGTCTTAAAAGCCGTCGTAAAAGCTGTCGCAAAGTCACAAGATCCAGGGGGAAGGGCGCCCCCAATTCCCAAACCCCGCACCAGGCTAATAGTCATACGGCTGCTCCGGGCTCCGTACGGATCCTTTCTGGCCTCCTGCCATCTGTCCCTTCCCCCTTCCTCCTACCCATGCCCCGCACCACTTTCCACCTCGCTAGGGCTCACCACATAAAGTGGTGCTCACCACAGTAGCACACCAACCACAATAACACACCAATATGAGGTTATTCAGCATTAAAATTTACGTAGCAACCGCATCTTCTTGCCATATTCATAGATATCAGTAACAGGCAGTCTCTTAATAGTCCTCCAATGCCTGGCCAACTTTGCTGCCTCCTTAGCGAGGTTTTTTTGTGGTTAGAGCTGCTTCTTTACCAGGGCATCTGCCTTTTTTTGAAGGCCTGTTGCGGTCTCTTGCTTTTTTTTTTTTGCCATTTAATGCCTAATTTCAATTGTGAATACTTCTCCTGATTAGAGAGGAGTATTTTTTGCAGACTTGTGCTGTTTATTAACTCAAAAAGCTAATTTGGTCCTTCCAAGATCCCTTTTGGTCTGGACTAGCTAGGAGGCGTGGAAGCGCGCCCCCTTAGATAAGAGCCTGATCCTCTCAATATCTTTGGGAGTAAGATCCTCGCCATCGTCTAGGTTATTCAAGGCCTCGTCTACTTGATAAGTGACCTTATGAATTTGCTGTATTGTAGCTGGTGTAGCAACTGGAGAGGAACTAGGCTGGTCAAGGAGGGGATGGCGGGGTCCTCGCACAAGCTTTGCGCTCCTTTAACTGGTTAATTACAACTATCACGGCGAGCATACTGGGAAGCTGGGACATGGCCTGCAGCAAGCAGCTATTACTCTATTGACGAGAATATCAAGACTAGAGAGGAAAGGAAGAGAGAGAGAGATAGGTACAGTGGGAGGTTGCCCCTTTAAAAGGATCCTCTGGTCAGATCCTTCCCCTATTGGGAAGTATCCACTTGTCATGTGGGAAGGTCTGTGCAGGCCGTCACAACAACTGATGGTTTGAAGGAATAGATGCCCGTTTTTTTGAAGGTAGAGAGGATAGTAGTCTTCTTAAAAGCTTGCTGGCGAACCCCTTCAATACACAACAAACTCGATCTTCCCAATATGCGTGAGACCATCACGCACCATAATATCTAGGGCTTTAACATGGTAGTGCTTCAAGGGCTGGAAAGCCACCACATTGAGCGGCTGTAGTAAATGCGTTATATTCAGAGGGATACCAAAAAAGATAATGTCGTTGTTGTCACAATATCTGATGAACTGTATTGTGTGGTGACTACTATAACCGTCAATAATTAAGAGCCTCTTTATACTAACTTGAGAGGTCTTAAAGTGCTTGTTAAAGTGTTTAATCCATTCTAGGCTAATCTCATTGTTCGAATAACCATTCTCTGCGGTTACAATTGCTATCCTGGGGTCTAATTCAGGTACCTTGTACCATAGAGACATGTGGAGGGTGCAAGAGAGGATAAAAAAGCCTGGGACAACCTCGCTTGCAGCAGAGATAGCTTCTATGCCAGTAGTAGACTCCCTATTCTCTGGTATTCCAAAATAATGGGCTCTTTTTTGCTTAGTGACGACCATCTGGTTCTTTCTAACCCCTAATCAAAAGCCAGTTTTGTCTATGTTCTACAGGTTGTCAAGGAGGATACCCTCCTCTCTGATGGCCCTCTCAGCTTCTAAAAGTACTCTTCAGTACGTTTCGAGTCTTTAACAGCTTGCGGATCTTGTAGAAGGACCTTATGAGGCTGCTTGAAGTATTTGTGGCACTTGATGAAGCGGGAGGCCCAATTCTTGCCAAATGTGGGTAGTTCTATGACCGCGGTACTCGCCGACTCCTTGAGCAGCAAGTTGGCAGCCTTGATAATGAATTCTGGCCTCACGAAGAGATTAATAGCATCTAGGCGGTCAATATAAGCACAGACGGCCTTTTCTTATATCGCATTCAGCTTGATGGGTGGTTCTTGTAGTCCTTTTTTGGAAGGGATGCCCTGCAGGCGGTTGTAGAAGCGCTTTCTTAGAAACCTGAATTGGCGGCAGATACTACGTTCAGAGGCATCCAGATGCTCGTCAGCATATTCTACGGCTTCGTGAATACGGGATTCTATCGCGAAAAAATCATCTGTCCAAAGAGATAATGACTTTGGTGTGGTTTTGGCTGGAGGGTGGTTATTTTGGAAGACTGGTGTATTATTGTGGTTGATGTGCTACTGTGGTGAGCCCTAGCGAGGTGGAAAGTGGTGCGGGGCACGGGTACCTGCCAACCTGCCTGGCAGGACTGTAACCGTCAAGTCAGGCTGTACCGGCAAGGAGTGGAGCCGCCGAGAGCCGCCGAATGACTGTATGACACGGGCCTCCCCTTTCCTACAGTTCTGTCGCCCTGAGTGTATCATTACCTGCTCGGCATATTGATATGAGGCGCATCAGTAATTGACTGCATTTTTGTGAGCTATGCGGCGATCTCTGTCTATCTAGCCTTAGCATACGGGCACGTTACATAGAAGAATGCAGCGCACGGTAAGCCGGTCATCGTTCCCACTCCAAGGTTACTTGGGTTGCATGTTCCCGCCCGGTTTCTCACTCGATTCGGCACTCTCGGCCGGCGCCCCGTGCCGATGCCTTTGCTGTTCTTTTTACCAACCGATCATGCAACGGAGCGACTCAATGGACCCCAGTCCAGACATCGCGTCTCGGCCGCATCTTGTTCGCGTCTCCCTAGCAAGGTAAGCTCCCGGCAGCACTCCCAAACTCTGGGGCCGTCCGGTAGGTAAGCCACGCGACAAATCAACCACCGCAGTCAGCCACCCCGTCCGTCTATGTGTCTCTGCTGTGCGCGATATTCGAGTACTACTGCATCCACTTCTTCCGCATGCCGAAGTCAGCATTCTCATTTCGTCGTTCTTCCAGGTCTGCCTAAAACCCAAACTGCCGCACTGTCTCGAAATGCCGACCCGACTGCAAGCTCGCTCACGATTGGAAGGATTCGAGGACGGGATCGTCAGAAGCCCGCGCCCGGATTTGATCTACACCCAGACGGGACACGGCAGGGGCATTGGTGGGATTTTGGTCAGTATCTCGAGTGTTTGCACGAGGACACGTGCCTAACGCTCGGCGCCCGAGGGGGCCACAGCAAACATGCATCCTCCCAAGAGTCAAAGGAAGGCGGACAGGCATTACGCCGTTTGCGACTGAGAGGGTTGTGGTGTCTGGTACCACCACCGTAACAGGTAACACGCCTCGGACCTCGCAGTCGGGATGTGACACTGGAGGTTCGCATGCCCGCAGCGAGGGCCGAGATTCCCTTCGGCTGCTGTGACTTGACTTGTCTACTGGACTCGCTTCTCGGACAAACCGGGACACTCGCTCGCCAAACGCACCTATCAGGGTAATCGCGCGTAACGTGGATCCTGTTTGCCAAGGACTCAGTACTGTCGAGTACTACCCCGGAAGAGACCAGAACCGCCACGACTGATTACCTCCTTTTTGCCCTTTTGGCACAAAGTCGTCGTTATCGCCGGTTCGCTGCTGAAAAGTTAAAGTTGACTTGGCTGCTATCACTTTATCGCTCGGCCGAGTGTCCAGCTTGTGTAAGCTGACGCAACGCAGCCGCGGCGGTGGCCTCAGACGTGAAGGAGGCATGTCGTGCCACCACTACTCGGGCACAACCCGGCAACGCTGTCTGACATAGGATGCCATCCCTCTGCAACTACCTATCTTCGGATCCTATTTGCAACATCCTTGACGGCAGCGGGTCTAGGGTGGCAGACGGATTTAACGGAACGGTTCAAGTCTCGAGTCGTCGGTCGCGTGGCACAGCAAACAGCCCGAGAGGAGCAACTAAGTCCCGAAGGCTCCGGAGCTTCCACGATAAACGGGAGCACACCGCCACGCTGTGCTGGGAGCAGAATCCGGAAAGCCGGCGCCCCCATCGGTGTACCGTCTGTGATGATCAGAAATGTGATGTACGGTGTAAACGATCATTGAGATGTCAGGTTCTGAGCTGATGAATATCGTCTGGATAGTAACAAGTGTTCCTGTCCCTGGGCTGCCAGGATTCCATTCACAACGAGCGAGCGAGCGGGGCCCCACTCGCTCCGGAGCCGAACGCAGACGGCATCCACCAGTTGCTATTTTGCGCAGTCCCTGAGAGGATTGCTTGACCGACACAATGGATTCACGCTCCTCGCAAGATGACGTCGATGGATGAGATGACTTGTAGGGTGTGGCACCCGATGCCATCCCCCATTCCAGTTTCCCCGGATCTACAACATCGCCCGCACACGGGGGAACTGGGGCTTGGATGAGTGATTAACGTCCCAGTTGTGTGTCATGGGCCTCATCAGGTACACATTGCACCTTTGGTCCAACCCGACTCTTCCAGAGTTGTCATAAGCTATTACACAAACACATGCATATCGACGTTACTTAGGTCTAACATCGGTTTATGTTTTATGCGTATTTATGTCAAGGTATGTCATGTCAGCCCGCAGACCTGTATGTGGACATCGAGGAAGGTATGATTGCCCCGCGATCACTCACTCAAGGCAGATAAGGCGATAAGGTGAAATTTAGGCAGACACATGCCTCCTTTGTCAATATTGACTTCTCCTCACTTTTTTCAGTGTTGCTTCTGCCTCAACTTCTCTCTTTCACCACACATCTGAAAGTGGCAGACAGCAACAATATGTGCATCTGGCAAACAGAAAAGCTGCTTTGTTATCAGCGTGTCTGCCTTATTACTCTTATGGCTGACTCCAAGGTCTGAATGGCTTCTCTGTCCTCAGGCAGCATTCGCACACCATGTGCCTGGCTGAGAACTGCGCTTGGTGAGGCAGAGGTAGAGTTGAGGTAGGTGGTTTGACAACATTTTGATAAAAGACTGCACGGCAAGCTCTATAAGTATAGGGTTGCTCCTCTCCTCTCCTATATCCAATACCCATTTCCATGTCCCATCCCTCGTCCCGTCTCTCACCTGCTCTCCTTCATCTCAAATCTTCCACCTCTCGCATTTGATAGTCCACAGCTCGCCCGGGCCGTTGCCTCGCCAACTGCAACCATGGGTGCCGACCATGAGCAGGAGTATCACGTTCGAGACCTTGCCACGCGAGCGGTCACTCTGTTTCCCTCTCGTGCCCAGGTTGTGCGCGACATCAAGAACATCCCTCTGAAGGTAAGCCTACACCACGCAACCCTGCGCCACTTGCATGAGCACCCCGCCTGACTGCCATACTCTAGCAAGGAACAAATCAGATCACCATTGTCGGCCTGACCCCAAACCTCGATGAACACTCCATCAAAGTCGAAGGTACCGGTTCTGCCATCGTCACTGACATCAGCGTCGAGCTTCTGCCCAATCGAGACATATTCGACGACCTCTACCCGCAGTCCGACGGAAACGACGACGACAACCATGATGACCACTCCGAGACCGACTTGGACTCGGACTGTAGTGCTGATACCGGTGACCTGAAGCTTGTCCGGAAGAACATCAGGCGCTTCGAGTACGAGCAAAAGGTCGCCTACGAGATCGGGCGCAGCGCAGCGAGTCGCTTGAAGATCCTGGAGTCTTTCGGCAAGTCCCTAGCCACAAGATCCAAAAGCCAATCCAAACTCACAATCGAGGAAGGCAAACTCACAATCGAGGAAGGGATTGAAACATACCGAACCCAACGGGAAAAGGTCTTTCGGGACCACATGGAAGGAATGACCAAGGAACAAGATGTTGAGAAGCGACTCGCTGAGCTGCAGCGAAGGCGAAGGCCCAAGAAGCCCGGCAGAAGGACAAGGAGAACCAACGTCGCAAGGAATGCAATCAAGCCGAGGAGAAGGACCGCATCCGCAGAGAAAGAGAAGCTTACTGGCCCAAAAAAAGTGTACGTTGTCAAGATCAACCTCGAAGTGTCAAGCTTCACTCCCATCCCATCACGTCGTGGTTCCGTCTCGAGTGATATTGTGAAGATTGTATCTGATCAGGAAGCCGACGATGCCCTGGGCGATACACCCGCCGGCACCTGTGATCTGGCTCTGAGCTATGTGACAACCGCTGCTTTTTGGTCACCATGCTATGACTTGACTCTGTCGACGACTGAGAACTCGGGAATGCTGTGCTTCGATGCTCGCCTCACTAACCAGACCTCGGAGACCTGGGACAATTGCAAGTTGGTGCTTTCCACTTCGCAGACCGACTTCTCTGGAATCAGCGACACAACTCCAACATTGACGCCCTGGCGCATCTGCCTCGCTGGCAAGGCCAGCGTGGGATCATACGACGACATCATGTACTCGGGACATGAGCAAGCCCGCAGAGCCAAGCTGGCATCTCAGCGGGACATAGGTATCTCGCACCGGCCCCGGCATGAACTCTTTGGTGCAGGCGGCGTTTCTGGGTGGCCTGCTCACCGAGCAGCTCTTGCCGAACAAGCAGCTCAGTCCTACCGCGAGCCCCACTACCGGATGCGTAGGCATAGAAACATGAGTTTCTCGTTCGCAAGACATGGGCAATCGGACCAAGCAGCCTATGGTTTTTCATCTTCCGCTGGGCCCAGTGACTTTACTTCCGCACCCGAGGTAGTGAGCGCAGAAGGCGGGCGCTACGACTTTGATGACGCGCCCACAGTTGCTGAACAGCAGCCAGAACTGGCTTTCCAAGAGTCGATTTTGGAGGAGACGGGTCTCACGACAACCTATGACTTGCCCGGCTTCAAGTCGCTTGCCCCCTCGTCGTCAACCTCAAAGCAGCGCGTTGCCCGCGTCGCCTTCTCCCATGTGGTCTTCAGCCATACTGTTGTCGCCAAGTACAAGGCCGCGGCCTACCTCAAGGCCAAGGTCCGCAACGGCAGCAACCTCACGCTGCTGAAGGGCCGAACTGGCCTCACCCTCGATGGCAGTTTTCTCGGCCGGACTACCTTGCCGCGCTGCAGTCCGGGGGGTTCGTTCAGTCTTAGTCTCGGTGTTGATCCTGCCGTCCAGGTGGCGTACCCCAAGCCTGACGTCAAGCAAAGCCAGACGGGGGTGTTCCGCAAGGAAGACAGCGGCATGTACACGCGCACCATCACCCTGTTCAACACCCACGCCGGCGAGCAAGGCAAGCCCATGCGCATCACCGTCCTGGATCAGGTTCCCGTCAGCCAAGACGAACGCCTACGTGTCGAGGTACTCAAGCCGAAGGGCCTGGTTCGAGATGGCGAGAGTGTTGCCGCTGGAGTTTCGGGACATGAGACTACTCGGGATGACGGTGGCTGGGGCAAGGCGAAAGCCACGCTCAAGAAGGGAGGCGAGATCGCTTGGGATTTTATGGTCAATGCGGGACGCAAGGCCAAGTTGAACTTGGAGTACCAGTGTGTCTCTTTCCTGCGGGGGATCACGTCGCCACCCGCAGCTGGCTATGATAAATGGTAGGAAACTCTAGGACGTTCTGACGCTGGGAAAGGGGTGGAATTGTGTCAAGCTTGAGCAAAGACTCCAAGGTCTACCTGGACGACTGCAGACTTGCTATGCTACAGCATATTTGAGTTGATTGCGCATCTCTGCTTGATCTGCCACCGGGGCTATTGTATTTGATCAAGGTCCCGGATTTGGACCTCGGGATGTACTCCTAGACTAAAGTACCTTGGTTAGATCAATGGCATTACTGTGCTGCTCTCGGCCCGTGTTCTTCTGAGTGAGATATTTCTCTTGCGAAAGCAAGCGGTCTGCTTTCGGGCTTGGCTTCATGATGCTTGATCATGGCTGCTTTCTTGTAATTCTTGATTCCGGCTGCTCTCAAGGGATTCGTGTACAAGCTAGATGGCGCTTTTCAAGCAACAGAGTCCCACAACGGCGAAGTCCTCGTTGACTGGCAGTGTCCGTGACTTGTAGTTCTGTTGCGGTATGATATAAAGCAGGCTGGACGTTTTGCTCGCAGTTTTATCCTTGTTGAATATCGCTCTTACGGTAATCCTTTGTGAATACGTTGACGCATACCGGACGTTCCATCGTATCGTATTTGTAGGTGGTGCATGATAGGTACGCTCACATTTGTGGTGTGACCTGGGTGTTCAGTGGCGGCCGAGGGTTAGGGTTAGGGTTAGTGGCCTAACCTAACAGTGGCAGGCCGAGCAGTATTTCCATTCTTTCTTGTACCTGCTTTCAACCGCAATACCAATCGTTGGAACAGCTCATGATGTCCGAGAAGCCGTGGATAAGCTGGGCTCAAGAGGTGACGTTTGTGCAAGGCGCATTGCGGCGCAGAACCGGCGATCTCCCCGAGGGGTCCGCCCCTATTGTTACCGGGGCAATAGGCAGCCGTATAAATAGCGGCAGCACCCGCGGTTGTTCTGCGTAGGCAACCACATTCTACCACAACCAAGCGACGCAATCTACATGTATTTCTGCATATGTCCCGGTAGTGTATAGCCCAATGGCCTGGTATCTACATAAATGTAGGTGTAGTCCATGTGGGCAGTGCTGATCGCAAACGCGGCTGCGCCACGCTGCTTATTGAATCCTCGCATTTCAGCTTCAGCCCCGGCCAGGTTGACGCGCGCGCAGACTTGATGGGTACGCCGCCTTTGCTCTCGCTTACCTGCGAGTCTGACTCGACTCTCATACCATTGTCATTTCCTCCGCAGTCGTGTGTTCGAGCAGAAGTCAAAAGTCACTTGCTAGAAAAGACTTCTTGATCGCCTGTCAACGGCAGGCTCTCATTCCAACTTGAGTTACCATACGCGGTACGACATTGTTGAAATGATCCACCGAGGCTCAATCGTCGCCGACAAGGTGGCCCAATCGTCCGGTCCCGTCCACAGAGCAGCCCACGATGCCCCCGGCCAAGCCGGGCCAAGCAGCCCAGGCCCAGTAGAGCTCCCAGCCGAGTCTCCCGGTCCGGTCGAGCTTCCCGCCGAGGACATCGAAGCCAACGCCAGCCAGCGGCCGTTCCAGCCGCCGCCGTACTCCAGCCCCTCGACCAGCTCGCTGGAGCCGCGGGCGCGCAACGCGAACCCGCGGGGCCCGCAGTACTACCCGGGCTTGCCCGTGCTCGACTACCGGCAGTACTCGCCGCCCATGTTCGAGCTGTCGGCCGACACGGCGTCCATCAGCACCAAGGCGACGTACCTGTCCGAGAACGCCAAGGCGCTGTCGGCGCTGGTGCGGCAGCTCGCCACCGTGCCGCCCAAGCCGCAGGTGCTCGTCCAGGGCCTGCGCGGCCGCAAGGTCGACTTCCGCGTGCGCCTGAACCTGATGAACCTGCTCGTGCCCGACGACGCGCGCCGGCGGCTCGACTACCTGCGCTGTGTCAACGCCGACGAGGCGGCGTACCGCGGCGGCAACGAGATCGCGCTGAAGCCCGACGTCGTCGACGGCGTCGAGGCATGGTGCGAGCGCTTCGTCAGGGACCCGGCCCCGGTCAAGACGTTTGTGTTGGAGCGCGTCGTCGCCAACCTCGACACGGCCTGGCTCGAGGGCCAGATCCGCAGTTTGGTAGCAGCCACCGAGTACAAGGGCGTCGTGTCGGTGCAGTTCCCCATGACGCACACGCGCGTCGTCGTGCAGAACCCGGACAAAGTCAACAAGTTCTTCACGAGCGTCACGACGCTGTTCTCGGGCAAGGCGCGCTACGAGGTCGTCAAGGCCGTGTGGCCCTTTGCCAACGCCCGCAATGGCGAGCAGGGGCGGCGGTGCGTCGTCCAGAGCGAGAAGACGTGGTGGGAGGAGTGGAGGGACCCCATCAAGTATGCCATCTCTACGAAGCGCCAGGGCTGGGTCACGAATGAGGATAAGCTCGAGTGTATTATGGAGTCGAAGGGGAAGGGCGTGTCAATGATCGATTGGGGTCCGGAGGACAGCGAGTGGTAGGTAGTGATACGGGCGTGATTTTTTGGGACCGTCAAAGTTGACAGCGGCGTTGATCCCGCCACTCTACGATTTACGATGCTATCGCGTTTAGCGAGAATTGGGTTGTTTTGGATGCTGGACTTATTCGTATAATACACACCCCCAATTGTGTGGAAATACTAAATACAGAGTGTAATAGTTTGGGTTACGCACTCAGTCACCCGTTTTGCCTTAGCTCTTTGGCTCTTCCGCATTCTGATATTCGCTGTGATCTACGGAGAAGACGCTTCGGTCTCTGGAAGCACTCACTCTTGGTCTAACAAGAATGGAATGGAGATGAGTTAACCCTAACCCTAAGCGCCTAGTCGGTACATAGCGGCCGTGAAACCCAAATTGACCATTAGGGTGATATTGATGTTATGGTGACTGTCTTTTTCTTGGTACAAGTACCCTGCCACCAGCTGCAGAGGCCAAAACGTCTTCGCCGCCCCTGGATGCTTACATGACGCTAGCCCAGGACGAAATACGGGAAGGCCGTTGGTCTGGGATTGTCGCCCGACGTGATGGGAACGGGGGCTCATAACAATTCTCAAAGTGGGAATCTGGGGTAGGTGACAGACTGCGGCTCGGAGCAGTAGACTGGGCTTGGATAGTTGCTTACCTGTATCTAAAGCGATACCTCTTGGCGGATCTTCCTGATTCGAGCGTTTGGGCTTGGGGAGGGAGTAGGTGTGTCCTTCCTGGCATCAGGGTCCAGACTCGAGAGCTTTTGTGAGACCCCAGATCTCTGGAGGTATGTGTAAATACCCTGTTGAGCTCGTGACTTGACAGCTCATGCCATCGAGGGTGCAAGATGACGCTACAAATGGAGGTGACGTGCAATGACTTATCGAGTTCGCCCATCTCCTCGAACGCCACAACCGCCCGAGTGCATGCGGGCCGAAGGACTCGGCCGAAGCTGGAGAACTTGTGTCCACTTCCCCCGTAAGGCATCATACCTGACATCGACGGTGCAACCACAGCTATGACATTCCCATACCTGGTTCTCCGGCAGTGTCCGTGCATCGCTGGCCAGAGGCCGGGGAAACTCGATCGACGAGTATACAGTCGTATGACAATGGTCGAAGCTGCAAAGGAAGCGTCTGTGTGTCAACGGCGAACAGGGAAGGGGAGGAGGAGGAGAAGGACGGCCCTGGTCATGACGACAGGGCCGTGCGCTGCGTCTTTCGACAGACAGTTTGAAACCTGCAGGTGCGCAGGTACGTTCTGACGTCGCATAAGTAGCTGACTTGCAGATGCCTTCGGCAAGCTTTATGAGGGGAATCCCCGTGTTTGTCCTGTGCTGGTGATATTGACGATGAAGTACATCCACGTTGCAGGCCAAAGAGCAGCCGCTCGGGAAAACTTATTAAGAGGATACCGAGAGGGGAAAGGGAGGGAACTGGATTTAGCAACTTCCCGACTCCCGAGAGACCCGGCGTTTAGAAAGGCCCTGGTGGTTATCTCTCTGAAAGACAGACCCTCATTCAGGTTGATTGCAGGGCTTGTACCTCCAAGCTAATCCAATGAGGAAGATACCTATACGGACAAATGGGGCGGTTGATGGTCTGAGCTTTGCTGAGGTAATCTGATGGGCTGACGGGCTGATGGGTCGTCCCGCGGTCCCCGCTTGACACACTGATCGGCGCTGGACTTACCGGTATCATGGTTCGTGCCTCTCTTCTCTCATCCAGCCATCCGAGCTTCGACGACATCAAACCTACGCCCATGGTCGGTGCAAGCGTTCGGCCGAGCAACGCGAGTCGATATGATCTACGGCTCTTGAACTCACCTCAAACGAGTTATGACACCATACCTTGTCGGCCGACGACGGGTTGTTCCCAGTGCAAGTGTCCGTTCCGTCTGGGCGCCGGGTGCCTACTCTAGCTTGGGCATCTATCCTGTCCGTGTATCGATCTGAGGGTTCTGCAGTCGCCCCCTCGATCGATTACCTTGGCAGAACTGCAAGATATTCGAGGAGCTGACCAGGTTCTTGAGGTCAAAGCTCACTTAGTCAACTAGTAAGGCATCTTGATGGTCCTTGCTGCTCGTGCATACCACGCAGGAGGAAGGTCAAGCGTCGGGGTCTCATGTTTGACATGATGATAAGCTTGGAGGGCTGTTCTTCCTCGTAAACTTACTCCTTATTTCATTCGTGGCGTTTCCTTAAAGTTCAAGGGCTCCATGGCGGAAATCTGGTCCATCGAGAAGACGAAGTTGACTACACAGAGTTGACGTACAGGACGGCTTGGTGCTACTGCTTGAAGTCACCAAGCTCGAGGGCATGCTTGTGAAGGCTCGCAAGACGCTGATCGCCATATCCAGCTCCGGCACTCTCTCTGCCTGTCAAGACTCAAGGCCCAACGGTCGATCTGTCCGTCAGCCGCGCGCACAGACAACAGGGTTGCAACCGTGAATGCTGTGCCTCTGCCTGTGCGCCGGCATCACCCTGCGCGTCCTACCCCGCATAATCCTGGTTGGCCGGCTAAGTTCCTGGAAGATACATTGATACCTACATTATACGACCGTCAATCTTGGAACAATCCAGGTGGGCGGGCGTCCGAGACGAACTAGTTGGGTGGCTGAATAGTAATGACCTTCTACGATTGGCAGTGAGCTCCAGCACCGCCGGATTCACTCAAAACGTGATTCCCTCATCTCAAAATACCCTGCTTCGTTCCGCTATGATCCCGTCCATGGTCACAGTTGGAAATCTGGGGTCGGCAGGGTGTTTCCTGTTCGTCGGGTGACAACCCATGCTTATAAGACGATCGAGGGCCCTCCTATTGCTACTAAATTTACCTTTCACCGGCGATTCCATACTCGACATTTAGGAGTCAACGCATGCTTAGTAATATACATGCCAGCTGTTAGGGTGTGCAAATGGATCCTACTATTGACCCCTCGACCTTACCCCATGACAGCCGGGAGAATGTTCTCATTGGGGTAGTATGCCTCATGTGCAGTCTCGCCACGATATCTGTGGGGCTGCGATTCTACACGCGACAATACATGGTCAAGCAGGTCGGGGCTGATGACTATCTGTCCTTGTTGGCGCTGGTCAGTTGTCCTCGACATCATACTCCAGCTTCAACCAAGATGCTTACAAGGTAACTACTGTGTCGAAGGCTCTCGCTTGGGCTACTGGAATCTCTATGTGTCACAGTAAGTCCCCAATACTCGCGATGTCTGGTGCCGTCAAGGACCCGATACTAATGCCGCATAGACACTCGCAATGGTTTGGGCAAACACGTGTGGGATCTGGATGGTCCCAAACAGATTATGAACTACCTGAGGGTCGGTCTCCGGGATGCCTTTCCACAGCCCCTACTGACATATGTGTAGGGTTTCTGGGCCTCGATAACACTATATAATGCCGGACTCATGTTCGTCAAACTGACCTTCCTGATGCAGTACTACCGCGTTCTTGCGATCAGGAAGATGAGGATTATCTGCGTCGTCGCCATGATCATCATCGGATGCTGGAGTCTGTCCCAGGTCCTCGTTGGCATCTTCATCTGCGCCCCAAATCCCGGGGTCTGGGAGTGCATACCGAATCTACCACAGTGGTACATCAACGCTGCTGGGAATATCGTGACAGATGTCGTAATCTTTTTACTGCCATTGCCGGTCCTAGGGCGTCTGAACCTGCCTAAAGCGCAAAAGCTGGTACTATTTGGTATCTTCAGTCTCGGTTTCTTGTGAGTCACTCGACGTAACCCACCTCGAACTACCTAGCCAGGCTGACTTCCAGCCCAGCACTTGCGCCATATCCGTGATTCGAATCAAGTTCCTCCAGAATGGAAGTGACTTTTCGTACGACAACATCGAAGAATCCAGCTGGTCCATCACGGAGCTGTGCTCCGGGGTCATCTGCGCATGTCTATCCACCCTACGCCCGCTCGTTTCCAGGTGGGTGCCGGCACTCTCTAACAAGCTACACAAGACGAGCAACTGGTCACGTAGACGATCTGGTTCCCACGCCACCGACGTCGAGAAAGGCAGCAAGCACACACGCCAGAGCTTGAAGGGGAGCAATATCACTGGTGCTTATAGCAAAGAGGGGCTCTACCACCTCGGAACGTACGAGTTGCGCCGAAACGGCAGTGGGGAGACGTCGGACGGCATCCTGGGGCTCAAGAGCACCAGGGAAGGCATGTACGGCGATGACGCCTCCTCCTCCTCGCCGACATCGCCCAAATCGGCGCACTTTGCGATTCCCGCAACACCCCGAGATGTGCTGCACGATGACTGGCTCCGACCGAGTGTCACGGCGAAAATATGGAGCAGCAACAGCCCACGGCCACACTTCAGCCTGAACCATAACGGGAGCTCCATCCAGGTCAAGCGGGACCACCTGATGCAGAAATCTTCCTACCCTATGGAGTGAGAAAGGGGCTCGCGAATCAATTCTGGGGTTGTGGCGCTCTGCGAGCACGGACTCGGTGTAATTACGCTTGTCTTTAGGATACCAAAAGTTATAGCCAATATAATCAGTCAAACGTGAACCCGAGTCTCCGTCGCGCAAGTAGGTGCCTATATCGTCGTGATCCGCATCCCATGCCACCACCCGCCACCATGCCCCTCTCTGAGACCTTGTGGAAATTATGTCTTCTCATCTGTTCAATCCAAGAGCCGAACCGGTTTGCAAGAGCTCAACCGCATACAAGAATTGGACTACTCCAGAACCTACAGGTGAGGCGATATGCAACCTTGGCTCTTTAATACATCTTTTTGGTTGATGAAAGAATTTTGTAAAAGTGTTTGGGCGACACATTGTGTTCCGTTTTTATACAGCGCGGTCCTTGAAAGTCGCCACTGTGTCGAAAGTGTGGCGAGCGAATAACGTTCGGCTCGTAGATGGAAAACTCGAAGCTATATATTCGAGCATTGGTCGTGGGGTTTTTTCGACGAATCGACTCGGCAGCCGCACGCACTTTTGCAACCCTTGGCGGTGCTGGTATTCTCCTCACAGGAACCTGTGTCGCGGCTGGGTTCTTTGTAAATTCGGCTTCTCCTTGTACAAGTAGATGACGTACATGTCAGTCTGAGATGGCATGATGCGAAGTATCCAGTGTGGCAGGATGTGGATATGCTTCGGATCGCGCTTGTCAGGGCGGGTCTCGGGATCATGGAGAATGAACCGCAAGATGTCATAGATATCTTCCTCTTCTGAGTACTAGAATTTGGGCCGCGTGTCCAACGGCTCATAGTCTTTTCGCGTGATCGCAGGGATGAACTCAGGGGTGGCAGTGGAGAACTGGTCAGGAGTAGAAGGGCAATGCTATGCGGCTGAAGCTGTGTGAATGCTGTGGGGTATGCCGATGATAATGAAGAGGTAGGCAGAATGGGGAATTAGGAAAGAGTGGGAGAATAAGGGCAGAGAGTCAATATTTATAAAGGTTATGCGGTCAGGCGCCAACAGGCCATTAAGCCACTGAACAATTATCGTTTTTATGTACTGTGGGGAATTGTTCATACTATGCGGCTCCAGTCTGAGGAAAACACAGTGAAACGACGGGAACACCGATATAACCAAAAGCAAACGGACTCACGTGTCCAATCAAGAAAAGTAGAAATATGGTGGAATCAAAGTGGTATAATTCAGTCAAGAGGTACCCAGCAACGGCCTATCCATTCTACTCGATGCCTTTCCCCAGGAAGTAGGCGAGGGCATCATCCGCGCTGTTCACCATTGCCGTTCCCTTTGCCGTATTGCCGCAAATGTCCTCCCCTGTGCGGTCGATTCCCTTGTCTAGCAAAATGCGGATAGCCTCCACACGGTCGTTCCCAGCAGCCATGTGTAAGGCTGTTTCGGTTTCGAGGAAGCGTTTCTCGTCCAAGATGTATTTGGTGACATCTATGTTCATCAGCTCTATGTGGTATTGGCTATGGATCCGGCCTCATCGTAGCTTCAGAACTCTTCTGTATAGCCCAGAAAAGCAGTGTCTTTCCAACCTTTGTCTCTGTTAACTCGAGGACCTTGACGACGGTGATATTCTCGCACTTTACTATGTCTGTCAGGCAGGACCCTAGCTTGAGGGCATCATTCTTGCCTGAGCGACGCATCATGAACATTCAAACCGGGATTGAAAAGTTCACGAACCTCAAAGGCATCGTTTGATAACAGGTAATGGCGGGAGCCCCCAAGTGGGACAGCCCCCCCAATGGGAACAGTTTTCCCACCAAAATGTCACTATTGCGACCCTCATAACTCGACCGATAATTATGGTACGACGTAGTTATTTGAGCGAGAATATTTGTCTCTTTTTTCTAAACTTATAAAGTATGGGTGCTCATAGTAAGTTATGGTTATAACAAGAGTTATAATAGCATGAAGTTTTACCCTTACTAAATTTAACGTTCCGGGCTGCCGTGGGTCTGGTTTTCCCGACCTTTTGGTGAGAGCAAGGCATGGTCAAACTTCAAAGCACCGCCAAACGCTTAAAAAAAAAAGCAATAATTAATTACTCAATCGCCAAGAAGACATTAAGAAAAAACGATTCAAAGGCAATAGGGACAGTATTTACAGCTTCATTCCTCGTCGAGATATGTATAAGTGAACATTGTGATGTTGGGTGTAAAAACTGTCCCACTTGGGGGCTCCCGCCGTTAAATCGACGTGAGCCCTACATGAACAACTATACATTTTTCTATCAATGAAAGCATTCGAGGCTCCAGCCTTGAGTCAACAGAGTAATAAACGAAGGCACACACCTTCCAGTACCAGCTCTTAAGTGCACATCATAACAAGACTCCGTATGAAGGAGGCGGGGGGCAAGAACTGAACCCTGTGACCCCTATTCAACTCGGGACCGAAACACTATATGGAGAATAGGAAGCCCTAGGCGGGAACCATATACGAGTTTACCAGAGAAAATAGTGGCCAAAAGCAGGAGTTACATCTGCAGAGTAACACAGACAACTGTAGCTATCCAGTATGTTGTATAGTAATGATGAAAGAGAATGATGGGTTCAAGTTGGCAGATATACTGCGAGAAACCCAGCCTTCTTGCCCCTGAGAGCTTGCCAGCGACAGATACCAGATAGCAAATGCAAGCTACCTGCAAAAGTTTTTGATGAGCCGATCAGTCATCATCACCAAACCCAAACATCTCTCTGGTTGACAGGCAGGTTTGACGTGGGCTTTGGCGACCGAGCAAACTCGAACAAGAGAACATGCCATAATACCGGCGTTTTTGATCTGTTGCTAAACAACGTTGTGTATAGGGCCATACGGCGAGGAAGCTGGCCTATGGTGGCTGGAGCGTTTGACTGACTGACAAAGACAGCGCTTTCCGCCGCATATATACCCAGAATATCCAGGGCTACCTATAATATACCAGGTAGCGAAGCGGTAATGATGATGGGCTTGGTTGTTGAAGTAAATGCTCTTCATTTTCTATGTAGACGGGAAAAGAGAGCTACAGCATTATCCAGAGGATTTCGTGGAGCTTCCTAGACTGCCAGCCCACGTCAATGAATGATTGAGACTATAGAATGAACAGCCTATGATGGATCGAGAGAAAGAGGAGATGGCACGAGGTATTGAAGACATATACCAGCTCTCTCAAAGGCTGCGGACGCCGGCTCACTGAACAAGTGTAGCAAGCCTATATTTACGTTGTCAGTCCATAGTAAGAGATGCGGGCTTCGCACCAAATAATGAAGCGGTACATAAACAGGTACATAAACAGTGCTAGCTGTGATTATAATGTGTGAGAGAAGCCTAGCCTTGCTATTTCGACTCGGAAGGAGGTTCGCTGGGAACAAAAACGCCACTAGAAATGAACAAAAGCTTCGTTAGTTGATCAAGTCTATGTGCAGGCTTATGGCTTGTAGCTTCGTGATATCACCCTCCTGGGTTCGCCACTTACTACTTGGTATTAGCACGCGCCTCTGCCTATGAGGACCACAAGTAACCCCCACGAGGTATGGGCTATGCACGGGACTTCCTCTTCGTCCCTCAACCTTGTATCTAGCACAAGACGTGGTAATCGAGATCTGGCAGCTGGATCTACCGCCTCTGGTAATCCAAGACCACGCCTTATCTGCTGCTATCCCGATGTCTTCCACGGCTCCACGCGAACCAACAATCCAGAACCCATGATCCAGAGAACCACGACCTAGAGGAGGATCACGCCCGACGAACTGTCTGTCTGTGCACTTGACGAGGACCCGGACCACGGTGCTCCTTGGAGGTTGCCGATGTTTTGCCTTCGGGGTACTCTGCCTCGAGTCAGGCAGGAAACCCCCATCCCCCTTCTCATCCCCCTCCCCTACTTCTGCAGATATCCACCCATCACACTGACTGCAACAAACAGCACAACCCCAACCACCGAAAGCGCCGTCGCCGGAACCGCACTCTGGACGTACCGCTCGGTCCAGGCCCCCCTCGCCGCAGCCAAGTCATCCACACACAGCATATCCACGCCCTCCCTCGTAAGCACACTCCAAATATAATCCCGATAGTTGACCGGCCAGCCCGGTATATCCCAGTAGCGCACCACCAGGCCCCTCGCTCTCGCGGCGCGGATCTGCGCGCGCAGCGTCTCCAGCTGCTCGTCGCTGATACCGAAGAGCACATGACCCACGGCGCGCTTGAACGACGCGGACGCGTAGTGCGAGTTTGCCGGCGAGTAGTAGCTGACGGATTCCAGTTCCGATTCCGTCCGTTGTTGCGCCGCGATGGAGAGGATGGGCGCGTCGAGAAAGGTGTCGTGGGACGCGTCGAAGCCGCCGCGGCCGCGAGGGTAGCAGCCACGCAGGCCCTGAAGCGTCAGGTCGCCGGATCCGACGACGATGAGGGGTCCCGGCCATAGCGTCTGCGTCTGCATCTCATTCGTGCCGGCGCTAGCGGCCTGGTACCGCGTCAGATACCCCTTCCGGCGCAGCGGCTCCAGCTGGCGCATCACCATGGGCCAGATGACCTCCGGCTTCTCCTTGACGTCGATCATGAGCACGACGGTCGTATCCGGCGCCGTGTGATAGACGCCGCGGGCGCGCTCGCCCGCGCTGCGGTTCCCCCACGTCGCGGCCGGGTTGCGGTGGTCCAGCATCGCGAGCAGTGGGTCCAGATACATGGACCGTAGCGTCTTGCCGGGCCGCAACGAGCGGCGGTCGTGACCGACGAGCAGGTCCTGGCCATTGGCGGTTAGCCACACGTCAGCCTCGATGCCCGTGCATCCGGCGGCCAGGGCCGAGAACAATGGCGAGCGCCGCCAGTAGTCGTTGTGCGAGTGGCAGGGGATCGGCAGCACCGAGTCGGTGTGCCGCACCAGCCATTGCGTTACGTCAGCGACAGGATATTCCCAGTCCTCCTTGTCGCGCGAGTTGTAGAACATGGGGAGTGGAATCACCCTGATTCTCGTGGCTGGTATTGAAAGAGGAAGATCAAGAGAAAGGCTAATACTTAACGTATATGATATTAATTTAAATATATAAACATAATAATCAGTCTTTTTATGAATTTATGAATTCATGGCCTATTCTCTATGAGATTTTACGATATGTGACGGTTTCTACAGCTAGCTAAGTGACCGCCATGGTCACGTGTAGATTAGATAAGTAGAAAGGACCATGCCACGCATAACACCTTGTTAGTTCCTTTTTCTCCCATCCTAGTATTCAAGAATACGACAAGTTTTCTACCACACCGTCTCAGGCACCGTGACACGATATGCCATCTTTCCACGCCTTTTGTGTGGGCGGAGCTGCCTCTTCGATCACTGAGAGATACACTGACCAGCCGATGTTGGGATTTGAGAGACCTAACGCTTGTTGATTAGGTGGAAGTCGAATCTATTTGCACCACCGACCGCGCGTAAGGATGCGAGGGATGGCTGGAGGAATCACATGAGGCTCCTCAAAGTGCTGTGACTGCTGTCATCCTTCACTATAAAAATACACGGCATATGGGTCTCACTAAGCATTCAGCATTGCCTCAGGTCAAGGAAAACACAGTAAGTGTCGAGACATGGTTTCACCTTCCAGCAAGTGAAGACCCTAAAGAGCTCGGGCCATCGACTCTTCACGATGTATCGGTGCGTATGGAACGACGAATCTCCGCGATGGAGATAAGGCGCATTGCAGTTGCATTTTAATCATGCAGGTATAGATGATCGCTCGGGCGGCGTGCAGATCTTGGAAGCTTGTTAAGTCGCCCATGTTGCTGTCGGGGTGGACTCCAGGACTCTGTGCCTCGTGCCTCCAGGAGTCGAGGTTCAACAGGTTGTCCGTGACTCCGTGATGCAGTGGGCCTGAGGATTACGAATCGTCAACTGCCGGTGGTGATAATAGCGGTGATTCCCGCCCCCCTGGTCCGAGGACGCGTACTATTGCGGGCCTCAAGTTCGCAACGTGGATCACGACCGGATTCACGCCGGGAAGTGGGCATGGATGGCGAGTCGTCATGCTCTGTTTGGAGCTATCATAGCAAGTCCCAAATCCCAAATCCCAACGGCAACTAATTTAGAACCCACGCCAGCCACGGTGGCGACGCGGCCGAGTCTTCTGCGCAGTGCCGCGCACCAGTTTCCACCTACGACGGGCCGAGAGGGAGCTGTAAGGACATCGCAGTGACGCGCAGGCTGCGATGTCACGTATATAACGTCGGCCAGGCGCCGTCGTACGCGTTGATGTTTGGTACAGCAGCTCTCCGCACACCACTTTCTTTGAAGACCAAACACCCATCATGAGGGTTACGTCGGCGCTGCATGCCGTTTCGGCGCTCTCGCTCGCTTCACAGGTCGCCGCTTCGTCCAACTCTACCTCGTCTGGCAACCAAGCTCTCCTAGCAGATGGAAACGGTAAGTCGGCACTGCATTGTCCAAGCTTGCCGGCAGACGAGCCGACCAGGAGATGAAGAAGTGACAGCATCTAACATGACCTTGCAGCACAACTGGGCATCGCCGAGGAGGCCTATGAAAAGGCCAAGGCCTACGTTGCGAAGCTCAACATCACTGAGAAGGTCGCTATCATCACGGCACAGAGCGTGACGGGCGACAATGCCTGGACGGCCCTGAACAACAAGGACGGTGTTTCGGGCATCAACTTCCAGTTCTACGTCTCCGGCTTCAGCTTGGCCAACGCCCTGACAATGACGTGGAACCGCGACCTATTCTCGGAGCAGTTTAAAGCTCTTGGCGATGAATTCTACGGCATGGGCTACAACCTGATCAGCGGGCCCGTTTCCAGCCCGCTCGGCCGCGTGCCCCAGGGCGGACGCCTGGCCGAAGGGTTCTGCGTCGACCCCTACCTCAGCGGCATCGCCATGGGAAAAGCCGTGTCGGCCATGAACTCGGCGGGAGTCATCGCAGCTGGGCGGCATTTTCTGCTGAACGAGCAAGAGACGCATCGCCAAGGCTCGGGGGGCGGCATGGGAGGCAGCTCGAGCAGCTCCAGCGAGCGGTATTCGTCCAACGCCGACGACAAGACGGTGCACGAGCTGTACATGTGGCCGTTCGCCGACGCCGTCAAGGCCGGCATGATGGGTGTCATGTGCGCCATGAACCGAGTCAACGACACCCTCGCGTGCGAGAACAACCACCTGCTCAGCGGCCTCCTCAAGACTGAGATCGGCTTCCCAGGCCTCGTCTACCCGGACGTTGGCTCGCAACAGACGGCCTTCGGCTCTGCTAACGGGGGGCTCGACTACGGATCCGAGTCTATCTGGACCGAGGCCGTCATCAAGGCCGGTATCGCCAACGGCACGTTCACAGAGGCGCGCCTGGACGACATGGTCGTGCGTAACGTGATTGGCTACTACCACGTGGGGCTCGACGACGGGAAGCAGCCCTCCGAGGCGGGCGTCACAGAGTACCGCGACGTGCGCGGAAACCACGCTCAGCTCATCCGTCGTGTTGCTGGTGAGTCGCTCGTGCTCCTCAAGAACAACAACTCGGGCGGCCGCGGTCTGCCGCTGGAGAAGCCGCGGACGGTTGCGCTGTTCGGCGCGCATGCCGGACCCGCGACGGCCGGGCCAAACCAGGCGTTCAGTGTCCAGGGCGCGTCGAGCGACGTGTACCAGGGGCATCTGGCGAGCGGCGGCGGTTCGGGACAGCTGTCAATGCCGTGGCTTGTGACGCCCTTCCAGGCGCTGAGTGCGCGTGCTGTCGCGGATGATTCCATGATTTGGTGGTGAGTATTCGTGGTCTAGGGGGCCCCAGGTCGATCGTGTCCAAAGAGAGAGGCTTGCTGACTTGGGTGATTATAGGATCATGAACAACACCTATTCCTCTGAAAGCGGCATGGGAGGTGGTATGGGAGCCACTACTGGCAACAGCACTGGCGGAAGCAGCATGGGAGGCAGTATGGGAGGCAGCATGGGGGGCAACAGCACAGGCGGTTCCGCCGGCGGCAAGGGAGGTGGAGGCGGAGGCGGAATCGGCAACCTAGGCCAGGGCACCGCGACGACCCCCTCGTTCACAAAATACGCCGCGAACGCGGAGGCCTGTCTGGTATTCATCAACTCCAACTCGGGCGAGGGCGCGGACCGCTCCTCGCTGCTCGACACGGACCAAGACACCATGGTCAACACCGTAGCGAGCAACTGCAACAACACCATCGTGGTTGTGAACACTGTCGGCCCCCGCGTCCTCGACGCTTGGGCCGACCACACCAACGTTACTGCTATCGTCTACGGCGGTCTACTGGGCCAACACAGCGGTTCTGCTATCGCAGACGTGCTTTACGGCGCCGTTAACCCCAGCGGCAAGCTGACGCACACCATCGCACACAACGAATCCGACTACCCCGTCTCCGTCTGCGAGACCGACGACTGCGATTTCACCGAGGGCGTCTTCATCGACTACCGCTGGTTCGACGCGCACAACACCTCGGTGCGGTACCCCTTCGGCCACGGGCTCAGTTACACGAGCTTCCAGTACGGCACCGTGACCGCCGCCGCCACGAACGCGACCGCGCTGTCCCAGAAATACGCGCAGGGCCCGCTGGCCCTAGGCGGGCAGACGGACCTTTTTGACGAGGTCGTCAGCGTCAAGACTACCATCCGTAACACTGGAAAGCGCGACGGCGCCGAGGTCGCGCAGCTCTATGTCGAGTTCCCGGCCGCCGCCGCGCAGCCTCCGCGCGTGTTGAGGGGGTTCGAGAAGGTGCAGGTGCCGGCTGGTCAGAGCGCGGATGTCGAGTTTAGTGTCCGCAGGCGCGATGTGAGTTATTGGGATACAAAGGTGCAGAAGTGGGCGGTGGCACCCGGGACTTATACGTTTGGGGTTGGGGCTAGCTCGAGGGATGTTAGGGGGAGGGCGAGGTTGACTGTAAAATAGGGGGTTGTCCGGGTGATTGGAGTGCTTGATGAAGAGTACCATGGGTTGCTGGAGGCACTCCTTCCGTGTGTAAAACGGAAGCTCTGCCATTGAGCTGAATTCTTCTATATTTTGTTTCAGCAATTATTTTTCTGATATTGATTGAGGATGCAGAACTGCTCTGAGGCAAGAGATGTGCCGACTGAGAGATCAAGCGCAGCCAAGTCAGTTTCACAATCCCATGCTCATCAGATCATGATACCACTATTAGTGTTTCTGTGTTCTATTTCTCTCAAAACTCCATCAACCACTTCGATGGAGGCATCTATACCTTGCTCTGTTCAATGGAAGGCTGCCTCCTCCCCTCTTCCCTGCATCACTTCTGCGTCCCTCCCTTGGCTGCGTCGTTCTCTCAAGAGGAGGCATCGTTCGGTATATCGAAACCCCCCAAATCCAAGTAGGAATAGGCAAAATCGTCAAGGCAATGTGCCAGATCGAGCTTGCCCCTAGAAGTCTCATCTAGGCAGTGTATCTTCTTACTTTTATCCTTGCCTAAACCCCACGGGAGCCCAACATGAAGTTCTTCCGGGAGGTTTTGCTTGTTGTCAATTTCCGAGCGAAGTGTATCCCGGAATAGTGAAAGAGCTTCGTCTGCCTTCTCATCTTCCTTGGCGGTAATTTCTCTTTCAACTTTGAAGATGAGCGTTGGTCTTTGAACCTTCCCTTTCCCCTCGTAGCTGAAAATAACATTTCCGATAAAAACGTTCATTCTGGTAAAAGTCTCGAGTACTTTGGATTCGTAAATGAGGCGTGTAACCTCCTGGAAGAACTTCGACTCTAGCCTTGACTTTTGCCGCTGCTGCTTAAACACGAAGTTGGCTTCCTCAATCGCTTTCATCTTGCTTTCGACCGGTGACTCGAATGAGACCTTCGCAAGCTCAGGTGGGTCGATACCGTGGTTCACAAGAATCTTGCGCGCTTCATCAAGCTCGCCCGCTTCCATGAAGCGGAGATATTGCTTGAGGAGTTCTCCGCCTATTGGTGGTGTATATGTGTCCATGACGAGTCGCTCTTCTCGTAGAAGCAATGAAATGACTGTAATGAAAACCGTTAGAGTGAATGAATAACTGCGCGTTGATAAAAAAGCATGAATGATGGCCACTATTGACCCGCCTACAGGCAATCGGAGCGTCCAATATATATCTGCAGATTGGCGGGCGAGAACACACATACTGGCCGTGCGCGCCATTGCGCGTGACTACTTCTGGGGCCAACATGACCAACGTGAGTATGTTGGCGTCTCAGAATCCACCCCGTGAGTCGTGTTCCTTTGTCCTTGAAGGTTGTTATAGCAAAAGTGTTGCCCGACTCGTCACCCATATGTAACCCCTGAAACACCGATTTCTTTGTCCTCGACACCAACATTAGATAAGCACAACACCAACTGCGTCACTCGACCGAGTCATTCGGCTTCGCTTGACCACGTTCTTTGTTTTTCCAATGGTCCGTTACCAGCGTTGGTCGTACGAGGTTGATGTTGGTGCCTGCTTAGACCCCTGGAGTACAGGCTCTTTGTTCCGATTCCAACACCAACCGGACTACACACGGTCATCACTCAATTGACAACACATGTGGCCAAATATTCGGGGACCTAGTTGTCACGCAATCGCATTGGGGAATGTGGCCACGTAGCTGTTGATGCGATTGCTCACATGGTGCTTGCAATCGTGTCGACGCGGTCGAAACTAGCAAGAGATTGTCCTCAAAAGTGTGATTTCTGTCATGGACGGCCCGGAACTCTTCCATTATACATGATGTGTCCAGAAACGGATACCACAATTTCAAAACAGTTACCCCATCCCGTGATGTAGCCCGGAACGCCTGCCATCATCTACAGCTCATTCACAATCCGTAATCTCATCTCACAAAGCAGCGTCTAGATCTTATATACGAGCTCGCCATCCGTGTACCTGTGTTTCACGTTAGCACTCATCTTGTTCTGGGTTCGAGAAGGGGGTAGACTTACATAATTTGGTTAGCTTCGCCCATCCTCTTCAGTGCCTTGATGGCTTCTTCCCGCGAGAACGGGGCGCCCCTTGCTCCGAGGCGGCCGTTGACCGCTTCAATGACCTCGCCAACATTTGCCGAGTCGTCTTCAAACAGGTCCGAGTTGAGAAGTTGTCCTAGAGCCGTTCGGAAGGCGGCGAGTCTCTCGGAGGTGATGGGCGCGTCGAGGTTCAATCCTGCAGCGCCGGCAGCGAGGTCGTCATCTTCTTGTGTCTCCTCTTCTTGCGTTTCGAGCTGCGAAGCAGGCATTGAGGAGGCAAACGAGAGCTGCGATGTTGTTGGTGCGTTTGATGACGATGCAGCTCCGCTGCGGTTTGTTCGGCGCGGTGTAGCGTCATAGATGTCTTCTTCATCCTCGTCGTTCTCGGGCTCAGGAGTATCTGCAGTAGCACGACCATTGGCGCCCTTTGCACGACGGCCATTCGTCGATGGCTGGCTGCGGGCAGTCTTCCGACTTGACCGAGCGGCACTACCGCGAGCCGTTGACGCTCTGAATGTTCCATCGCCATCATCGTCGTCTGAGCTCTCTTCGCTAGAAGACGCTGATTCTACTTGTCGTGTCGTCCGTCTGCGCTTCTTCTTTGACTCATCCTCGACGACTTCCTTGAAGAGAGCAAACCGCAAAATGCCTTCAGCTGCCAAGGCATCCCGCTCATCTACTCTGTTGGAGAGGCGTGACTTGGCATGTGCAGTTGCCAGTCGAATCAGAGTTTCCAGCGTACGGACAGTTAGGGGAGATGTCCTTCGCGTGTTCCCCTCCATTTCATCATTACGGAGACCAACGTAGATCTCTGCAATGCGCTCAGAAGCCTCCTGAGTAAGCACAGGCTTGACTCTCGTCTTGGAGTACTGGATGTACTTCTTCATGAAGGGGATACTGAGGACCTCATGGCGTTTATTTGCGCCTCGGCCCGAGGTTATGGTGACACCGGCGTGTAGCATGGCGTCGTACTTCTCGTAAACATCGGTAGGCTTTTGTGTTGCATCCTGGCTCTGCAGAGCAACGCCGAGAGCCTGCTGGGCATTCTCACGCACAGGCGCGCCTTCATCGGTTCCAGGCTGTCGGTAACGGTGCATGCGCAGGACATGCTCTGAGATTTGACGATCGCGCGTATCTTCGATGTCATCGGTGACAACGAACAGAAGATCGAAACGGGAGAGAAGTGAATCAGGAAGTGCGATGTTCTTGTGAGGGTCCTTGTGGGGGTCGTACTGGCCGAAGATAGGATTAGCAGCGGCTATCACACTGCATCTGGCATTCAATGAGGTGTGTATACCGGCCTTGGCAATTGTGACGGTCTGCTGCTCCATGACTTCGTGGATGGCGACTCTGTCAATGTCGGACATCTTGTCAAACTCATCAATACAGACAACACCTCGGTCTGCCATAACCATGGCACCTGCTTCGAGTCTTCTCTCGCCCGTCTCCTTGTCTGAAGTAACAGCTGCTGTTAAACCCACACCAGAAGATCCACGACCGGTTGTGGCGATGGCCAAAGGGGCAGTGTTGAGGACAAAGCGCAATAGCTGGGATTTAGCCGTCGAAGGATCACCAACCATCAGAATGTTGATGTCTCCTCTCAGATGCGTGCCGTTCTCGAGGTTCTTTTCCATACCACCGAGAAGCATGAGCAAAATTGCCTTCTTGATGTAATCGTGACCGAATATACTAGGCGCAAGTGACTGGGACAGAAGTTGAAATAGGTTCTTCTTCTTGGCAACCTTGTTGATGTTGCGAATATCGGTATCGGTAATGGTAGCTGTTGCTACGCCTCCGCTTGCTTTGGATGACAGCAGGACGATGTTGTTGGCTAGAATGACGGTCTTGAAGAGAGCACTGTTGTGGTTGGTATTTCGGTTTCCGAGGGTTCTGAAGATACCGACGAGTTGAACTCTGTCGCCTGGCTTCACCCTGTCGACCAAATCGTCGTCAAGAATGACATCAACACCACGAGGAAGCTGGCCAGCCGGTGCTCTCTCGGGCATCTCTTGTATCGAAATGGTCTGGTGGTCTCGGTATGTGCAGAAGCCATACTCAGTAAGCAGAGGATTGCCTTCGTCGTCTTCCTGGGGGTAAACGCTGGAGGTGGTGACGCCATTGGTCATGGTCTGGTCGCGGTACTCGCGGAAGTGAAATATGTTCTTTTTCTCGTTGTAATGTACACTCTTGACAACCTTCGGTCTGATCAGAGAGGTCCTCGTGACGATCCCCTCGATGGATACCATGTGGTTGAGGTGGTTTGATGACAATGTTCTCGGGTTGCAGGCGTTCAGACCGAAACTGCCTGCCCAAGCGCAGTAGTACAGGACATCGGGGTCAGTCTGGTCCGGGCGGGCCTGCGGTATGGTCTTGACAATCTCCTTCAATGCATGGTTGAAGGCAAGGGTATAGTCGAACGGATCGAACAGCAGACCATCTGCGAGCTCCTGGTTGTGGTCGCGAACGTGGTCTAGGTTGACAACGAGACGTCGTAGGTTCTTCTGGAGCATCAGGATAATGTCGGCTCGGTAACTCCTCACACGTTGGTCATCTGTTGGCGAAGAGGGTCAATGTCAGCTGTCGTCGCATGCGCGCGCGTTCGCAGCAGACTTAACACTTACGAGGATCGAGGAATTCCTCGCACAGGCGGATGCGCTCCTTGGCGGCTTCATCTCGAAGCATGAAAGTGTCCATGATGCCTCCTCGGTGTAGTGAACGAATGCAATGTCGTCGAAGGAAGCAATCGATGGCCGAACTAGTCAAGTTCAATTCGTCGAATCGGTTGTGCACGAGGCGAGGACGGTGGCAGAAGTTGGTGGGGAAGACGCTTGAGAAGTGTTGCAAAAAGGGGAGTCTCGTGTGGGACCCGCGTCCCTTGTTTTCGCGACACCGCGTCGAGATCAATTAAACTCCCAAAGGGGCACTGTCTCTCAGCCGATATCTCCGTCGTGGGTGGGCGCTAAAAGCGGACCTAACATAAGACGGAGGACGGGATTCTAACTTTTCCGTGGTGGGCCGTCCCGTTTTATCGTGACTGCGGCTGCCTGGTCGTCTACCATCTCCATCTCTTTCTTCCTTGACGCTATTTGCAAGTGACTCACGCCGACCTCGAGATGATCCATGCATCAACAACTGGACCCCAGCTCGATACTATTATGAGAAGAGGCTATTATGAGAAGAGGTAGGGTCCCTAGGTCGTCGATGCTCAAGTACCGTATGAATCATAGTGGCTCAGCTGCTGCCAAAACTAGACGGATCAGCCCCATACACACCTGGCAGACTTCCTCATGCTGACATCCCTACTTTGATCATGTTGGCCACAACTGTAGAGTAACTCCGTATTTCCATGTCCCTATATTCAAGCATCAACCCATCTGAACCTCAATTTCTCGACCCTGTTGACTTATTTTCGCTCGAGTCATCTTCTGCCATTGGACCACCTAGACCATCCCCTGGACTAGTAGTCTATAGGTACTTCAGTCTCCCGCCTTCTTTCTCTTCTCACATCTTCGTATCATCATATTCATTTCGTCATTTCGACTCGAGTCTTTCTAGCGAGATACCCCTGATTCCACCTAGTCATGGCGACTCCTGAAGCTTCATCACAGCCTGCGGCAATATCCGTAGGGTCTTACGATACAGCATTATGTATTATACCACCTGAGCATCTCTGGCCCGCCGTCGATGGCCTAAGATGTCTCTACGACAAGGCCTACGAACAGTGGCCTCCGCATGTCAACCTTATTTACCCTTTCGTTCCGCTCGGAGACTTGCCTAGGGCGTCTGAGTCGATCACATCACAACTGAAGTCTCGGAACCGGGGAAGTGAAGAGGCAACATTTGAGATACGCCTGGAGGCGGCGGATGTCTTCCCTCATCGACACGACAACACTATTTTCATTTGCGATAATGATTCGGAGCGGACTACGAAAATTAAGGAACTCCGAAATGTCATCCTACTGGCCTTCGGGCAGAGGCCGGACGACTATCGCATGCACATGACAGTTGGTCAAACCGAAGAACTGAACTCCGCACATCATCAGTTCCTGTTGGAAAAGGCACGCCTGCTCCCCAACGTGCAATGGACCGTTGACAAGCTTCATATCTTGGTTCGAGAACGGAAGTATATCGACTGGAACGTCTCAAGTCAGATGAGATTATGGGGGACGATCGATCTTACTACCTTCACTTGCTCCAGGAGAGAGACACCTACCAAGTTCTACGAAAGCAACAATACATCGACCCTGTCAGATGCTGCAACCGACGCTGTCATACCAAAGGGTCTCTTAGACCATCTTCCGTATACGTTTACGCCGGCCATGGGCAAATGGGTTCAGCACGAGGACAACTCGGAACGAGAGTCATCGTCGGAGTCCAAACTGCGATCATCCATCGCGATCGCAAGCTACAATGTCCTAGCGGAATTCCACCATCCACCTTCGCATGCTAGATATCCTATCGTCATTCGAAATCTGTTACATAAGACAGCTTTGGCAGATGTTCTTGTGTTGGAAGAAGTCACCGATGATTTCCTCTCATATCTCTGCAAGAATGACGAAGTTACCAAAAACTACCCCTTCATTACCCACGGTCCTCCTGATCAAGCGGACCTCGAACCGCTGCCTAGCCATCTCAATGTAGTCGTGCTCAGCAGGTCAGCATTCACTTGGACTTGGCTATCCTTCAGAAGAAGTCACAAGGGCTCAGTCATCCTGCAGTTCCGCGACATTGGGAAGCGAGACGGGAACCATTTCATTCCGGCTATCTTGTCAACTGTCCACCTCACCCGTGGTCTGACAGACGGTGCAGTCGCTACGAAGAAAGTCGAACTTCAGTCTATCGTCAACTATCTTTCCACGACGTATCCCAGAAACCCGTGGATCTTAGCTGGCGATTTCAATATCACGACCAGCGCTTACACCATCGAGGCAGCGCTCAAGAAGAAAGCAATTTCATCGCAAACTGCGACTTATTTAAAGGCTCTCGACACCACCCTTACTGAAGCCGGACTCGTCGACACCTGGGCTGTGTCTCGAGTCCAATGTGGGGACTCTTCTGAATTTGATCACGACCAAAGACATTTGAATGGTGCTTTCGAGGGTGAACAAGGGGCGACTCTTGATCCAACAGTCAATGAGCTCGCTGCAGAGAACGTCGGCACCGGCTTCAACAACCGGCCTCAGCGGTATGACAGGATCTTGGTTAAGGGACGGGACTTGTTCACTATTACTAGCTTCAACATATTCGGCCAAACACCAGGTACCCTTAGTAGGGGTTCCACCGGTGGCGACAGTAGCGACGAGCTCACACAGGCGCCTGAGTTGTCCTACGGAAGCGATCACTGGGGTGTAAGATGCTCTCTGAGGATTCGTGACGAATCAAAACAGGCACCAGAAGACGTCAACAGTCCTTCGGTGCCTGTGCACTTCGAAGTGGCTGCAGGGTCTCTGGCAGATGCGTCGGAGCTTAAGCATTGCCTCGCTGAGCGAAACATCTTCCCCACCAAGGCAGATATCACAAAGCGAGAAGATGCCTTCGCCCTACTCAAACACGTCGTCTTGGAAGATGAAGCCATTCAGGCCCGAGGGAAGCCAGCATTTGTGATAGTGCCAGTTGGATCCTATGGACTTGGGGTTTGGAGCGCAACTTCCGATATCGACTGCCTCTGCATCGGGCCCGTCAGCTCGAAGACTTTCTTCACCCTTGCCACACAGAGGCTGCGGAGAGCCGCTTCAAGAGGTGTCAAACTTCTTCGGCGCGTGAACGCGAATTCAGGTACAATGCTTGAGCTGGAAGTTCTGGACATCAAGATGGACCTACAGTATTGCCCTTCGACGTTCATCGCCGAGACATGGCCATATGCGATGCAACTACCGCCCACTGACCCCGTCTTCTCTTTGTCGACGCAGACGTTGGCGAAGCTGAAGCCGGTGCGCGACCTGTACTACCTCCGCCGTACGATCCCGGATTATGCTGCCTTTCGGACGGCATACCAACTCATCAAGTGCTGGGCGAAGCAGAGGGGCGTCTATGCGGCGAAGTATGGCTATCTGGGCGGTATTCACCTCTCGATCCTCTTATCCCGCGTATGCAAGCTGCTCTCGCTCGACGGGCGGCCTGTTTCTGTACCTACGATCGTGGTGGCCTTATTCCGTCACTACGCAAACTTCGACTGGAAGAATCAGATGGTCTTTGATCCTTTTTTCCACAAGCATTTGCGCTATGTGAGGACGGCAAGAGAGCCTCTGGCAATCCTGGGCTTCCACGCCCCTAAACTCAACGTCGCCCATACTGCATCTCTCCCTTCCGTGCGGACGCTTTCCGAGGAACTCAGACGAGCAGACGCTTTGTTATCACAGGACGGAATGACGTGGGCGAGGTTCTTGGGTGAAGATACGGGGCCTGCAGATTTCCTTGCTGCTTACAAGAGTTATGTCAAGATTGACGCGCAGTTCTGGGGTGTCTCGCTCGCAAAGGGGAGTGGTTTCGTTGGCTGGCTGGAGTCCAGATGCGTGATGCTTCTAGTTGGTAAGTCCACGTCGCCTCCTCCTTGCTGTGGAACGAACCTGCTGACTTGCCACTAGATCTCAACCGACGACTCCCTAACATCCACGCCCGCATCTGGCCCGCACGGTTCGTGGCCGAGGACGCCGAAGAGGAGGACACAGACTACCAGGGATACTACCTAATTGGGCTCGACAAATGGGAGGGTTCCAACAGCCAACCGATGACGAAGGACGACATGAAGGTCGCCGCCGACTCATTACAGACAGTCCTCCAGAAGTTCGAAACCCAGATCCGCGGAGACGAGAAGTACTTCGACGCGAAGTCATGCTGGATGAGTGCCTCCATAGCCAGGCAGCCGGAGCTCGGCGCACTGCGCCTCGACACGCGCGAATGGGGCGAATACAGCATCGGGGACGACGAGTCCGAAGACGAAGAAGAGGAGGAAGAGCAGCCGCTCACCGACGGCGACAGCGGCGCCAAAACCTCGACCAACGCCAAGAAGTCGAAGTCTAGGAGGCAAGCTGCAGCTGCGACAGACGGGTTGCCTACGCGGCCCGGCTACGAGGGCAAGTTTCGCTCGTCCGCCGATGTCATCAACCGCATCCGCTGGGACCCGGCCATGGACAGCGGCGACTATATTGTCGGTTACGAGGACCGCTTCCTGGGCGTCCGGGAACGCGCGATAGATGATTGGAAGGCCGAGCAGACCGACGAGGAGTTCATCCCGCAGCACCGCATCTTGTACTTCAAACACAGGAGCGACGGGGCCGTGGTGTGGGACCGGAAGGGGAGGCGGGATGCGGTTTTTGGAAGTGGGTTTGGTGGTGGTGATGTTGCTGCTGCTGGCTTAGGGGGCAGGCAGGCGTTGAGTTGAAAGGGTGCGTTGGTGTACCTATACAATGCCAGGGAAGGGGGTTTGGATATATGGCAAAACAAACCAAAAACTGTCACCAAATGAGGCTGACCCGATCTCAGCTGAAGGGGTGCGAATTGGCTCGATTACTTCGAAACAGAGCGGGAGATGTAGGTTTGGTCCGAACTCTTTTTGACCCTGCACTAGGTGCAGGGTTCAATTTTGCTGAAAGCACTGTTGACGTTTTTGGGTATTTCGTTTCCAGCTGTGCACAGGTCGTGCACGTAGAGAAGTTGTACCCAATGATGCATTCATACCCTGGGGACGCAAGAGATGTCGTCACATTCGCATTAGGGATACTTGTTTGTTGCATGCTTCTCACAAGCTTAGCACGCTCTTTGAATTATATATGCATGGACCGATCCACAGCACGGTTCAAATGAGAGCCGATCAAAGCCTCGGACTTCTCGAGGACATGTTCCGTTCCAGGGTTATAAAAATATAATTACAGTTTGGTGGATACGGAGCTGCCAAAGTCGGCAAAGGCGAAGGTCAAGCTTAAAACTGCTCGAGAGATTCGGGCCTAGATCTGTAGATTATCAGCTTTGCCACACTGGGGTCCCATGCCACTCTATTTTAAACAAAAGTAGGGACAATAATAGTAACGGTGGCGCGAAGGATGACACGTACGGTAGGCATCGAGGTAATTCATGTGCTGTGGTGGCGATAGGATTCCCCTGGTGGACCCGTCAACTTACCGAGCAGTACAAGGCACCTACTTTCCAATGCTAGTATTTTCATAGCAGCCTCGTCATAGATAAGCCGAAGGCTGCATATACTGATATATTTAACCATACAGGCTCCCTTGGGCAGGTCATTGAACCAAAGGTCGACGTGAGCCCCTTTCTTTTTGCCAAGCTCAAGCAACAGCACGTCACATAGTCGACGCATACTCTACCTCAACATGCTCCTGCTCAAGTCTTCTCTGCCTCTATTTCTCTGGGGCTCCCTCGTCGCTGCAAACCCTTCATATAGGTGGGTGAACGGTCTCACGCCTGGCGAGAAGATCGAAGGCTATAAGGTACAGCAAGGCGACTTCGGTATGTACAGAAACATCCCATCACAGGACCCCGAGCCTTGCTTTCGAGGACGTGCTTTGGTGTTTTCTTTCCTTCTTCATCTTTAAAATTCCCTGTTTGTTTAAGTGCAAGATCTTAACGTACACGCAGTATGGGGCTACAGATTCGGTTCGGCGGTAGGGAATGTTGTCCCTCTAAGCCGACGTCGTGGCAGCTAACATACGGGCTCAGAAAGAGTGCAAGGCGTACAAGGATAACGACAACCTGCTGACGACCAAGAGCTGGTGGACCAGATTTTACCAGGCGATCTACGTAGATGTGAAAGCGATGCTTGGATCCAACGGTGTCTACCTCGCTGCGCACTACTCGATGTGGCAACCGCCCAAGAATGAACTCTATGATCAGTATGTATCTATCGACCCACCTCATTCCCGGCTGGGCTGGCCCTCGAAAATACGAACGTAGAGCTGAACTTTCTGTCACCCAGTATGATTCTGGTCATAGCGCGAGAAGCCTACAATAAACATGGCGGCGAGCTGGTCGCAATTCCCGATACGCCCCTCCGCGGAGAAAAATGAAAGGTGTTGTTCGGCAACGACGACCTCCTCGACGAATGGGTCAAGGACCAGGGCGCGGATGCCACAACGGCTCCGCGGTTTTCGTACGCCGAGGGGTGGTGGTATCCCGACAGGGACGAGACACTGCGACGCATGCAGGTCTACGTGCCCAAGGACGAGGTCAAGAAGGGGAAGTTCGTGGCGCTTTGCAGACCCAGGGGAGATGCGGAAGCCCTCCAGAAGGGCCCCGCTCCGTGGATCACTGAAGACTGGAAATTGACCATGAAGGGCCGCCTCGAGGGTCGGAAGGTTGGGAACGAGAGAATGGAACCGGCGAAGTATGGGTTCCCGGAAGGACCTTCTACTGAATGGAAATTTGTTGGAAAACCTTGATGTCCAGGCCGTTGGATAGCATTGGGAGCAGAGAGGAGCATTAAGAAGGTTTCTCTCCTTTTTCCGGTTACACATTCACATTGTTTCAAGTATAAAGTATAGACTCTGGCGCTACAGAGCGAGTAAGAGTTTGGCAAGTACGCCATTACTCTGATTCACGTAAGTTCTAGCCATCGAACGGCTGCTCCAGCTCTTCTCGCTTTACAATCACAAACTCTGGAACAATCCACATTGTCTCGGATGGGCCATGTTTATGCGAACCCTTTCGCACTCGGTATGAAGCAGTTAAGCGTTGGTGAGTTACTGGGAAGCGTTACCAGAGTGTAGTCAGCTCGCGCGCTTCCAGTGGCTCCTATCGGATGCTTCCTTTTCAGTAGTCTAGATTAAAGAAGGCAATGGAGCAACCACCCTATTCTTGAACACAGCTTTTCCAGGTTTTGGTATCCCTTCATCACATCCCGGAGCACGAGTGCGATACGTGTCCGCGGTATTTCGACTCACGCGGCGCTGTCGCGCAGCACATGGTCAGTACCTATTTATGATCCTTAACCACCACCATATCGCGTCCCGGAAGCTACGATTTCGTTATTGGAACAATATCTGCAGGAGTCGGTACCTCATCGCAGATTGTCCAGAGCAAAACTTCCCGATACATGCATCAACCTAAGCGAAAGAAGTGACTACCTACTGACTTTCATCTCTTGATAGGACGCCTTGTACCATTGGTCCGATAAGTACATCAACAGCGATGGGTACAGCCGCAGCAGCGACGGGTACAGCAACAGCAGCGACGACGGGGAGTGGGAGTGCGACTTCTGCTACGAGACTTTCTCCTCGGAGGAGGAGCAAGAGCAGCACGAAATAGACGTTCACTACCACTGCGCGGATTGCGATCGCACTTTCAGTAACTACAATGCCATAAAGATGGTGAGTTAACGATCTGCATATCTGACGACAACCTGGTACCTACCTTGGTTATTGGACATGGAGGCTAGTCTGGCGCAGACGACCTGAACTGACATGACTTCCCAGCATCTCAACTCCCGCACGCACCGCGGCACCGACCTCGCCTGTCCCTTCTGCAAGGGCGGCTTCGCGACGGCGACGGGTCTCTCGCAACACCTGGAGCAGCGCGGGTGCCCGCGCGCGCCGTCCCTCGACCGCGACGGCGTCTACAAGATTGTGTGCGCCAAAGACCCCGGCGGTGTCATCTCCAAGAACCTGATCGGCTGGTACGGCGAGTCGCCTAAATACGAGGCCACGGCGCAGGCGTGGAACGGCTACGCGTATGAGTGCTACATCTGCTCGCGCACCTTCGCGGCGCTGCCGTCGCTGAACCAGCATCTGGCGTCGCCTGTCCATAAGTCTTACGTCTCATCTGATTCCCCCCTCTCTTTCTTTCCCTCCTCCTACTCATCCACCCCCGAAGCCAACAGGGGGCAAAGAAGTGACCATGACTGATGCTCATCACTGCCTTTAGACCAGCAGAATATGTACCACTGCCCCAAACGTGGCGGCTGTGGCCGCGAGTTCACGGCGCTCATGAACCACCTCGAGAGCGAGAATTGCGGGTACACGCGCTTCGAGAACGTGCAGCAGAGCGTCAAGAACGTCGTCAGCGGAGATCGACGGATCACGTTCCACTGATTGATGATTGAAAAAGAGGTTGAGCAGAGTATTGTTGCACTTGCTGTAAGATCCTTGCCATGTTCGATGTCTGACCGGTACATGGCCTCACTGTGGTCTTTTTGTTATGATCACCTCATATAATGAGGATGTCTCAGCCTGGTTGTGTTCTCGTTTGTGCGGTGGGCGACGAGAACAAGTGGGTTCGAATCCTGCTATGGCCCCCTTTCTGACCCGGCTTGTGCGAGTCGATAACCAGCACACGACAGTGGAGAGGCCCCATTTTATCGCAGAGCCCGATAGCCAAGCAGCTTGTCACCACAATACCCACTCCTGCGAGGTTTTCCCCCTTGTGGTTTCCCTCGCCAGCAGATAACAAACACCTACTCCACCCACCAATGCGACATATATCGAACGGCTACTGGAACGATATGTACACCAGAGAACTGAGGTTCACTGGGTCGCTTTGTCACTGGATAGGAGGTTTTTCTGACGGAATCGTGCTTGGGTATTGACTAAAACCATCTGAACACTCCAGATTGGTACCGTTACAGCGAGGATAGGCTCGTGCGCGGATCTGAATGTATCTAATTTGACACCTCTACAACCTTGCGATGCAATGGCTCTGGGAGGCGTGGTTTGCACTACTGAGGAGCTACCCCCCACGTTAAATACAAAACAAACAAACAAAACAAACAAACGAGGATGTCTCATATAACGAGGATGTGAGACCAGTAAAGGGCCATGTCCGAGAAATCATCCGGATGCCACTGGCCATTTTGGACTGAGCAAAAATGGACGATGAGCCTAGAATCGGGGAGGAGGAGGGATCTGTTGCACATAATGCAGGAATGAAAATGTCGGGGAGAAGTGCTTGGCACCGGCAGTTTATAAACTGCCGAAGAGAAAAACGACGATGGCCCGGAGGTGGCGGGGTTCTTCGACATATGGCGGCCCGGTCCGCAGCTGCTTAGCTAGAGACTTGATGGCAGATTTGAACCATAATGAGACTACAGACTGTGTTCTATAATGGGCTGAATATATAAAGGGAAAAGTTCGTCAGTCTCTTCCCGGGCGGTTCGGACATCTCGCCGGCGGTACCTACCCATATGTGGATCTCTACCTTAGCGTTACAACGGAGGTGCAGGGGAGTGACAACAATTCTCTTACTTTATTCAAACGTATAATACCAAAGAGCCAGATATCTGCCGTATGCTTGCTGTTCATATACAGATTGTCTCCCACTCAATATAAATGAGCTGATCATTTTTAAAAAGTTTAGTTAATCTGCGCCGCTCGCTTAAAACGAGCCGCATATGTTCCTTGCTTCTCGTTATAAGCAGTTGCCAGAACTTATAAGAGAATTATTGCCGTTTCTTTTGAATAGAATGGGAGATTAACCGTATTTGTACGGCTTGCTATACTTATAAGACGACGCTAAGGTATAAAGTAGGATCCGTAACGCGGGGTATAATGGCGGGGAATCGGGCCAGCAACAAGTGACAGGAGATGGTTTCATATTGCCAGGTACCTTATAACGTGGATGACAAGCAAGCGGCAATTACAAGCAAACGGCAACTTTTCACCAGCCACTTAACCTTTCAATCAAGGCTGCTAATTGATCAACCAACAATAATGGCATTGCGTTATAGCGAATCAGACTTACAGCTTGCTGTCCAAGCTAAGCGACGCGACCCTCATATTACCATTGGCAAGCTTTCTAAGACTTTCTATGTCCCATATAATACCTTGAAGGCTAGAATCGCCGGCCGACCATCACAACGCAATAATATACCCAATACTTTGAAACTTACGGTTTCTGAAGAGAATGCCATTCTTTCCTTCATTCTTGATCTGGATGCGCAAGCATTTTCACCCCGGCACAGTTATGTTGAAGATATGGCGAATCAATTGTTGGCAGCGCATGGGGATAGACGCGTTGGAAAGAACTGGACGTGGAACTTCATTAAACGCATAGCAGGCCTCCGGAGGCATTTTTATTGAAGGATGGATTACAGAGGGTTTTGAACGAAGATCCAGACGCGTATCGCGCGTGGTTTCACCAAGTTGCGGCGGCAATCGCAAAACATGGTATCCAAGACGCGGATATTTATAACTTCAACAAGACTGGGTTTATGATGGGCATTATTGGGTCCGGCATTATCGTTATAAGTGCCAAAAGACGTGATAGGCCTAGACAAGCTCAGCAAGGCAACAGGGAATGGTCTACAGCAATTTCTGCTGTCAATGCTGATGGTTGGGTGGTCCCGCCGCTCATCATTCTACAAGGCAAAACCCACCTCGCGTCATGGTATCGCGACACGACATTACCACGCGATTGGAAGGTGGCTGTGTCTGATAACGGTTGGACTACAAACGAGATTGGGTTGGAATGGATTCCGCATTTCGACAAGTATACCAGACCGCGTATGACTGCCAGTAAACGCCTCCTCATCCTAGATGGTCATGAAAGCCACCATTCCCAGATCTTTGAGGATTATTGCCAGAACAATAGCATTATTACCCTTTGTATGCCTGCCCACTTGTCACACAAACTCCAGCCTTTAGATGTCAATTGTTTTAGCCCGCTCAAACGAGCGTACGGTCGCATGATTGAGGATCTCATCCGGCGTCATATAACCCACATTTTGAAGGAGGACTTCCTTGCAGCATTTTGTGAAGCACACAACGCTGCTATGACGCCAGGAAACATTCGAGCAGGTTTCAGTGCTACTGGGTTTGTTCCTTTCGACCCAGGAAGTGTCATTTCGAAGCTGGATGCTGTCGCTGTCGTACGAACACCGTCGCCAGACCCCAATCTGCCACCCACTACTTGGACTTCAAAGACGCCTACCACCATCAACAAAGCGGTAAACCAGTCGGTTTATATCCGAAATTGAGTTAGAAATCACTAGGGAAACTCACCTACATCAATAGTTAATGCGTTGAGCTCATTTTTAAAGACTACAATGGTCTTATGCACAAGGTCGCTTTGGTTGATTCCTGGGTCCGCGAGTTAGAAGAGGCCAATCACCTATTAAGTAAACGCCAGAGGACAAAAAACAAACGTCTAGTGAAAAGAGGAATACTTTCTGTTGAAAATACAGTAGGTCTCCAGGCTGTAAAGGATGGTAATGAGCTGGAAGACAGAAAATGGGTGAAGGTAGTCGTTGTCCGAGGAGGGCGGCAGCGCGTGAGCGACGTTGTGGCGTTTGCGGCAACACTGGCCATAATGCGCGAACTTGTACAATAGAGATAGAAACGTCTGAAGAAGAAGAATCCAATTGATTAGATTAAATTAAATGCGTTGTGGTCGAGTTATTTGACATGTTGGTTGGAAGGTTGGTGAAAAGTTGCCGTTCGCTTGTAATTGCCGCTCGCTTGTCATCCACGTTATATCCGTTTCATTGTACAGACGGGAGTTTGTTGGTAAGACGTGAACGTGGGGAAATCCGACCCCAGGGGTCTTTATTGACCCGACGGAGCGGAGTGCTCAGGGGGGCCGGTATCCCCTTTCGTTCCCACATATAAATATCTCCGAAATCAGCCGATCCGATACCATCTGGCCCATCAGTCAAGGTGGACTGAGTGAATTGCCTACTTGGTTGCTTGTCCTTGATAACCAACATCAAACAGTCTTTTCTACTTGCTTGCCCTGAATCTCGATTTCCCCACAGTCTGTCTACCTGCATTGGTCTAAGATACCATACCTACCCAACCGAGAATATGGCATTTGAACGTAAGCCCAGTAATCCATCCAATCTAACCCCAGTGAGCCTGTGAGTAAACACCAACAGGACTCGTCCGGTTCGTCCCGCGCGGCGCAGACGGCAACGCCGTGCTCGTCGGGCAGCCCATCGACAGCAAGCTCGACGTCGGCAAGGCCGCCCGCAACGGCGACGAGGTGCAGGTCAAGGTTTTCAGCGGCACCTCGGTCTTGAATCCCGGCGAGTCGACACACCGGGTCGAGGTGGTCGACCGCATCCTGTCGCCGCTGGCTGCGGCTGAGGTCGGGTCCATCCGGTGTATAGGGCTGAACGTGAGTTTCAACTTCTCCTTGGCTGGCAGGCAGGGACGGACATGGTAATCCAGTCCTGGGGCCATCGTGGAACCTCTACCGTGCCGCGGATCTTTGTAGCCTCTGAGCTGCAAGCTGCGTGTTGAAAGTTGACTCTGCGACTTGACTCACCAACTGTGCCAAGTATGCGAACCACGCCAAAGAGGCCAATATGCAGCTCCCCGACATCCCCATGATGTTCATGTAAGTCCCCGAGCCGTCCCACCCAACAGATTTGATCCAGCAAGAAGAAAAAAACACCAGCGCCGTGAGTACAACGCTCATCCGAACCCAGGAAACCGGCAACAGCGCTGGCCGACCCCTACCCGGCACCAGTCATCATCCCAAAGCACACCCTAGACGACGACAGCGCAGACTACGAGTCCGAGCTCGCCATCGTCATCGGCAAGACGTGCAAGAACGTCAGCGAGGCCGACGCGCTCAGCTACGTCCTGGGCTACACGGCCGCCAACGACGTGTCCAGCCGCAAGGCACAGCTGGCGCAGAGCCAGGCCTGTTACTCGAAGAGTTTCGACGGCTCCTGTCCTCTGGGGCCCGTGCTGGTTTCCGCCCAGGTCGTGCCCGACCCCAGCGCGTTCACGATCCGTGGCTTGAAGAACGGGGAGGTGATGCAGGAGTCGGGCTTGAAGTGAGTTGCCTACCTAACCTACTTAACTCAGCTTAACGAAGAACAACCTGGGAACGAACACTCCTACTTCGTATGCTGGCTAATGCCGAGATTGCAGTGACATGGTCTTCAGCTGTGCGAAGCTTGTAAGCTGGCTGTCGCAAGGGACCACCTTGCCTCCCGGCACAGTCATCCTCACCGGAACGCCTGCTGGCGTGGGGTTCGGCAAGAAGCCTCCTGCTTATCTCCACGACGGCGACGAGTTTGTCGTGGAGCTGACGCCACATGTCGGAAGCCTGTACTCGGTCTTTGAGAAGGAGAAATAGGGGCTTGGTTGCTAGGGAAGGCAAACTACTGCGATGTTGCCCTCCGAGCACTGGCATCCTGGCTGGACTTGAACACCTACATTATATCTAGCAGCCAAGTCTAGACCATGAGCGGAGCAAGCGAGTCAATTCTCTGACGGACTGAAAAGTGCATCGAGCGGGACGGAGAGATAGGCATCGCTAGCAATCGAACGATCGTTCAGGTTCGGCAATTACCTTCGGAGCACGAGCTGACAGGAGACGCATGAGGCCAATTGCAGCAGCGGCTGAAAGTGCTACCCACGCAGACCGGTTGGCCCCTTGGTGGTTATTGCGCACACGAAGCGCGAGTCGTTTAGCGAGTGAGGTCGTCGCTCGTGGCGGCGACTTAACGCGGCCCTGAGAACCATCAGGGATCCCCTGACCGGCGTCAGGGCTTGCTATGCCATGGAACCCCAGGGATCATCGGAGCCACTTCCGTATGCAAGAGATATGCGGCATGCAAGCAAGAGGTCCCACGGGGAATCACCCGCAGTTTCCATCTCGCGATGTCATCCCCTAAACGAGCCATTCTTACTGTTCCTTCCCTTCCTCTCTACCCATCAATGCTACCTCGATACATACCGTTTCATTGCCAAGACTGCGCACAGGAACGCCCGAGCCGTGGGCCAGTCTGATGTTCACCAATTGATGTGGTGTAACCATCCTGATGTCGTGCTCTTTCGTCCCGAGTCCTGTCCGCGGAACAGAGAGCACGAGCTTTCTAGAGCGCGTCGAGTCCTGTGTGATCTCCCTTCATGCATCAACACCGGGGTGAGACTAATCGCGGTACCGGTAGTTTGTCGCTAGAAGCGGCAAGATTCGCGATAGGTGCCGCCCTGGCTTGACGACGCACACATCAATCCAATATCTTACTAAGGACGCTTGAAATGGTCAGAGGGAACAGTAAGATGCTCTGTGAATCGGCAATGAGAGGTTATTGGGGGGACGCCGGGTTTCTGCCAAGATAGGAGGCGATCATGGTGTAGGAACGCTTGGTAGTATTGATAGCCCATGACCAGCGGCGGATGCCCCGGACGTCAACATGTATTGCCCGCCAAAGAAATAAACACGGAGGTCTTCTTCTAGTCTTCGACGACTTCTCAGCCGAAGTGTTGTCACGCCGGTTAATTGTACATAACTGTACCTATCAGGAGTCGACACGCAAGCAATGAGGCCAAGACCACGAGGGAAATTGATGATCCAGCTCGGTCACATCACTGGCCTGCTCCCTCTTTTTGAGTGGCATTCCGGATCACCTGAGCAATCACTGGTTCGAGAATGCTACCCAGTCAGACGACCAGGTGTCCAGGCAGATAAGTCTCGTCTGTAGTTCCGTGAGTCCTTGACTCGGAATTGTAGACGTCGTATTTGCCGTGTTAGAGAATATCATACGCATCCGCAAGACGCGTCGATGGCGTCGATCGGACACAACACTACAGCACGACGGCATGCCAGTGTAGCCTTCATTGCACGTTAGACTGTCTACCCGCAATAAGCCGCAGTGGTGAAAGGAGCGGTGCTGTACCGAGACATAGCATCTGGCGTTTGTGTCAGACGGTCTCGACCCCTGAAAATAGGGAAGGTACTTGTCCAAGAGGCATCTGTCGATAATGATGTCACGTTGCTGCAGACAAAATTCTGCCAGGGTATATGTCGAGCAGCGTGCATCTCTTGGCAGCGTGGGAGGGCCAAGAATCAACTCCGATAGGGAGGAATCTTGCATACCTATTCGATTTGTTGATGAAGTGGCAATGCAATCGGCCTGATAGGCTTGAGGCGCGCCCACGCACACCGACAAGACATTTCCTGTTCAGACAGCCTCGGAAATAAACACACGTCGATCTGTGTTACTTGTGCCAAGCCCAAAGCAGGAGTGGTCCAACGAGTGCTGTAGGATCTCGGTCCATGTCCTTGGAATAGAACGGATCGGCCTCCCCTGGGCTGTCACTGTCCGGTATGCTGTCAACCATAGCGCTTTACAGCCCGATCCGTGGGGGCGAGACTCAGAAACCTCGTAGAGGGCATATCCAGGCCTTTGGAGTTATCGAGAAACCAGATCGCTCGGCCCTGTCAAAAGACGGCGCTTTTCTGGAATCCTGGTTGTTTGCTTTGAGCCGTAGACATCGAGTGTGGCGATCTCCACGATTGATCCTTCCACTGCTAATAAAGCCAATACTGGGAGGCATTGTGTCTCCAGCTGGGACGAGGCAGGAGGATGGGATGAGGTAGGCAGAAACTAGGACCGAACGTTTGAGATAGATGGTTCTCCGCTCGAGGAACATGTCGGCTGTGTGGTCTAGCGACCTAAACCGCCACCCTCTTCCAGAAATGGGAGAAAGTGATCCGCTGCCACGGCTTAGCTCAACACCGAAACGATTGGCAACCCTGGGTCAAAGTCTCAACTAGGTGTATATGACTTTGTGATGGTGCCAGGGTGCACACATCAGCGTCCGTTTGGCGGAGCCAGGCGGTGAGTGCATATGCAGATCGGGTCAACTCCGACAGTGTTGGTGTGGCCATGGTACTTCTGGAAGGTTGATTCGCGCACATGAGCATGCGCCGGGATATCGGTCGTGTGGATACCTAGGTATATAGCATGGCTAACATCTCAGGACTCCCGATAACATACACTGCACAACGCCGGTTGGTATGATGTGTCTCGGAGGCAAGGGGGCCGTATAAGCCCCATTTTCCCCACCTGCAGATTGGACGCCATGGCATGCAGACAGATCAACGGACGGTGACATACATAGATGGCCTGCATGGTATATGTAAGGGTGACGCCGGGGTAAAGGTGCAGAGTGAGATAGGCGAAAGATGGTACCTAGGTAGGTATATCGGTTACTGCAATAGGGGTCGACGAAAGGCCGAACTAGCGAGCGTCCCGAGGAGACGTGTGATCCAGAAGCTGCAGGTACGTCTGTGTGCTGGTGTTGTGTGGACGGCGGATGGGCGCCAATTGATTATTCGGAAGCACAAAGAGAAGTCTGCGATGCTGGTGAGTCCAAGTCGATGTACCTTGGATGCCATGCCAGCTGTTCGTTAGGCTTGCCTTATTAGGCAGGCGGTAGGGAGTGGATAAGGTACGACGTCTTTCCCTGAAGTTGATGGGTTTGCGGACAAGCACCAAGGCACGAACGATGCTGCGGGTGTTACTCCAGTGTTTTCGGCTACTGCCCCAAACCCGCCGTCGACCCTGCTTACCGCCACCATGACCAGATCTTGTGGTCGAAAGGACGCGGGAGACGCTGATTGGCGGTGTTGGAAAGCGGCAGCGCTCATCGTGACAGCACCGTGGGTAAGCAGCACGCCGTTCCGCTTCCATGTCGCCAGGTACGTTGGTAGGTACCTGGTAATATACTCCAGTGGGTTGATTCCGTGGCTCCGTACTGTCATGGAGGCACGTGGTCTACCCCCGCGACGAAACAAGGAGACGACGGTTGGTGGACTGGGAAGAAAGGGATTTATTCGTCGGCTGAGGTCCATCTGCCAAGGTCAGGCCTGTCAGCAATGGAAGCGCCGGCTCACCACGGGCAATCAGAAGTACCGTGACTCCTTCATGTTTCATACCTAATGTTTGCCTGTTTGCCCAAAGTGGTCGGTCACGAGATCTAGCCTATCACCACTTGGCAACGACGTTGATGATCAGAGACGTGAACCCGCTTACCAAGCAGGATTCGAGACTAGGATCAGCAAGGGCCAAGCGTAATGAGATGCTCGTGTCTACCTAACCTATGACAGCGGCAGAAATATCACAGCTGTGATGTGCCGTCGAGATCTGGATTCGCAGACATACTGTACCAGATGATTGGCCATACTGCAACCAAGGGCGCATTGGATCTTGCGGTCGAGGCGGTGCTGGAGTTGGCTCGGAACTACCTACCTAGGTATGCAACAGTTGCCCTGCCGGTACTGTCAATGAAAGTCGTCTCTGTTGAGTTGGCGCGTAGCGGGTGGGACGGGCCGAAGGACACCTAACGCCTGGACTTGTTGTTGGCGTGAGACCGGAATCAGTCAGGTTCCAACAAGTCAGAAATGTTGTCAGAGTGTCAAGGTGTCACGTCACGGTGGGCTGGGGTGGACGAACTTCAAGTGGGTCGAGCCTGCGAGATACCGCACATGCCGTACCCGACCCCGAGGGACACAGGCTGAAACGTCGTCTATCACGACGATCACGACGATCACGACGATCACAGGGGATAAGGTAGACCGGCGGTGTGCGCTTTCCGCAAAGGCCATGAACCAAAGTCGATCTCGCGCAACTAACGTCTGACGAACATTGAGGCTATCAGGCAGTCAGGATGATTTCGAACATTTCGTGGGTGACCTGACCTGAACCTCTCCAACCCAACGAACGAGGGGTATCCCTCACGGTCTGCCTCTTGCACAGTTGCAGTCACATAGAGGTAGGTTGGCTGGTTGGATGAGTGCCGAAAGAGCCGAGCCAGGATAATGGAAAGCACCAAAACCGTAAACGATGATCGTTGTAGAATGTTCCGAGGTAGGGCTTACCATCCATGCCATCGTCATGCAGCAGCAAGCCGCCCGCCAATGACCCTCTCAACCCAAATATAGGTCCTGCAACGTGAAGTCACGTGCCGTCATCTGGATAGAGATAACAGTTCCACTAACTTATCTCGAGAGTCAACATCGAGCGTGTCGCTGTCAGACATCAGCAGCACGGGCGAACGTTGCATGCCGTGACGCCGAGATGCAACTTGGTAAGGCAGCCTGTCCTGTACGCCCCGCCGCCCGGTTCCTGTACGCTCTTCCAAATGTGACTCATCAGGATGTCAGGCTGTCAGGTTCACTGCCAACGCACATCCTCTGTCTCTCACCTAACCGATCCATCTTCAGCTGCAGCGCCTCGGGTCGCCTCATGACCGCCTTGATCATCTGCAACTTGCGACAGTATGAGTGGCTGCACCGAATCCACATATGGATATCACCGAGAAACGCAGCCTGACGCCGTTGAGCCG